TACTTACAAATAGATAGAACTCTTATTTAAGGATAAAGTATAAAAACTACCTAAATTATAAAAATGGCAGCCCAGACTCTTTTAATAAATTGAAGCTACCGATAATTTTCGAATGATTCTTATGAAAATGCCTGTGGGTTACGTTGATTATGGGTTATTTTACATAGATTAATATTGAATGGAAAACAAGTTTAACCATGGCAAAATGTAAAGTAACTTTTTACATGCCTCATATCGACAAAATTTTTACTTGAAATCATAATATCAATAAAAAGGGCATTGAACTTCGTGGACATTTGAAATATTTTAAAAGATAAATATTTCCATGCATCTCTTTTTTTGTTAAAACATCATTTAATAATTTTACAAATGGCATAGTATATTATATTGTATAGCAAAACATACTCTTTTAACTCTAATGAATTCTAACAGATCGTCAAATAAAATCATTAAACTATACATGTATATGTTGTATTGTTGGCCGCAGAAATACAAGTTTATATTGATTGTATATAGTAATTGTTCAAAGTTGATTTTGATAACAATACCATTTTCTATAGGCTGTCCCATCGTCTTACATTTCCCCATTTATTTTCCATGTTATTTTTCACTAAACTGTTGAAATCACGAGATGTAAAATAAAAATGTAATAGCTTCTTCAGTTTTAGTGTATATCTCACAGTAAAGGATTGAATTTGACATGCGATTCAAGAATATTCGGAAACTGTTTGAACAAACCTCTGTACTGGTATAAGAACGTTAGCTATTGCTTGTACAATTGGAATTTAAACATTTCAACAAGACGTTCAAGGGAATCTATTCAGCATTTTAGTTTACATTTCGGTTTATTTTGCAATTTTGTCAGGGTAAACACTCAGTTTGTGAAAATGGCAAAACACATTTACAAAGAATAACTTAAACAATAAAAAACGTTACACGAAATTGATGAGTCATTCTTTTTATCATTTTATGCATAAAGAACTAAAGATGTGCTAAGAAAACATGCATTCTTCACAAATTACATGAAACATATATACAAAATGTACATGTATATAGTTTATTTATTTATATAATAACTTATAAGGCTATAATCTCTTTAGCAAATGAACTCTCAGTATTTAATTGTCGTAAATTCGTTAGATTTATTTCTATATGTATTGAATATGAGCGTTTTAATTATATTCCTTCCAAACAATGGCTATGTTAAATCTATGCATCTTTAGAAAAGAATGAAAATGAATAATGAACCAGCATTTACTCACTAGCTGCAAATATTACATTGTTGCGAAATGATGTAAATGCAATAGAAAACTTTAATTCCCCAACCCACTTATTGAATTGTGTCTTATGAATCTTTACATTTCTGTATTAGATCTACGTTATAGAAATTAATCTAAAAACAGTAGTCATATTTAATTCCTTAGAAGGCATATTTGAAGTCTGACTATTTTTTGTCCTCGAAATTTCAAATAATTATTATTCGTCGGAATTCGTGACCTTAAAAGTTGTTTAGTCTACCGGATCCGAAGAATACTATAGTTCAAACTTCTGTTGTGAAATAAAGGTAAAAAAAATTAAAACAGCTTTTAAATAGCTAGAAAAAAGAGATGACAAAATAGAATGATGAATGTATTTATCCTATATGTATGATGAAACATGCTTTAACTAACGAGAATTGAGAAGTATGTATCTACATAATTATTATAAGGTTATTTACGTCTAACAACATGCGAGGATATCCTAATCGCATTGGCTCAGGAGCTTTGTAGCAAAAGGCCAAGTTAATTTACGTTAAGATATTCTAATGGAAGACTGTAAGCTAGAGTCTCCTTGATAACAAATCCAAATATTACTGTCAAGGCATGGATCATTTGTATTGTAATAAACTCGTAAGAGACACGTTCAATCATTCGCGTCACAAATATCTAAATGTACATGTATACATTTGTATATATGACTATCTATTACTGCTTTAACACTCGTTAACAACTACAACTACGCGTTGGCAATGAACTGTGATAAGAAAGTATTTGTACTTGTATACAAATTTATTACATATAAACAAACGTTAACAAGACTAATAGTGAAAAGATAATCTATGAGGATTAAGAATAAATTAAAAAGATCAAGTATCTCAGCCAATGTGTTTATGCTTGGGCTTGACTGGGCTAGAATGAGTGAGATTTTTAACTTCGACATTGTGGGTTCGGTTTCCGGGTAGGCCAGCAAAAATTACTAAAACATTTTTTTTTTCTGATAAGACTCTAAATCGAGGTCCCGTGAATGAGTGTCTAAACACTTTGCACATTAAAGAACCATGCAGAAGCTTCTGGAATAGTGACATCTTCCAGTATCTATATCTTGCACCGTCCTCCAAAATCTAAAACTACTAACCACGCAATGTACTCTCCAAAACGAATCGTCCATATGGGCAACCGCTGGCGAGTATAGATACACGTTGTTAAGGATATAATATTCACACAGACACATGCAGTTATACACAGACAAAAACACATGCTCAAAGAGTAAGAGATGTAAACGTGTAGAGAGCACAAGTACACATTTTTTACAATATGTTATATGTTATGCCAGTTTTAACATTTAGGATCTATCCAAATAATAATATGTAAATGCATTACAAATAGCAGGCCATTGGGTTGTGGGACTCAAAAAAAGCCCTTAAAATTCAAATATGTTATTCATTTTCCAATCCAATGATATAAACTTACCATATATATAAATTATAAGTATAAAACGAAATATACGCTGTTTAAAAAATATCATGTTCCAGCTTTTTGCTCATCAAAGTCGTGTGCTTATTAAATGTTAATGCATGCATATTTCGGACTTAGTCTCATATTTACATTATTGTAAAATAATGAGATACAAAACACCAAACATAAGAGGAAATAATTTTAGCTAATACCCTGTATAATATTATATAATAGTTGTATACTTTGACAATGTGAAGATGCGATATTAAAGGGTGGTTTAGCAGAGTGAAAGAAAAGACTGGTTCGCTGCTTACCTTTGATACGGAAAGTAAGGGGGAGGAACTCCAGACTGTGTTAAAGTTCAAGATTTCAAGATTTATTCAACGCTGTCATGGTTCATAAGCATAAGAACATGTGACATAAAATACAAAATTGTGAACATGTAACAACCAGAACGCAGAAAAATATACATAAAAACAGGAGAATGAGTGACAAGTAAAATGAAATAAAGATATGTCTAGGTCTTAATAATAACTGAAATTTACCCTTCATTAACAAAATTTTCTAGGAGACTAATGATACAATATAAAACTTATTGTTTGCATGTTGTAATTATTTCTTTGAAAACAAAGCAATGTATTTTAATTGTGATTTCATTTTACTTTACACAAGACCTTCAAATTTCAATGTATTAGGATACCTATAATAATATGGCTTAAGAAATTTACGTCTATAACAAATGTGATCAATAAATAAGATAGTGAAATTCGTCACTCAGTTGCTTTAACTCACATAACATACATATAAGTTTTTCTCTATATCTAGAAATCCACAGACGCTTGGGGTCAGATCCTGCCCCCCAACGTGATACGCCCCTATAAACACTCTATCAAAACTATTTTAATATTTAAACACGAATGGGACATCTATTACAACGATAAAAATGGTTTTCAAACAATTTTAACATATATGAAAAAATACCGTATACCATCAAGTCTCAATAAAGTATTAAGAGTGTTTATAGGGGCGTATCACGTTGGGGGCAGGATCTGACCCCCAAGCGTCTGTGTAGAAATCTACCTTTCTCAATTGGCAATTTATGATTCATAAAACACAACAAACACTAATCTAAATTTTAACAAAGCTGAAGGTAGTTGCCAGGAAGTTAAAACACGGATTTATGTACGTGGTTAAAATAATCATCGAAAACGGTTAAAATAATCATCGAAAACAAACTCTGATTTAAATAAACGGTCGTTTAAACATTTGCTTAAAGATTGTATCACTGTTTCAACTTTTGAAGTTTGAACTTAAATTAAGCGGACTAGGTACAGATAAAGTCAGATTGACTAACCAATACAATAAAAAAAATAATAATAATAATAAACCTTGATATAAGAAAAAACATACTACATGTATATGTATACCGGCTCAATAATGACAAAGTTATATATTGTACAAAACTTTTGCATTCATACCATTAGGAGATAATGTGTTAAGCTTATGAATCCAGTATGATTCTTGTAATAAGCGTTCCATATCATCGGTGACAATCTCTATAGGCATAAATCCTTAATTAATACAATGATTGGTTTTATTAAAGTGTGTAGCGACATTGGTCGGAAATAACGGATCGGAAAAATTGTTGATATCAAACCTATGGCTATTCATGCGTTTAGACACTTGTTGCTTCGTTTGACCAACATATTGCTCTTTACATTTATCACAAGTGACAAGATATATAACATTTTTCGTAGAACAATCAGTATTGTTATTTACATGATAATTCTTACCAGGAATATTAGTACTACTAAATATAGTGCTTTCAATAATGGAGCTGCAATGTGTACATCTACTTCTATTACATTTGGATGAACTTTTTGCATTTTTGTTATTGGACCTAATATTAGAATTAACGAGAATGTCTTATAGATTTTTAGGTCTTTTAAATGCAACCAAAGGTTTACTTTCATGAAGCTTTTGCACAGAACATTTACTTGAAAGTTTAAGTAAATCCCAATACTTTTTAATTATATTACTAATATTAGGTAAAGTTGGGTTATACTCAACAACAAAGGGAATAACACTGCCATCACTTTTTTGTTGTTAGTAAACGTCGAAAGCTTAAGAAAAGCGTTTGTTTTTATTGAACTGATTATATAACCAATACAATGTAATTCTGCAAATTATATTGTGCAAAGGTTTTTCGTGTCCTTTTCGGTAGTTGATTTACTTTGGGTTATTGTACTTGATTCAAAATGGCTGCGCCCATGGAAAACGCCGAAAACGTGTGTGACTTGCTATTTAAAACGTTATTTCATGATTATTCATCAAAACAAATAACAAGTATTTCACTTAAAGATGTCCTCAATTTATTTGGGACGAATCAAATCATTTCTTCCGTGGTAAGTTTAGCAAGAATTATACCAAATTATGTGTTAACCCACAGGGGGAAGACGCTGTGATCTGACATTATCCCGGGCCCCCTCCCCCCTAAGGCCCTGCTACAACCCATAAAAAATATCAATGCAAGTTGATTTGCACAATAAACATTCATAAAAACAATATTCTGACACGTTTCGACGATTTTCATTATACTTGTTTTAACTTTTAATTTGCAAAATTATAGGCCTAGATCTACATGTATTCTCCAGGCTATCCTATAGTTTATTTATTTATAAGAATAATTACCTGATTACTTTGAATGATTGACACCAGGAAGAAATTGCATGCTATAACATAAATGCTTGAAATACATGTAGGTCAGTTATGTTTACAATTCAAAGTCTGGTATCTCCAGGAAATTGTTCTTGATTCAGGGCTGAGTAGGTACAGGTCTACACTTCAGGTGTCTGTGGATTCAATATTTTCCTAGCGCACAATTTTATTGGGGACCTCCTTTGCATTACTAAATAGAATGACAGCTCAAATTTAATTTATTCACAAAGTTACTAAATAATAATGCTGTCAAAAATTTGATTGTTTCTTTTGGAAATGTCAATTTATTACGCTCACTTGTTGGAAGAACTATCCTCGAACCTACATGAGACCTCTATTATCTATAAGACATAATTTGTGCAAGTCGCAAGGATGGTGCATACATGTAAACAGGTAAACTCTCTTGCTTTTAGCAGGATAATCCAACTTTCTGCAGCCATATTTTCAAAGATTTTTCTTAAAAATAAGGCGTATTTTCACAAATTAAAGAAATCTCCCTATTTTTGATGTCAGAACTTCCTTCTTTGTTTATTGCAAATTCTAAAATCTCCCTCTTTTTGAAGAAAAATCCCCTACTTGATCATCGAAAAAAGTTCACATGAATAATGCTGCAGTCTTGCACAAAAAGAACAAGAATAATTTAATTTTAATGCACTGGGAGAAAATTTGCTGCAGTTTCTTGATAAGTCAGGTCCTTAATGATTATTAAATTAGATGGTAACATGATACTTAACATGATACTCTGATGGGAAAAAGTAAAAAAAATACTATCATAATCTTACTCAGGATTTATAAGTTCTACAAACTGTGAATGGTTTATATGCTAACAATATTAATGCATAAAGCTGTGTTTGTTTTACTACATTACAAAACTAGCCATTGTTCTATTTAAACAGGAAGGAGGAGGCAATTTGCAGGAAATGGCAAGTTACATCAACAGTTGTCTTGGAAGCAGCAAAAATAGGTATAAAGGAATGATGCTCAGGAGGGAAGATTTAGTTAATAATATTTCTTTTTTGCAAAGATCTTAAAGGCTCCCATGGTTAAAGATGTTACAGTCACTTACATATATTCAGTGTCTATTCTAGGACGCGCGATTGCGCGATTCACGCTAGTATTTCACAGATCGCGCACAATTCAAAATCATGTGCGTGAAAATCGCGCATCTATAAAAAAAGTTAATAAAATCGTAAAACTTCCATCCCGCATTATATTTGGTTGTTTTGTTTACATTTACATCGGAAACCGAAGGGAGTTAACTGTTAGCTAATTATAGTAATTTAGTACCGTATGGTACTGGTTATGTGAGTTGACGGAAATTAACAGAATGTTCCGTACCAACCGGAACTAGTGTGCTCGGTCTGACAGTTGGGCGCCATTTTAGTGTAGTAAATAATCAAGAAAAACGAGGCAATTCCTAGCTTGGCTACGATCTAGACGTGAAAGATAGGTCGATTGTTTGTATTGTCAATCCCTTTATAATCAATCGCGGCAGTTCTGTAATAATCTGTTTTCGTTTAAAAATTAAGGGGGGACAACTTCTGATGCCTTAAATAAATAACGCCTCAGTGTAAACTTAATGCAGACGATTTAACATTGGCAGTTTATTTTGGCACCCCTTGATTTTGAAAATCGCCCTCTTTTTTGAAATAGAGGGGGGAAAATCACCCCTATTTTTCAATTCCTAGAATAAACACTGTATATTTGAATTTCTTATCACAGTATCGGCAGTGTCTATTCTAGGACGCGCGATTGCGCGATTCACGCTAGTATTTCACAGATCGCGCACAATTCAAAATCATGTGCGTGAAAATCGCGCATCTATAAAAAAAGTTAATAAAATTGTAAAACTTCCATCCCGCATTATATTTGGTTGTTTTGTTTACATTTACATCGGAAACCGAAGGGAGTTAACTGTAAGCTAATTATAGTAATTTAGTACCGTATGGTACTGGTTACGTGAGTTGACGGAAATTAACAGAATGTTCCGTACCAACCGGAACTAGTGTGCTCGGTCTGACAGTTGGGCGCCATTTTAGTGTAGTAAATAATCAAGAAAAACGAGGCAATTCCTAGCTTGGCTACGATCTAGACGTGAAAGATAGGTCGATTGTTTGTATTGTCAATCCCTTTATAATCAATCGCGGCAGTTCTGTAATAATCTGTTTTCGTTTAAAAATTAAGGGGGGACAACTTCTGATGCCTTAAATAAATAACGCCTCAGTGTAAACTTAATGCAGACGATTTAACATTGGCAGTTTATTTTGGCACCCCTTGATTTTGAAAATCGCCCTCTTTTTTGAAATAGAGGGGGGAAAATCACCCCTATTTTTCAATTCCTAGAATAAACACTGTATCGGTATGTAGAAAGAAGACATTTAAGCTTCATGAAAGACTGTAACTTTGCAGTTTCCATGTAGTACTGTACACACTGTAATGTAAGATCTAAATTTCATAAATGTCTCCCAGGTTTGTTTTTCTTATAACACATTTCTACTTCTAATTCTAGGGTTGAAGGGCTGTTGTTACTGAATGTTATAGTTAAGCAGTGCACCACTGATGTATTTCAGCAGAATGCCAGTACATGGATCAAACTTCTTATACAGACTCTACAGGTACATGGGATGGGAATGGGAAAGTCGAAGGGGACTGCTCAGTGGGCAAGGGATTAAAATAGCTGGCTTCAAATCACATTAAAGACTTGTGATTATTTCATGTTTGGAAGCTGTACTGCTCGCTTACAGTACTGAATGCTAGTGGTTCTAGTCAGGATCCTGAAATAATGCTCAAAAGGACAACATACCAGTGTAGCTGGAAAGTTACTGACCATTTTAGTGTTGGGAAGATTATGTTTAAATGCAATTAACATTTCAGTCTGGTTTTTAATATTCATAAATCTAGATTTTGTGTGAATATCAGTATTTGCATAAAATATGTATGAAAATTTGCAATTTACAAAATGGGTTAAGATATGTACAAAATATTAATTCTCTCTGTAAGATTATTATTTCTTGCATATTGTTAACCAAACTTGGCCGAAAACCAATTATTGGCCTGTTTAACTTGTAACACCTGAAAATAAATTATGTATAAACAGTAAAAAGGAGATAACTGTAAAGAACAGGTAGGTTGTTGCAAGTTTCTACCACAATCATTTTTCTAACTAGTCCTTAAAATTTCAAATAGATATTCACTACTCTTTATGGCAAACAGAGGAAGTTACGTAGATTCCAACCAAATATTTGTCTTGAGCTGGTAGAGTTGCATTAGGCCCAAGTATGCTTTATAAGAGTACAGATATCTAATTAACAAAACCACACCACCGTTATACTTGATTTATTTTTATACTCTAGATTGATAAAACAAATACAACAAAGTTACTTGTTTGATTGAAATGGTAAAAAATACATGATGTACTACATTGTTTTCATACCTCTTGAATAGTATCTACATTAGGTGACCTGTTTCATTTTCATTATCAAATTATGATATTTGTTTTGTAGGGTCATTGTGCAGCATCTGTTTATAGTGCCACATGCCATGTTTTAAAGGAGATCATACAATATTCAAAATCATTTTCTGATATGTCAAGGGAGATAACTACAACAGTCATACCCCAACTGTTGCCAATACTGATTACTTCCCCTGAAGAGGTAGGTTGACAGTTAATACAAATATTTGCCTATCATGGCCATGAAAGATAATTATCAAGTTATTTTCTGCCAATTTTTTTTTTTGAAAAATTAAAAGTTTTTTTAATACAAATGTCCCTTTGTTCTGTAATGGAGTCAGTTTTAATATGTTTGACACAACACAAAATTGGAAGGAAAATTCAAATTCAAGTTTTCAAAGTTTTACGTATCCTTTTCGGTAGTTGATTTACATGACTGTATGCTGCAAACATGCTTTTCATTAGGAACAGGCTGTAGTCTCAAACGCATTTAACAGGCCTCAAAGCTTAGAAAATACTCTTTTATTGTATGATGTGTAACAAATTTATAACAAACCATCTTAGAATAAACTTAATGACAACCCTGTACAAACATTTTGTGTTATCGGTTTTAATGAGAATAATGTAAAGTGTAACTGTAGAAATGTCTATATTTCAGGTGACAGAGTCTGCTGTTTCATGCATTAATGCATGCATCAAGAATTATCCAGGACCTGTAGGCCCATTCAAGAATAAACTGGACAGTTTTATACTTCAAAATCTAGACAGTAATACAAACTGTAAGGTAAGGACCTTTTTGTTTTTATATTGGCTTAATTAGTGTTTCAAACGAAAGGGCCCAAATAGACTTAAATGCTATCTTCTGATGTAAGGCTAATTGTTTCAAACAAAGAGGCCCATATCGTCTAAACGCTATCCTTGTATATATTAGATTTAAAACCATTGAAAATTACACTCTGCCAAGAAGGATGCAGTGAGACTACAATCATGTTTACTATAGTCACAAACTTTCAACCAATGAAAATCAAGTTTAAACGGCTCATGACATAATGAAGTGCATTAAGAGTACATAATTATAGTTAGAGTTTATCACAGTCAATTAAATTTGGTTTCTAAGAGTTGGAATGTTTGCATAGAAATTTCAATTTGGTCTGAAAGATAGGGTTATTTAGTACAGAATAGATTTAATATATGGTCTAAAACTTCTAGACATATCAAGAGTGGCATATTTGGACAGCAATTTGAATATCGTCTCTTAGAGTTTGAAGTTTAAGCACAGTAAATTTGAAAATGAGTTAGCTGCTAGATTAATACATATTTCTCAGTAACTTAACTTGTTTATCAAGTTATAAATAGATGTTTGAATTATTTTTTCAGGCAGTATACAGATGCTATGCCTTACTGTCCCAATGTGGACCAGGTGGTACTGCCGGTATCAAACATACAGAGGCTTGGGCTTATCAGTGCCAGAGATTAATGGGCAGTTTACATTCAACTGTGGCAGAATTATATGATGGCTTAGAACCTGGTATTTTTCAATTGTTAAATAATTAAGCTAAATTTACAGGTTTACCTAAACAAAGTTATTGCACATGAAATTTAGTTTTGAAATTCCAAGAAAAAATTTATTTTAATGGAATTTGGTTATGTTTCTTGTTAATTCTAGGGATTTTTTAGATATTACACTGCAGAACAAAAAAATGACTGCTATTTATTTTGAAGTTGGGCATCTTTTGGAGATGTAATTAATAATCAAAATTTAACATAGTTTGAAAATTTGTAAAGCTTGAAAATATTCCTGGGATATTGTTAGACAGAAGTGTCTGGTTATTATGAATATATGCCAGTGAATTTTATATGTTTATCTTTAGAATTCATGCAGAAAGGAATAGAAAATTCTGGTTTAGACCTGTCACCTATAGGCCTCGACCAGATAGACAGAGTTACTGCCCTTGTTCATAGATGGCATACCTTGACAAGTTGCATGGGGTACATGTTAAAGTAGGTGTTATAATGAATTTTGTTTATTTATCAAATAGATATGGTTAGATAATTATGAAACTTGACATATGCGCTAAAACAAATGATTGGGATAACACATGTTGTTATAACCCTTATATAAGTGAAAATGTTTTAAGTCTATTTTTATTGATCATGATGTTTTTTATGCATTCATTTATAACTACAGGTAGTATTAAAAAATCTGATAGGAACTTTTCTCTCCCAGTATACCTTTATATAATAACATGAATTTTCACATTTCATTTTGTACATTCCATATGACTTCTTCCTTAAAAAAACAACATTAGTTGTGATTCTTAAATGTCCAACTTGTGGCTATAATATTTTATGGACTGACAGTTATGGATTTGCAATGTAGTATCATTATGACCTCAAACTCTAAAACTAAAAAAAAAACAACAAACAAACAAAAAAACAAAAAACAATTACAATATGTAAATATGTATGATATATGTAGTTCTGTACAGGAAAAAGTGTTACTGAAAGAGAAACATATTATTCTTCTCAAATTTGGTGTTATTTTCCTTTTTTTCTCTCAACAATTTTTTTTTAAATAATAACTTGTCATGTTATTTGCTTTATATTATGTTAAAATTTTATAATTTGGATAATGATACTGATATACTGTATGTGTATTTAAATTCGCGGAAGCAAATTTTCGCGGAAAGGTCCATTTTGGGGGTATATACAAATATTCGCGCTATTTTGAATTCGCGGAGGTGACTGCCGAAAATCATAAATTCGCGTACACCCATCAGGTTAAAAAATAAGGGAAATTACTCTCACACGATTAGGCAATGGTTTTCGCAAGCAGCCTTTTTTCATTTTACATACTTAATCATTTAAGGATTTCACAGTTATTTGCCACACCTGGTGTCAAACAATACGCTATTGTACAGAACAAAGACATTCAATTCTAGCGGACAGATTATGGCAAACAAAAGAATGTCCGTTAACGTGCGTGATTTTTCACAGTTTTAAACAGCACTGAATGAGACCATAATCTTTTCACCGATTTTGTTAAAATGCTGACTGAGTAATTGTGTTTTGTTTTCCACGTTTTCATCAGTTAAAATCGTAAGTGTTTGTGTTGTTTCTATTGTTTTGTTTAGAAAAACAAAATATAATCTGATCAGATGTCAAGACGTTTATGACTCAAACAATAATCCACTAGCAAACTAATTTATATACAGAGCTGAATGTTACATGTACAGTTTATACGACAGTAAAATCACTCTTTGAAAGCGCCACGTATACAAGACTTATAGCAGCCATGAACACACTGACATACATTCTCCTACAGATGCGCGAAAATATGACAATTAAGAAATTATTGGTGTAGAAATATTCGCGCTGAACATGAATTCGCGGATCGAATGTCACCGTGAAGATCGCGAAAATTTGAAGCCCGCGAATATTTCTACACATACAGTATTTTGTGTATATTTTCAGTGAAGAGATGTTATCTGTAGTGAAAGTTCCAGCAGATGGTATTCTACAGTTGATCTTCAGATGTCTCTCTATAAATGCAACCATTCTGGTATTTTATTTACATAAATTTCAAAATGAGATTTACATTAACTTCAACTTTATAATGTATCGATATATTACTCATTACTGTGTATTAGGATTATGTTGCTAAATAAGTAAATTATGGAATATCAATGGTTCTACCCCGTATTGTGCCTAAGATAATGCAATTGTAATTAAGGACACTTGTGACTGCAGAAGGTGTTGAGACCTTAGACCCCAACATGAGCATTATAACAGGGTTTCAGTGTATCAACAAAAATCAAGATTCGGTGTACTTTATATAAATATTCAAAATTGCTCAATGGAGAAATTGTTTCACAAGTACAAAAAAAAATCAACCTGTTTGCTACTTAATACTATGCCCCATAAAGTATATAAACCTTTTTTTATTTCATACAGTTGCAAAGACCAACACAGGAAAGATGTTTACTGGCTGGTTTTATACCAGACATACATATAGATGCACTTGGTATACTCCATCATTTGATTCTCTTGTAAGTTATATTACATTATTTATATACTCTTTTCGTGACTCTATTTCTATTGTGTCAGATTTGCACAAGGGAGCATCAATTTATGACATTGAATGTGATCAAGCCAATTGTGTGATAGTGAAAATCATGGTGCATAATATACTGTGGCTGATTATCTTGTAATGTAACTACGCATGTACTATACTGATGAGAATTATGGAGTTAGTCTAATAATTTCTACATGTGAATAAATTTCTGAGTTGGACACTTATGGGGGGAGTCTGTGGCCCAGTGGTTGAGGTCATTGACTTCAAGCCACTTGCCCCCCACCGCTGTTGGTTCGAATCCCGACAGGGACTTTGGATTCTTTCATGTGATAATGCTATTCAACTAACTTATGGAACATTGGTGGTTCTACTTGGATTTCCGATCGTGCCTGAAATAATGCACTGAAGGGCATTTGAGGTCTTACTACACCAATAAAGCTTGAAAGTGCCCATATGACCTATACTGTGTAGGTGTAACGTAAATCCCGATCAAACAAACAACACTTATGAGGTATCGGCATCTCATATAACAGGGATCCTCACTTATAGAGATTACGAATTCCGACACGATTCCTAATGTCAGAATTAAAACATATAATTTTGTGTTTTAACAGTCAAATATTCAATTTAAAAGGAATAATTTTATTTCAAAGAGATCCCTGAATATGAGGAAAGGTCTGCAGAATATTAGGGGAAAAAACGAGTCCAACAGAACCCTGAAATTGATATTAAACCTGAATGTAGTAGTAGAAGGGTTTATTTTACCATCCTTTCTCTTTTTAGATGTAGAAGGAATCTAGTACCACATTGTATGAATATTGTCAGTGTATTATGCCAAGAACTTGTATGGACACAGACTGGGAACAATGGTTACAGTAAACAATATGGGTATGTGTAAATGTTCATTATTTATTATTCTAACACGACTCACATTTTTCCCTATTGAACATAGAAGGACCGAAAGTGTGTGTTATTATGTCTTAAAAGCTGTATGCACCAATTTATTTCTTTCCTTCTTATTTACTATAAGATAAATTGACCCGTCGACTTACCTATTTACTCATTTCGATGACACAATAGCACAATTTAGTGTAACTTTTGCTTACATACAATTCCAGTGTTGTTTTCTTATCCCTTCATTATGGGATATACATGATGGATCAAGAATAAAAACATATTGTTTATACTAGTAAGCAACATGCTTTCTCTACAATCAATTTCAGATAAATATTGTTTAAACTAAACTATTTTTAGCTCACCTGTCACAAAGTGATATTGGGCTTTTTAAAAGAAGCACAAAGTGACAGGGTGAGCTTTTGTGATCGCTTTTCCTCCGGCCGTCTGTCGTCCGTCCGTAAACTTTTACTTTAAATGACATCTCCTCATAAATTGGCCCCGCCCCGGGGGGTCATTGATTTTCCCTATATGCATATAGTAAAAACTTAAAAAATCTTCTTTTAAAGAACTCAAAGAGCTATGGCTAAGATATTTAGCAAGAAACATGTTCTAATAAGTGTGTACCAAGTTTGTTCAAATAAAAGCCCTGGGGTCAAAATTGGCCCCGCCCCGGGGGGTCATTAATTTTCCCTATATGCATATAGTAAAAACTTAAAAAATCTTCTTTTAAAGAACTCAAAGAGCTATGGCTAAGATATTAAGCATGAAACATGTTCTAATAGGTGTCTACCAAGTTTGTTCAAATAAAAGCCCTGGGGTCAAAATTGGCACCGCCCCGGGGGTCATTGATTTTCCTTATATGTGTATAGCAAAAACTTAAAAAGTCTTCTTTGAAAAAACCCAAATAGCTAGAGTTAAGATATCAAGCATGAAACATCTTTTAGTGAGTGTCTACAAAGTTTGTTCAAATAAAAGACCAGGGGTCAAAATTGGCCCCGCCCCGGGGGTCATTGATTTTCTTTATGTGTATAGCAAAAACTTAAAATCTTCTTTGGAAAAACCCAAATAGCTAGAGTTTAGATATTAAGCATGAAACATCTTCTAGTAAGTGTCTACAAAGTTTGTTCAAATAAAAGCCCTGGGGTCAAAACTGGCCCGGCCCCAGGGGTGTCATTGTTTTTAACTATATGTGTATAGTAAAAACTTTAAAAAAATCTTCTTTTAAAAAGCCCAATGAGCTAGAGCTTAGATGTTTAGCATGAAACATCTTCTTATGGGTGTCTACCAAGTTTGTGCAAATAAAAGCCCTTGGGTTAAATTGGCCCTGCAACGTTTGGGGTTGGGGGGGGGGGGGGGGGGGCTATATACAGGTGAGCGACCTCAGGGCCATCATGGCCCTCTTGTTTGATATGCAAACCTATTTTGCAGTGATTTAAGGTTATTATCTTACAGAGTCTTGAGACAGAAAGTGTATGAAGTATTTAGTACCTGGTTGAAAGCTCTTGATGGTTGTTCTGGTATCCTGTTAGAGGAAACAACTCTCGTTAAACATTTACTTCAGGATTGTGCCCCATTTACAGACACACTCCAGGTAAAGATTAATTTGTTATGGATATAAAAGTAACAAATTTCCCTTTAATAAAGTTAGTGTTATATATATCACTTAGCAGTACATATGCCTGCTTAGCTTAGATTTATAATCTAGGGGTTTCTGGTATGATCCATGGGCTAAATTTCCTCGTGGCAATTTATCTCGGTCATTGAGTCTTGTAGTCAGCTATGTCCAAAATGATGTAGTCTGGCACTTGCAAAAACTCATTAAATATTCAGCCAGCTTAAGTTGATTAGGTGGAGCAAATGCTGAGGTATGAGTTAAAATGTGTTAAAATCAGTGAATAAAAAAAACCCAAGACAAACAAACAAACCTAGCTATTAAATGTATTTTTTCTTTTTGACAGATGACATCTGAGAAGGGTACTGTGGGAGATGGTCCTTCAAAGAAGAAGAAGAGAAAAGGTTACCAGGAGATAAGTCAGGGTATTAGTACACAGAGAAAAGTTCACCCATTAGCCAACAGTGACCTGGTTACAGCAGCACTAGATAGTAAGGATTTACATTAAATTCATTTGAGCCGAGCCATGACAAAACCAACATAATGCATTTGCGATCAGCATGGATCCAGACCAGCCTGCGCAAACGTGGATACTCTATAACAAGTAGCGAAACTGATAGCGTAGAGCATGGATCCTGATCAGTCTGCGAATGTGCAGGCTGGTCTGGATTCATGCTGGTCGCAAACGCACTATGTTGGTTTTGTCATGGGGCTGCTCAATTTTCTTCTTTTCAAAATGTTAACTTTTTTTAATTCAGAAGCCACAGTGACTTACCTGTCAAAAGTTAGTGCCTTGACATTTGTTAAAGCTGCATGCCACCAGACCAGCCAAACGATTTCACGATTTATCAAATTTTAGAAAAGTAAAAAAGATTCAAGATTCAGGTGATAAATTACATGTTATGTGTAATTATTGACTGATTCTGTAGTTTTTTTTTTTTCACCATGTAAACTTGTGGAAAGTACATGTAACTGATCTTACTTTGATACCTGTATGTGCCCAAATCCAGGACAGTTTTGAATAACTGCTTGACAAAAAACACTGTAAAAATTCATAGAGCTAACAGTGTCAAAAGTTGATTAAATACAAGTAATTCTTATAAGTTGATCATATATCAAAAGAGAAAGGGTGAAAATACCTTTGGTGTGAAGTTTGTATGTTTCGAATGTATTCATTAATTAATTACCTCCTGAGCCATTGTGTAATTGGCAACATAACCTTTTTTAGCTCGACTATTCGATAAGAATAAGTAGAGCTATTGCAGTCACCCGAGCGTCGGCGTCAGCGTAACCACTTATGTTAAAGTTTTTGTAATAGTTCAAATATTTTCAAAGTCCATAGACATATGGCTTTGAAACTTTGCACACTTGTTCACCATCATGACCCCAACCTGTAGACAGGAGGAGGCAACTCTATCAAGCATTTTGACAGAATTATGCCCCTTTTTCAACTTAGAATTTACGTTAAAGTTTTTGTAATAGTTCAAATATTTTCAAAGTCCATTGACATATGGCTTTGAAACTTTACACACTTGTTCACCATCATGACCCCAACCTGGAAACAGGAGGAGGTAACCCTATCAAGCATTTTGACAGAATTATGCCCCTTTTTCGACTTAGAATTTACGTTAAAGTTTTTGTAATAGTTCAAATATTTTCAAAGTCCATTGACATATGGCTTTGAAACTTTGCACACTTGTTCACCATCATGACCCCAACCTGTAAACAGGAGGAGGTAAGTCTATCAAGCTTTTTTTTTACTATCAAGCACTAAGAATAGTCGAGCGTTGCTGTCCTACCGACAGCTCTTGTTGTTTAGGTTATAAACTTCAATACTAACAATGCTATCGCAATTAAACAGGCTTACATGTGGATATACCTAAATTAACAGATTGTGTTTTTATTGTTTTTTATTTGTTTTTCCAAAGTATATCCATGACAACCAGTTGAAAATTAAAGTTTATATTGTTTTCAGCATTATACTGGTTCATTACCACATCAGGAAGTGAGATGACAGGCAAAAAATTGCAAGAGATTGTGGAGTTTGTAATTCATACTTTGTTCTTGGTTCAGCAGAGTCGGGATTCCCCTATCCCGTACACTAGTATCTATTGCAGGAAGGGTCTATACTCTGTCCTGCAGGCTTTAGTTTTAGCACCAAACCCAAAGGTCCCTTCCCCGGTACAGTGTGCGTTACAGCTGTTCAACACTGGTTTACTGGATAAATGCTTGGAGGTAAGATTTTTTTTAAACATTCTAACACGACCCGCATTTTTCTGTATTGAACATAGAAGAACTGAAAGTGTGTGTTATGCAATAAAATCACTGTTGACATTCTATATTTAGACATGTGACTTAATCATTATATACATGTGAATAGCCGCTAAAAATGTGACGAGCTGAAATAAGTATGGAAACAAATCCGGGCAATTTAGCTTAATATCAGGTATGGCAGCATTAATTTGTTAATGTTGTGTTAGAATCAAAATAATATATTGAAATCGGTGTTTTTATCGCTTGATAAAATCACTGTTTTTCTTTCGGATGCTCATCATTATATAATTCCAGGCTTTCGAACGACAAACGTTGATTTTATTGAGCAATGAAATCACAGTGTTGGATATATTATTTCTTAATAAGATCATTCATTTACCATGACATGCAAGAATAAAATACAATAGAACTTTGGTAAGTCAAAGTTGAAGGGACTTATGTAAAAACTTTGACACATCGGGACTTCGACTTGTGAATCGGTCTCAATTTAATGACAAAATGTCAAGCATTTGATGTGTACAAGCGAGTTACAATAAAATTTTGACTCATGTATAGGCTTTTATCAAGAATATATAGGAGAAATATTCTGGACTTTTGTTTTACTTCGACACATCAAGAAAATCGACTTATCGAAGTTTGACTCATAAAAGTTCTATTGTTAAAAGCGGTGTATAGTACATTCTTTTATCTCATATAATGACTAAATAAGTAGATAAATCAGGAGCTTGCCAGTCTTTTTGACCTGTATATTTGGCTGTCTTTATGTCACATTTTGTCTATCCTGGGACAATATTAACTTTGGCCAAAACATCCAAAACTATTAGCACAACTCTCATACTTGGAAAAAACAAAGCTCAGAACAAAACATTGATTATGACATATCAAAAAATAACCTTGACCCTTTTATATGACCTTGACTTACATGGTAAATATTTCAAACTTTCACTAGAGATAACCTTTTTTATGTTAGATGCATAATTATGTAACCTGTAAATATATGATTAGTTTCTGATGATCATTTATTTTTGATACACTCAGAATTGATAAACCAATTTCTGTTGAACCATCCTATTGAACAACATCCTTCAGTGACTATACTTTGTTATTATAACTACAACAAAAACAATATATTGTAGTTACAGTTTTTTTTTCTGATGAAGAGTTAGAAATATTGCTCATAAATCATGATGCAACTGAAACAGATTTGAAATTTGTCCTATCTAATTCCAGGTATCGTCTTACTGTGTAGAAGCAATGAGAGTTTGTGAGAGTTTAATACATGCCAGAGTTCCATGTTTGAATGGTCCAATTGTGTGTGATAACCTTATACATATTGGAGGAGATTTTTCACACTCTGCCAAAGGTATTCTTATGATAATAGTATTTTGGCGTCAACGGCGGAATTGTTAATGTCATTGACTTGAAACCACATGCCCCATACTGCTGTATGATTGAATCCTACCAGGGGCTTTGGATTATTGATTTTGACGAAGCTATTTAGCTAGCTTAAGGAATGTTGGTGGTTGTACTGGGATTCACTCATGCCTGAAATCATGCACAGAGGAGCAACACAGAAAGAGCTGGAAAGTGCAATAACCTCTACCCTGTGACGTAAAGCCCAATAAAAAAAATAAGTCAATGATGGCTATTGGCAAGGGCCTTTATAATTGTTGGGTTATTAAATATGAAAAAGCTGTCCTGCTTAAATTTTGTGGTTCTGCATGAAGTCTTTCATGGATAACTTTATTATTGTGATAATCTGATGAGACCTTATTTAACAATGAAGACTGATTGAAGAAAACTTGTTGCATAAATTGCCAATTACTTTCCATAAAATAGGTTTTTTGCAGACTTATAGTTATTTGCACCATTTAATGAAGGCTAATAAGCAAAATTTCAGATAATTTACTCACTCAGATCTTCCAAAACAATCTTTTTTATTGTACCAAATGACCATAAAAGTGAAAAGCCTTCAAACACCTTTATTTCAAATTTGACTAAGAATCACATAAAAAAAATGATTTCCAATGTAAATCTCAGTATATTCCTTTACTATCTTTCTTTTCAAATTTTTGCCAGTTCTTTTGATCTAAATTTGATCTAGGCATTTGGACCTAAATGGAGTTGCTTTAAGGACCTGCAGTTTGCCTAAATCTGATAGTAATGCTATTTTAACACCATGTGACCTTTGTGTCTTTGATATTTAAAACCTTTTAAATATGCTACTTTTTCAGGACAATTTAATCAAACTGACACAGCTCAAACAAATGGACATGACGAGAACGTAGGTAAAAATACTTCAGAAAATAAAGTTAATAATACTTTAGAAAATATGGACACACTTGAAAATATAAGTGTAGATAGAACATTAAAAAGAAGTAGACAGGCAGCAGATTTGGAGAATGAGGCAAGTGAAAATATTGACTCTAACAAGCTATTAAAAACTGGGACTGTTGCAAGTAAAACCAGAGTTACTGAAGGAAGAAATAGCAATATAGATGATAACATTAAAGAAGTAGAGGTTATAGACTCTGACTCTGAGAGTAATACTGATGAAGATAATGATAACAGTGGAGATGATGATGTTGAAATGGTTGAAAATAAGGATAAAAATAGTGGAAAATGGAAGGGAAGTGGTAAATCTAAAGACAGTGAAGTAGAATTTACTGGGGAGAGTGGGGACAAGGTGGATGATACAAGTAAAGAAACAGTACAGAATAGGATAGATGCAGCTGAAACTAATGATACAGTTGAAGATAAAAAGAAAAAATTAAATGACAACAAGGAAAATGATGATGAAGGTGATATTGTTAATGACAATAAGGATATACCAAAGGGTCAGGATGTCAAGGTGAGACTGAATTTTTTTCTATTAAAGAAGCTTAAATTGGTTCATTCGTAGATTTTAAGATTTCCACTATCATATAGAAGACATACAATGAAAAGATGGTTTTTATGTCAGCTTTTACTCTGTCCATGCTAAACGTGTAAGGGCATCTGTGGCAGAGTGGTTAAATCACTTGCCCCTAACTGCTTAGTGTTTTTTTTTTATGGGAGAAAGCTATCTAACAAACTTTGTTCTTCTAGCTTGCCAGATTTTGCCTGAAATAATGCACAACTGGTATCTGAAGTCTTCCTTCACCAATAAAGCTGGAAAGTCACCACACAACCTCTACTGTGTTGATGTGACATAAAACCCAGTTTTTGCCTGAAATAATGCACATCTTCCTCCACCAATAAAGCTAGAAAGTCACCATACAACCTCTACTGTGTTGATGTGACATAAAACCCAGTTTTGCCTGAAATAATGCACATCTTCCTTCACCAATAAAGCTAGAAAGTCACCACACAACCTCTACTGTGTTGATGTGACATAAAACCCAGTTTTTGCCTGAAATAATGCACATCTTCCTCCACCAATAAAGCTAAAAAGTCACCACACAACCTCTACTGTGTTGATGTGACATAAAACCCAGTTTTTGCCTGAAATAATGCACATCTTCCTCCACCAATAAAGCTAGAAAGTCACCACAGATTCACAACCTCTACTGTGTGTAGATCTAACATACTTTGTTCTACTAGCTTGCCAGTTTTTGCCTGAAATAGTGCACAACTGGCATCTGAAGTCTTCCTCCACCAATAAAGCTAGAAAGTCACCACACAACCTCTACTGTGTTGATGTGACATAAAACCCAATGAAAGTGTAAGCTAAATTTATAAAATGACCTTGTCCTACATTGTGTTTGAAAGTTTCCATAATTCATTTGTAAGGGATTTTGTTATCTAAATGCTAGTTCTAAACAAGTAGCTACAGTATTGAATTATATAAAATCTGGTCAGATTGAAATAATGTCCATGCAAATCTGGCATTAGACTAGAGATAAAATTGTTAATTCTCTATTTCAGGAACCAGACAGTGATGTCATCAACATGATGTCAGCTTTCATTGATGCGGGTCCAGACTCTGACTGATATTAAATCACTATGTTATAACTATGAAATGGTCATTTGAAATAAACAAACTGAACCACTTTTATCTAGCCATTTGTTTCTCCTCAGAATGTATCTTTTTGTCATGTTTTTAATGTCAGTTTTAACACTTTTTTAGTCATATCGGTAGTTGGTCAATATAACTGGATATCAGTACTCTTGGCAAGTAGTAGATTAATTTCCCATATAATTTTTGAATCAGCTATGAGAGAAATGTTGAAAAGAACCTTGCACTGGCTCTGGGCACTGACCAAAAATTCTAGCTGAAAAATAATTGGTTATGGCAGTAACAAGACTGCAGTTACCAAAGAGCTTGATATTTCCATCTGTGACTACACCTGATGTTTGATTCTTTTTCCCACGTATACCGGTATAACATATAAAACAAACTTTGTGAAAAGTAATATCTTTATTCGGCACTATTATTGTAGTATTTAATCAAGAGTATATATGAATTTACAAGTTCATTCATAGCGGCAAATTGATGTTATCCTATTAACGCAATTCATTCATAAAAGGTGCTTGGGAATTTTCATAAACATGTGACATGTTTTACACTTTTACACTGGAGTGTAAGACAGGATTTTCTAGCACTAGTGTAAAAAGTAGATAATCCTGTCTGATAATGCAATCTAAGATGATGATCTAGATCAATTTTCGCTGAATATTTTTGATGTGCCTATAATAACCAAACTACAACCAGTTGGGATTTAACTCGCACCAACACCATAAAAGTCATACAATGTTCTTACAGCTTTACTGGAGGAGGAAGACCTAGTGTCTCTTGGTGCATAAGCTGGCACCATTTGATTGAGACAAGGATTATACTGATTCAAAACTTACCTCTTATAAAACGAGTCCTAGGACTAAAGAGTCATGGAACAAGTTACACTTTGCATACAAATATTAGTCATGAACTACAAGAACTGTTTAACTTCAAATCAATATGTAATCAATCTCGACATGGGTGTCCTGATGCCAAAGCAGGATGAAGTTACTGTATAAATCAAGCAGGAGGGTTACCTTCCAATATCAAGTACTATTTCGTCATACTGTGAACATTCATTTTATATTGAGATCTTACTTGTCACTAAAAGAAATTGTCTAAAGCCTTAACCTGCTAAATTTCTTAAATGGGCTTGTCCTGCAAACATTTTTACAACTGTCCAATTTTCAATTTGTGGGACATCAAGATGAAGACTAAGACCTGCTGCAAACATTTTTCTATCTGTCCATTATCAATTTGTTGGACATTGAGATGAAAACTTAAAGGTTAGCAAAACCAATAGTATACGGCTGACCTGGCTCTATACTGGTGGCAAAGTCCAGTCACATTTGATTCCAGCAGGGATTAGGGAAACTTTTCTTAAATTTTCTGGATACCAACTGAGAATGCAACTAATATCAGCAGTTGTACATATATGAGCCGGGTCACGACAAAACCAACATAATGCGTTTGCGACCAGCATGAATCCAGTCCAGCCTGCGCATCCGTGCAGTCTGATCAGGATCCATGCTGTTCGCTTACAAACCATATTACAAGTAGAGAAACTGATAGCAAACAGCATGGATCCTGATCAGACTGCGCGGATGCGCAGGCTGGTCTGGATCCATGCTGATCGCAAACCCATTATGTTGGTTTTGTCATGACGCAGCTCAGTTATGAAGATAAAAGGGAGTGTTGATGTCCTGAAGGAACAATTCCACAGATTACATATAGCTAGTAAGCCCTCATTATCCCTCGTGTACAGACTCAAACCGAGTCTGCAATTTCCATGTAATTTTGTTCTGAGGAGCACTGTTTCCAGATTTGGATACTACCTTAAAGCTGTACTTAAAGGCACAATATGCCTCAGAAACAAATAATTTTTTACTTCTTTAGCAAGTGCAGACATGAATAATTATTTTATAATGTTTAAATAATGGTTTTAGAGAAGATAGATGCTCATTACTTAAAAAAAGTAGCGGTAAGTAATAGAAAGAGCACCGAAACACGAGGCTATCTGATTTGTACGAGGGGGCGTAGCCCCCGAGTATAAATCAGATTGCCGAGTGTTTTGGTGTTCTTTCTCTTTTGTATCATAGTCAAACATGACAGCACGTTCCCTGTTGTCATAATATGAAACCCCAGAAAAAATGAACCAATTAACGAGCATTTGAATAATGATATTTCTGCCCCTTTCCCTTTCTCTGCCGTCACAATAAGTAAACCCCAGCAAAAATGAACCAATCAACGGGCATTATCTGGAGTGCGGGTAAATGATACCCGCACTCCAGTTACCGCACTGTGCATGTATATATATACGATTTAACTCGGACACTTTTTCAACAGAAAGGTCCCCAAACTATGATACAAGTAATAGAAAGAGCACCGAAACACGAGGTTATCTGATTTGTACGAGGGGGCGTAGCCCCCCGAGTTATAATCAGATTACCGAGTGTTTTGGTGTTCTTTCTCTTTTGTATCATAGTCAAACATAAACACACGTTCCCTGTTGTCACAATATGAAACCCCGGCAAAAATGAACCAATGAACGAACATCTGAATATGATATTTCTGTCGCTTTACCTTTCTCTGCCGTCACAATATGTAAACCCCAGCAAAAATGAGCCAATCAATGGGCATGCTCTGGAGTGCGGGTAACTAATACCCGCACTCCAGTTAACGCACTGTGCATGTTTATGTATACGATTTAACCCTGACACATTTTCAACAGAAAGGTCTCCAAACTATGATACAAGTGTTTAATAATTTGTCATAGTAAAAGGAAAATATAGGTAAAGTAGTATTTTGGCTTCAATACAAAATATTTAGTATTTTGGCTTCAATACAAAATATTAGCTCGCTTTAACTGTACTTATTGCGATAAAAAAGATGGTTCTGGTAATTGGCCAATGAGTAACTTTTTGAATACAATAATGTACACCAAAAATAAAAAGCTAGCTTTTGCGAAATAAAAATGAAGTATTTCTGAGGCATAATGGGCCTCTAATAAGATGACATTATGCAGCTTTCCTTCAACAGACTATGGAACATATCTTACTCTGCAAGAAAAAATAGGAAAACCTTCATTTTTCTAGTTTATTCTATGCAATATATACAGACGATTATAAAAATCTATTTACATACATTGTTACAATATAATTATATTCTACAAGTACCCGGTATGTATAATTCATAAATCTGTAATAAGAGTCAAACTCCATACAGCAACTGTACAATTTCTTTCCTTGTAAGATGATTATCCTATGTTAAATACGGTATAAAAATATCTTTGCTTAAAGATGGACTGGTAACCTTAACATGCCATAATTACCGTAAAATTCCTATTAAATGCCCCAGGGGTTAAACATTTTTGAAAGGGGCTGCATTATTTTAAAACACAGTTTTTCCTAAATCAAAAAATCATTGTAAATTATATGCTTGGTGTTAAACAAGTTTTCATAATAACATTAAAGTTTTAAAGTTTATAGGATACATTTTTTTGGTTCCTATAAAAATTATTGATTTACTCTTTGAGTTCATCACTGATGAGTAGATTAAAAAAAACTTAGGTGTTGGGCCTTTATTAGGGAAGGGGCGTTTAAATAGGAATTTTACGGTATTTCTTTAAATAAGCACAGAAACTTTATCAATAATTGCAGTGAAGTTTGATTTACTATAAAAATATCCTATCCCAATATATGTGAACACATTATATATCGGAATGGGGTATTGTTTTTACAGGAAACATGACTTAACTGATTTTTTTTAGTTCCTGTGAAATAACTAACATTTCTTTCTACAATGCATTCTAATGCAGTAATACATTTTCTTTTGACTAGAGTTTTCTTAGTACAAGTATTTTGATAAGGAAACTACCTAAAATTTTAAAATCTAATGGTGCGAAAAAAGAGAAGAAATTAAGTTATTAATCAGTTGACTTGGCAAAGACAACTTTCTATAGACCATTTGAGACAAAATACACATCAATAAAATTAAATATTTGCAAATATATTATTATAGAATATGCAAGAATTTCACATACTATATAGACTTTACCTAAAGGGCCAATTGTTTCCTGACAGTTGAAAGAAATTTTCAATAAGCAAACTTGAGAAATATAATTTTATAAATAATTTATATTCCCAAACTAGATATTTCACAGAATTATGAGTATGGCAGAATTTATTAACTTTATCACTAAAAGTCTACCTTATTTAACAAATGGAGCATGACAATTTTTTGCATATTTTGACGTGAATAAATTTTCTTTTTTTTCATAATTCAGGTGAAACTAGAAATGTTTAAAATTTGACAGACTTACTGTTTCTATAGTTAAAATTCTACCCCAATGAAAGAATCTTTTTAATTTTACCCAAATGAAAAATGTTTTTTGCATATTTTGACACGCTAATTCTATGGACAGCAAGTAAGGTAGTGTAGGTTAAATAACTTGGCAACATTATTTATTAAACCTATCATTTAATGCTTTCGCAGAAATAAACAAAAATCTGAAGTGGGCATGCTGCTTTAATAAAAAGCCTAGAAAATTGTTATCAGACATTACCTTTACGTATCTTACTAACATTTCTTACAGAAGTGTCATTACATTCATTTTACATCTACCTCATAATTATGGCAACACATACATACAAACTATATTTTTTCGACAACAAAATATAAAAATACCAAAAAAAAATAATAAAACATAAAAAAGAATCATCAGGTGATGTCATTAATGATGCAACTCATTGTCTTTATTATGATGATATCATGACATAAGTATCACAAATGATTACCCTAAGTTTATAATTATAATACATTAAAAACATGCTGTGGTTAAACCCTTACTTCCCTTGAGAGTTGAGACATTATTTTACTTATTGAACTCACTGTGGTATAAATGTCCATATTACAGCATTACAACTTTAAATGTCCATCTCAAACACACTGTTTTTACTCTAAAATACATGTATATTAGATATAGAATCCTCTTTACTCGAGAAAGAAAAACAAGAGGGCCATGATGGCCCTGAATGCGCTCATCTGTATATAGGCCCCTGGACTGGGGCCAGTTTAAACCCCAGGGCTTTTATTTGAACAAACTTGGTAGACACCCATTAGAAGATGTTTCATGCTAAACATCTAAGGTCTAGCTCGTTGGGTTTTTTAAAAGAAGATTTTTTCAAGTTTTTTCTTTACACATATAGATAAAAACAATGACACACCTGGGGCAGGGCCAGTTTTGACCCCAGGGCTTTTATTTGAACAATCTTTGTAGACACTTACTAGAAAATGTTTCATGCTTAATATCTAAACTCTAGCTATTCAGGTTTTTTCAAAGAAGATTTTTAAGTTTTTGCTATACACATATAAGGAAAATCAATGTCCCCGGGGATTGGGCCAATTTTGACCTCAGGGCTTTTATTTGAACAAACTTTGCAGACACTCACTAGAAGATGCTTTGTGCTTAATATCTTAACTCTAGCTATTTGAGTTTGGTTTTTTTCAAAAAAGATTTTTTAAGTTTTTGCTATACACATATAAGGAAAATCAATGACCCCGGGGCGGGGCCAATTTTGACCCCAGGGCTCATATTTGAACAAACTTGGTAGACATCCATTAGAACATGTTTCATGCTAAATATCTTAGCTCTAGCTCTTTTGGTTCTTTAAAAGAAGATTTTAAAGTTTTTACTATATGCATATAGGGAAAATCAATGGCCCCCTAGGGCCGGGCCAATTTTGACCCCAGGGCTTTTATTTGAACAAACTTGGTAGACACCCATTAGAAGATGTTTCATGCTAAATATTTAAGCTCTAGCTCTTTGGGTTCTTTAAAAGAAGATTTTTTAAGTTTTTACTATATGCATATAGGGAAAATCAATGACCCCCTGGGGCGGGCCAATTTTGACCCGAGGGCTTTTATTTGAACAAACTTGGTAGACACTCACTAGAAGATGTTTCATGCCAAATATCTAAGCTCTAGCTCTTTTGGTTTCTTAGAAGAAGATATTTAAAGTTTTTTCTTTTGGTTGCCATGGCAACCAGAGTTCTGCATGGAATTAAATTCTTTGAACAATTTTCAAAGGTGACCACCAAAGGAACATTCCTGTGAAGTTTGGATGAAATTGGCTTCGTGGTTTATGAGGAGATGTCATTTAAAGTAAAAGTTTACGGACGACGGAAAGACGACAGACGAAAAGTGATCACAAAAGCTCACCCTGTCACTTTGTGACAGGTGAGCTAAAAATGCAAAATTTTGTTTATAATTTCATCGAAGTCCTTTTTCTTAATGTAATAAAAATTTGCTTCTGGTCAAGAGTTTTAACTTAACAAAATTTAGGATCAATAAAACAAATCATTTATACAAGCATATAGTTTGGTCTATAGCAATAGACCAGTTGTCATAAAGCATATAAGCTAAACCTGTAGTAATTTGACCCATCATGCAATTCCAGAAAATTCAGCACTATTTTCATTATTTAGTTAGGTATGGTCTTCATTATTGGTATGTACTTATCGTTAACAAATCATGAAGAATTGTACTTTAAATTTACACCTTATGAACAGCATAAAGAATCATTTCTCTCGAAATCAGTCTAAATAGATGTTGTCTGCAACTTGGCATATCTGGACTTTTCAAAACTAAACCCATGATACAAACAAACTTTTACCGTCATAATAGGTAAATCCATATGTTGTACTTATTTTTTGTAAGTAACATATAACTGTAATTTTGAGTTTGTATACACACACGTACCCTGGGATTAGCTTGGAAAACCCGAAATATTCTGAATTTCAGAGTAAGTCAATTATATATAGTCTGCTCAACTACTGCTAAAGAGTATTTTTCATTGACACACATCTTTGACTTGATGCACCATACTTCAACTGAGGTAACTTCAATAAACACATATATACACTGAAGCCATAGTCTTTTGCACTTGCTTATTCATAAAGTCTACCTATTATCAAGATACTGCATTTCACGCACATAACGAAATCAGGTCAGCAAATACTTTTTTCATTGATCAATGTGTTATTTCCAGTACACGGGTGATTCAGACTTGCCGAGCAAATTCCACCATCTTGGTAACACACAATGCTTTCACACTCGTTGCAGGAAAACACATTCTTCAAATCGATCTGAGACTTTCCGAACAATGACACGCTTCCGTCATCACCTTCAACCACCGTGTACCTAAGAGATTCGTTATTTGACCCTGCCTTGTTAGCTTCTTCTTCTATCTCCCTATTCCTTTCCGTGGTCAGTCGTGACTGCATACATATGAAGAAGTCTTCAGCATTGCAGTATTCATTTTTGCAACTGATGCAAACAAATTTCCTTGAATTGTTAAAAGGAACTGTGCTATTCTCTTCTATGCCACATTCCCCTTCATGTTTCAAATCAAACACACCTTTTCTTGAAAAGCACTTAGATCCACTTGATTTATACTTCTCTGACAAGAATTTTAAATCCCGCAAGTACTTTGAAAGTCCCAAGATATACAAAAATGAGTTAAAGCAGACATGGCAACCTAGTAATTTCTTTTTCGTGTGGAAATCTTCGTCCGAAAACCCCTTAACAGCACATTCCCGTCTGTGTTCCAATAAAGTGCTCTGATGAAAAAAATATTCCATACAATCAACGCACTGTGCCAATATTTCCGTGTGTTGATTTATGAGGTGAAACTTTAATTGTTCGCAACTATGGAAACGCTTGTCACAATACTGGCACGAGAAATGGTCACCAAGGTGTTCCTGAACACTCTCAACAGTGGTGGCCACTGTATCTAGTAATTCTTTACAATCTTCTACGTAATACTGAAGCATGTACTCCTTCATACTCTTCACGGAAGGTTGGCCTGCATCTACCATCGAGCACGATACATCTGCAATATCCTTTCCTTTTGATAGGCTTTTGCATACATGGACATCATACTCGTAAATACTGTTAAATTTCATTATGCAATCAGGGTTTTTACACGCTAACAACAGCTCATCATTATGAGAAATGTTTATATGTGAACGCAGATCATTAATATGAAAAAATCTTTTCCCACAAAATTCACAAACTATACTCTTTCTCGCACTACGCTTACGGTAGTTTTGTATATATGTCCCTCCAGAGTTATATATAAATCTTTTTATTACTGGTCTTGTACTGGCATGGCTAATAACTTCATGCTGCTTTAAGTCAAATGATGTTTTAAAACAAACATCACACAATTTACATGAAAACACAGATGATTCAGAAACTTTACCACCTTTGTGATTTCCACAGTTATCTGTCAATATAGTTTCAGATTCAACTTTGCCATCTTCAGATATTCTCTCATTTTGGAGAACATTGTCCGTCTCCTTTTCAATGCTGTCTGGCAATTTCACATTGTCATCATTTTTCACTACATGATTGTATTTGTCAAGCAGGCGCTGGTGCAATGTTTCAGCACGAATATGATCTGATGAAGACAAATGATGCGAATGAACAGACTTATATGGGAAAATAACACAGCAGATGTGACAGAAACACACCTGTTTATCATCAGAGATTGGAAAATGGTTCGACATATGATTCACAATATCTTCTATAGTACAAATAGCCTCTCTGCAGACGCAGCATCTAAATGTGACTCCTTGATAGAATTTGCGTTTGAAATGTAACTTAAGACATTCGTTACTTGTGAAATTTATTGAACAGCATTGGCACTGTTGGCAATTAATGCGCTTTTCCAAATAGGATATCGGACATCCACTTGACAGAGCTGATCTGCAATGTCTATAGAAAGCAGTTTTATTTGCAAATCGTGTTCTGCATTTCAAACATGAAAAATATGTCAATGTTCTGTTCTTGTAATGCTGTACAATATGTGCCTGAAATTCTACATATGTGCGATATCTTTGAAGACAAAATCGGCACTCATGCTGGTGTTTCAATGCATAATGCTTATCACAACCTTGCACATCAAAGAATATTTGTGCACAATTATCTGCTGGGCATAAGTAGTCAGTCATTGTGGGATGAGCTGTTGTATAATGTTGAGAGAGAGTAGTTTCATGATCATAGGTTATGAAACAGAAGCAACACATGTAGATATCACTTTTCCTTGAACTCTCAGTGGGTTTGCTGATTCTTCTCATAGCCAATTCTCCAGGAGGGCAGTTTTCCTCTCCCGCCATTAAAGGTAGGTTATCATCCTGGTAGGTTACTTCCGCCATGCTTGAATCCATTATATGTTTTTTAGCATGCTTACGGAAATTCTCCAATGTGAATGTCTTCTTACAAATCACACATGGGTACAGTGTAATTACTTGTTCTACTTTAGGTGTTGTTTTCCCTGTCAAAGTCTGACTAAAATAAGATCCCTTTTGTATATCAACCTCAGGAAGGTTCCCCTCTGCATCGATTTCATCTTCATCCTTGCCACAAACATTCAAATCATCTTCACTTGGCATGTTTACTTCAATTTCACTTTCCAGTTCAGAATCTTTTGCAACAGCTTTGACCAAGTCAACAGCTTCAGTTGAACTAGCCAGTGATTTAGACTTTATGAAAGATTCATTTGCAGCATCTATACATGGTTTTGGTACATTTTCAACAAATGTTGTAACTGCAGACTTTTGAGTAGGCAAGTTAGTTGTTGTTGTTGTTGTGGAAACAGGTGTCTCACTTACAGTTGTGGATGGCAAGGTAGATAGTTTAACTGGTAATTGTGACAAAGGTGTGGTCACTTTTCCTTCTTTCAAAACTGAGATACTGTTTACAGCCTTTGATTCTAAAGTAGTACCAGCTTCTGTTGATTCTGTAACAGTCTCTAACTTCTTTTCTTTAGAAGGTGGCATTACTTTTTTTAGAGATGTATTTTCAAAAGAGAGTTTACAAATATGGGTGGAAATCTGTTCTATGTTACTCAGTGACTGCTTACAAATAGCACATGCTAAGCACAGCCCACTTTCTGACATGCCAGCTAAAATCTGAATTGCCGATTTGTTTGACAAAACTTTTACATCATCTGGACTTTGTAATGTCGAGTTAGATGAAACCTGTAAAGCCAATGGACTTTTCTCCTTTGAAGAAAAAGTTGCCGAACAGGAGGTTGGTGTTACAGATGGTGGGGAAAAAACCTTTCCCGATTGTTGGGTTGTACTACAGTGACTGGCTCTGGTCTGGTTAAATGCTGGGGAACTCTTGGCTCTCAACTTAGCTCCCAAAACAGTGTTTTCCAAACAGAGACTTTGCTCAAATTGACGCTTAGGTGCAGCTTCTGTTACACTGGCTGAAGGCTTCATTTGAACTGGGGGAGCTTGCTGACCAACTGGTAACCACATCAATTGGTATGATTGGGGCTTTGTAGTACTGACTGCTTTTGCCGTGTCTACTGTCTGGATTTCACTGCTAGTTTGTGGAGCATATATTATATTTGAAAAGGGAAACTTTGCTGAACTAGGTGCTGACTGCTGCAAACCTCCCTGTGTAATCAAAACTGGTGAAATTGCTGGTTTGTTAACTATAGATGGTTGATTTACTCTGCCAATCACTGTCTTCAGCATATTGAGTTGTTGTTGCTGCTGCTGTTGTAAAGTCATACTTGTTAAAATGTTTGATGGCGCTGTATTGATTGAAGTGACACCTGTCATTGTTTGTTTGGAATTGCATGCCATTACAGGAACACCTGGGGTAACTCTAGTTAGAATAAGAGACTGGTTCTGCAAAGATCCAACTAACGAAACTGGTAGAGAAGTAGATGACAAACTGACAGAGGACGAAACTGCAGCAGTACTAGCTCCAGTAGTGTGCATTTTCAAAACTCGGCTGGCCAAAGCTGATACTGGAAGGTTGATGCCAGTTGTTTGTGGAAAGGCAACAGGAATTGGGGAAACAGTGCTGACAGGTATTGCAGATGATAAACTCAGAATATAGGCCTGTGGAGAAGCAGTGGATACCACTGTATTGTTCAATGACTTTGTGCTCAATGATAATGGAGTCTGTGAAAGAGCTGATTGAACATTTGGTTCTTGTTTATGAGATTCATTTCCAACATGAACAGACGGAGTTGGTATACTTTGATTTTTTACTAATCCTTTTATTGTTTGTGTCTTGCCTGCTGAAGCACATGGTATCATTGATGATTTATTTATTGCCAAGACTGTTGGTTTTGTGACTCCACTGATCGCTTGTCTGGTCAATGGTCTACTTTGAGTAACCAAGTCCGAGTGACTGGATACAACTGTAACTGTTAAAGGACTTAACACTGGTGTTGCTACTTTGACACCTCCTTCCTTAACAAGCAATATCTTCTGCTGGAGTCTGTACAAGGTAGCAGCCTTTGCATTCATTCCAGCCTTGCTTTTATCAATTAATTCCGCTGATGAGGCTGGTGAAATTACATTCACTGATCCTGTAGGCTCTGTTTTGACAAACTGTTGTTGCTGAATGTTTTTACTTTGATTATTAACTCCAAAACTTTCAACAGAACTTTCCTTCTTACCATCATCATCAGGTTTATTGACCAGTTTTTTTCCATAAGAATCATTTAGTTCTGAGAGATTTTCATTTGTGGATTTGTGTTTTTTCGTGGAGACAGTTTCTAGCTGTACTTTATTTTTTCTTTTCAAATCTTTCTGTTTGTCCTTATCCTCTTCTCTCACAACCATTTCACCATTATTTAGTACTACAACAGACCCTTTTTCAAGTTGAACTATCTGTGCTATTGATGAATCACCTTTCTGTCTGGCCTGAGATGAATGCTTGATATGTTTTGCATCCTGACCTTCTGTTAAAGTGCTTAGGCTATATTTTGGTCCACTTTTTAAGGCAGCAGTTATTGTAGGAGATGCTTTTACTTTAATATCTTTTTGATCTTCATTCTTCACCTTTACATCTTGTTTGCCTTTCACTTTCAAGACCTTAGAACTTAGTTTATATCTCCTTCCTTTTGGTCGCTTCCCTGTGATTCTCTTCTCATCCGTGTCTTTTCTTTTCTTTCCTCTTGCTTTTTTATTAACAACTTCTTTCTTGATTGAATCTGTTTTTTCATTTTTAATCTCTGTCTTTGAGTCTTCAACACAAATTCTTGGACCAAGGTGTGTTTTCACATGCAGCTTTAGATCTGCAAAAGTTGCAAACTTATAACTGCATAAATTACAAATAAATGGCATTTTACCTTTACCCATGCCAACTCTGGTTGATACTAATCTTTGAGTAAGCATTACATTTTGTGATTTTGAAAGGTCATAAACAGAATGCGACTTCAAATGAGTGTCCAGTCTATTCGCTGGAAGAGTTTCTTTGCAAATGACACACGTACATTTATCATCATCAATTTCTTCACAGCATGGTTTACCAGGCTTAGAGGCTTTGTGAGTTTGTAGATGAGATTCTACATCATTTATATTAAGTTTTAAGTCACATATTCCGCAATGGAAGATATTCTTCCCAATTTTATCCTCAATGGTTTCTTTATGAGATTGCATATGTTTAATCATGTCTTCTTCACATTTGAATGTTTCTTGGCATTGACTACATTTCTGTTCCTTCTGAAGCATTCCCTTGGCTAATTTCTCTTCAGTTGTGGATGTTTCAACAAAATCATTTTCAGCAACTTTAAGCTTTTCTTTCTTCACTTCTTTAATTTCAGTAAAATTAATAACATCGCTACTTGTCTTTGTTACTTTTTCTGCCAATGACACTGGTTTTAAAACATTTTTGTCTATCTCTTCAACAATTTTATTTTCTTTAGGGAATACCTGAACCTCTGTTTTCATATTTTCTAACATTTTTTCACTGTTTTCACCATCAACAACATCATTTTTGACATCTTTTGGTCTTACTTCTTCACAGTTGTCTTCTAAACAGTCCATGGGTAGTTCAAATGATTCTTGTGATAAACATTTTCTCGATGAAGTGTCTTGCTTGTCTAAGTAAACATTATTTTTATCTGCAATAACTGTGCTGATAATGCCCGTAAGGTTTTCTGAACCAGCGACCGGGGTTATCACTGGTTCACCTTTCAAGTTTTTTTGACCGGTGTTATGAATTTTTTCTTTTAAATCATCCTGTCTTTCAATATCAGAAATGCTTTTAGCCACATCACCTGCCTCTGCAGCACCTTTTTCATTTACAGATTTACCAACTTTTGTTACTACCGGTTTAGTTTTACTTATATCATTAAGGACAACTTTTAGTTCTAACTTAGAACCTTTACTTGCAACTTCTTTCACTTTACCCTTTGCTTGAAGACATATTTCACAATTAACACATTCTTTCACTGTTTGGTAGTTTTTCCCACAGTTTCCACACTTGTATAACTTAGTGCCAGACTCATGACTTTTATTGTGTTTCTGCAGTTCTTCAACAGTTGAAAAATGAACATTACAAACATCACATATGTGACCATGTTTTCCAGCAGGGAGATGAGACTCAATATGGCTGAGGTAAACATCTTTATCTGTCATTACATTCATACAGACTGAACACTTATATTCGGTTTTGTGAACTGAAACATGAGTTAACAATTCTTTTGGATCCTCAAATCTCTGGGGACATAAAGCACATTTGTATGGCTTTCCTGAACTATTATCCTGCTCACTCTGTTTAACAATGTGATCTTCTGATTTATCTACGCTTTCATGTAATACAGTGACACCATTCTTGTTTTTGGCTTCATCTTCATCACTTTTTTCTGGGTCTGAAAGTGGTATCTCTACTTGCTTTGAAATAGCTACTTTGCTTCCATCATTAAGCTCCATGTAAAACACATTTTCCATAGAAATAACTTCCTCCTCAACTTCTTCTGTCTCATCATCAAGTTTCTCTTCTTCCTCCACTGCTTCAGTTTTTATACCATCTTGTTCACCCATCTCCTTTAACCCACCTTCAGTCTGTTCTATTTCTGAAGTTAGAGATTTCTTATCCTCTTTCCCATCCTTTTCATCACCATTTTCAAGTTCCATACTTTCAGTCTCATTTTCATCTTTTGATCCACTTTTAAGGGAAATAAGTATTTCAGCATGAACAAGATCTTCCATTGAATGCTGTGCTTCGGCATGTTTTCTTGCCTTTTCTTCTTCCTCTTCCTTACGTTTAAGTAACAATGACAACTGGCGTTTTGTACGTGGTTCACCTGCCAGGCCATAATTTCCAAATTTGTTTGAGTAATCTCCATCTGTGGCATTTGATCGCCTACGTTTTTGTACCATTTTCGAAACAGTACTTTTCTGGCCTGTCTTCTGTTTAGATGTACTCATTGACAAGTCAAGGGCAACTTCTGGTATCTGGGATTGAGGGTGTTTGGCAAGAGCACCAGCCACAGAGAGGTCCAAGACTTGATCCTCTATATAAACTTCTGAACTTGTCATTGAATTATTTGAGGATAAATCAACCACTTGGCCATCTTCTATTACCTCCTCCGACTCATTCTGTAACAGAAAAACAAAGAAAATTTGAAAATAAACTGTGATTTTATGCTTAACAGGGTTCAAACAAAAATCTGTCAACTAAATTTAAGATCTTTTCAAAGACTTTTTTTGCCAATTTTGTATTTTCAAGAAGTCCCGCAATAAATTTTGTGCTTACAATCAGTGTCCAACAAAAATTTTAAGATTTCTGTCTAAAAGCAAATTGTACACTTTAGACAACATATCAAAGTGATTATCCTGCGTTTTCCTGGTGGCTGTTTCTTTACTTCTCTATGCACTGTCACTTTCTCCCATACCGTCAATTTCACTTATCTTCGCCATACTCGCCAGCACTCAGCAAGGGGCATTTCAAACATCAATTTTTTTTATTACAAATCAATAATCTGAAGCAACTTTATTTGGAATTTACATTTTTACATTCTAAATACATTTTTAAACCAAAGTTTTCAAGGTTTACTTTTGTTTATACTCATGAAAACCAGTAATGTAAAGGTGATGAAGTTTTACATATGTATACCAATATCGAGGACGTAGAACACATTTTCTGTTTATTTTGTACTCATTTACATTCCTAACATATTTTCGGCAAAGTTCTACTTTTCATTTTTAACATAAATGATTTTTATTTCTTATTTCATTGATAATGACTGTTATTTCTACAAAAAATAGAGATTTTCAAGGATGTATTTTCAAATCAAGCCGTTTTTAAGGGCATTTTTTCTGGAGTTTTCATATAGACATATAGGCAGAATTAAAACTGTTCAATGGAATTAAACTTTAAACTTGGCATGTTTTTAAGCACTTTTCAGGACCTGTGTGAACTTGTTATATATAAAAATATTTGCTTCAATCAATAATCCTGGATCACATTAATTTTACATGCGGCTCAATTTTTTCATACATAAATCAATCCTAGTAAAAAGGGAGTTTCCACTTAAGAGAAGGGTTATCTTTATATATAAACATTACAAATGTCACAAAATTAAACATTTAATGCTGAAAGAAGTATATAAGTTTTATTCCCTTTTGAGCTAAAATAAATGCGCTTTTAAAACTATTTCTTAAAATTTTTAACTGTACTTAGTTGATATAATATTTCATAGTAAACCAGTATCATCTGTGTTTTCAATTCCTGAAGTTTTCACATATTTTAAAATCAATATGAATTTAAAGTAATAAGCCTTATAAGGCCAATGATGACAATAAACAAATGCAAAATATAACGTTTCAAATTCCAGCTTTGTCACTTTAGCTTCCTTCCAACTTTAACTTATTAATTAAATTTAATAATTTAAGCACAAATGACAATCTGTGAAATTTTGGACACCCAATTTTGTTCTGTTCAGCTGAATACATATAAGGCTTTCTATACTCTTAATACCTGATAACTATCCTGTGTAAAGCCCAGGACTTTTTTCTCAAGGTCCTCAATTTCTTGCTGTAGTTTTTCTGTTGGCTGGGTGTGTTTCCGAGCACCATATTCTTCCCCTGACAACAACTTGTCCTGGTGTATGATGAGAAAATGCTGGAACAAGTCCACCTTTGTAGGAAACACTTTCTCGCACCAATTACACAGAAACACATCTGTTAAAAGAATACAGTTTTGTTAAAAAACATCCTTTCGTCACTTTGAATAACATGCATTTAAAAGTTTACAATGTACTGAAATAGCCTTAAAGTTTATCTTATTTCAAATCACTTCTGGAAACAAGTTTTGGACATGATATATAATATTCTAGTTAGAGCTGCTCTGTTTTTAAAAGAGATCAACCTATTCAGTGACAGTACCTGTGTTTACAGTATAAAAGCCATACACATTTTGAACAGGAGAATGTTTATGCTATGGACAGGTATATTTTGTTACATGCCAAATAAAATAACTGCAATCATATAACAATTGACCTTACTGGTCTGCAACCAAAGAAATACCCAAGTAGCCTTTGTAGCTTAGTGGATAATGGATAATGTTGCTGACTAAGTGGTTGCCAAGGGTTTAAATCCTGCCAAGAGATTAAATTTCATCATGTAAGAAAGTTATGCAGCTAGTTTATGTACAGTCAGTGGTTTTTACGTTAGACACCTGCCCCTGTCTGTAATAATTCAGAGTTATTATTAAGACTTAACAAAAAGCACACAAAGCATGTTCAGACTACTCACTGAGAATTCCAGAAACTTCCTTCTTTCTTCGTTTTCGATCACTCTGCCTAATATCGAGCTTCATCTTTGACACCTCACCAAGACGACTAAGCTGCTCAATAGAGATCTTCTCCAAGGCAACAGCATCCCCACCAGCTTTAACAAACAACGTAAAATGGCACTTCTTAGTATATTATATACAGGTTATATATCTCAAAATTACCTTGTGACATTTAATGAAACTTTTGATTATTTCAATATAGAATATATCTTCTTTAAATAAGACAGCAGTTTAATTTTTCAAACAAAATCTTTAGAGAAAGCAACCACAGCACTGATCAATCACTTAAGTTTAAATAAAAATGTAAGCCTATTATATGAACTGAAGACAAAGGGTGCTGTGGCCTTGTGGTTAAGGTGTCTGCCTCTCAACCCAGAGATCATGGGTTCGAGTCATACTCCGGTCACAACCATGTTTCTTCGTATGACACCTGTACTGGTCGGTTCCATGAAGCAGACGGAAAGTGATTAATATAAGTTGCAAGAACTTGTTTTGCAATCAAGCTTAAATAAATTTGTTTAAACCAACTGAAGACTTAGCTCATAGCAGTGTTAAATATTCCAAACTAAAAGTACATACATACAACCATTCAGCATTTGGCCAATAGTAAACTCATAGAATGACTCCTTGAACAACAAAATTGTACTGTTCAGGCAGCACACCTCCAGTTTTTATTTGATTTGTATGGAAAGTTGAAACATATTCTAATAAATATAGCTTTTGTCAAGTCAACTATTCAAGCAATTTGGCATAATTTACCTAGCATAATGCCTTCCAAAGAATATACCTATTATTAAGAAAAATAAAATTATAATTGCTTATTGTAATAATTCTTTCGTATTTATATAGATTTATATAGAGATAAAACAGGACCGCAGATCTACTGCAGATAATGCCGGGTATTCGAATAAAGGGTTGTCAAATAACCAAGGTCGGACTGTTCATTCAAATTTTCACCTGAACTAAAAAATAGATATTTTATATATAAATATATACCAGCTAGTGATGCAGTAGCAGCAGCCAGTATTTCCTGTAAGTTGTCCATACCGCCAACAATGGGCTGTACATTATCCTTGCTGTCTGCTTCAAGAAGCATATCAACGCCTGAGGGAACCAGCTGATGTAAGTTAGGAATACTGGAACCAGACGCTCCACTTCCTTCATAAGATGTTCCTACATTCAAAAAACAACCATTGTGCAATATAACATTGTGCTGTTTGAATGTTAAAATGCTATTTTTTTTTAATTGAAAACATGACACTGCAGAGCTAGATTTTGTAAATTATCGTAAGATGTCAATACAATTTTTGTATCTACCTAAATTTTTTCAAAGTTTTTGTTGGTTGCATTTATTATTTAAATAACGTTGGTTGCATCTATTATTCAAATAATGTCAAAAATGTCCTTTTCTTCATCACAACTGGAACCCTACATTGAAATACACTGGAACCCTACATTGAAATACACTGGAAACCCTAATCATCAACCTTTCTGGGTAAAAAGTTCAGATTATAAAGATTTACAATGTTACCTAATAACATTTATTTCCTTGGTGGTTTACATATATTAAATTACATTATATGATAACTATCTTTGTTCACTTTTCCCAAAATTGCATGTAACTGAATGAAATAAAAATTTAGTATTCTCATACCTTCTCCAGAGTCATATGACATCACAAACCCTTCCTGCAAAAAGACAGAACATAAAATTATTACAACAAGGTGTATTCTATTAGTTATAAACACTTCCGACAGGTTATATGGCCCTATATAAACAGCTATTTGTATATAGCTACATGGGTTATATTGCAACCATTTATATACGGCCATATAACCTGTCATGAATCTTTATGAACAATTAACATGACAGCAGCTGTGTATATAAAACTATATATATATAAACATCTTGATCATCCAATGAAAAGCGATGTTACAAACATGCAGTATTATAGTGTATAATATACCATACACTGTTAATGACAATGTCTCTGTATACAAATAGTCATAATGAATTTCCAATCAACCATTATAGAGCATTTTTGTTTGGGGTTTAAGTGACATTCACTCCAGAAAGGACATATGTCGACTGAACTTGACTAGATTACCTAAAACCAGAGGTTACAGCACTCACTGTGCATAACTTCAGACATGAACAGGCACTCAAGAACAAGCAATGACCTTCTATAAACTTGTTGGATAGCTTCCTCAAAAGAATTCAAAAGTTCATGGTGGGATTCGTAACTAACTGCAATCAGTATATACTGCTAGGTCAGTGTGTTCAACCATGTTGCTCATAATGCTGACATTTTAATATGGATACAATAAACAGTCCTCATCTCACAGCATAGTATATGTAGTAAACTTGTAATTTTCATGATTGTATATGAAGGTGGAGTTGTTAATCAGTGGATCAAGGCATATTTATAAAAACAGCAAAGTTTATTTTTCAATATACATGTAATTGTCTGTTTGTCTGTCTATCTGGTATTTATGCTGATCTCAGCAGTCAGGCCACCTAACCTGTTTTCCTGGATTACTATCAACCAATCACTACCAATTTCTTCACAAGTGAACGACTATTATTCCCATATAATTTCTGAATCCTTGAAAATAATAAAAGACCATTAAAAATTCAAAATCCATGTCCAAGATCAACTTCTGCTTACCCAAGGATCAAAAAGCCAATTTTGGATTACTAATCAAATATTTTCTCTACTGAGTAAAGTTTGTTTGATTGGGTTTTATGTTACATCGACACATTATAGGTCATTTGACGACGTTCGAGCTTTACTGGTGGAGGAAGAGCTTGTTTGCCCTTCTGTTCATTATTTCAGGCATGAACGGGCATCTGAGAAGAACCACCGACGTTCCCTAAGCTAGCTGGACTGAGTTAAGTAAGTGCCCTATTGTCCTATATAACTTAATTAAAACTCACCTTAAATTTCACAAGTTGACTGTCATCTTTGTATTCTAAAGGTTCTGAAATGGCAAAGAAACACATTAACAAAGGAAATATACTAGTATTAACTGCTTGTGAAAGAGAAATGTAATGCATGGAATGAAAACACAACACCAGTAAATGTCAGTGAAAAACCAAAGGAATAAGTACACAAGGTATCAGATCAAATAAAAACCTAGTCCACTGGAGTTCAGCGAAATAGAAATTAAGCTCATAAATTGTCAGTGAAATAAAAAGCAAGTACGTGAGATATCAGTGAAAATAGAATTTAAGTAAATGGAAAATCAATGAAATAGAAAGCAAGCATGTGGGATATCAGTGAAAAAGAAGGCAAGCATGTGCAATATCAGTGAAACAAAATTTAAGTAAATGGGAAATTAATGAAATAGAAAGCAAATACATAAGAATTCAGTGAAAAAGAAGGCAAGCATGTGCAATATCAGTAAAACAAAAATTAAGTAAATGGGAAATCAATGAAATAGAAAGCAAATACATAAGAATTCAGTGAAAAAGAAGGCAAGCATGTGCGAGATCAGTGAAACAGAATTTAAGTAAATGGAAAATCAATGAAATAGAAAGCAAGCATGTGGGATATCAGTGAAAAAGAAGGCAAGCATGTGCAATATCAGTGAAACAAAATTTAAGTAAATGGGACATCAATGAAATAGAAAGCAAATACATAAGATTTCAGTGAAAAAGAAGGCAAGCATGTGAGATATCAGCGAAATAGAAAGCAAGTAAATGAGATAAAAAGCAAGTACATAAAATGACAGTGAACTAGAAAGGAAACATATGAAACATTAACTCAGTGAAGTAAATGAAGAATGTGAAATACCACTTGAATAACATCCATATAACAGTAAAATTATGAAATAGCAAAACTGTGTACTTTTTGTCAAAACATTTTCTTGCTCATTGAATGCTAAATTGACCTTGATTATGTACCTGGTATATTTCTGACAGCTTGATATAAAATTTATTTCCAACCTATTGCCGACTTATGTGTTACATTAAAGAATGAGAAAGTATGTCAGAGCTCCAGATAGCGTGCGTATAAGCGTAAAATACGCATAGAAAATCTAAAATACGCATCACTTTCAAAATTCGTGCGTCAAAGTTACGCACAACAAAATGAAAATACGCTTGTATGTCAAAATTTAAGCGTAAAAGAATAGAAGTGTAAACATTTGATATTCAGATAGAGGATGTTTTGAGCAAAAAAATACAATATATTTCCATTTTATTGCATTGAAAACTATAAGTTCTGTTGTCAACAACGCATGTTAAAAACGAAAGTAGCAGGAAGTACAGAAGGGAGGTAACTCCCGTAGATCAACCGATATAAACTTTTGCCAGATAATTATCGTAGGAGTTAACATAGTATTTAGTTTGTTTAGGCATCTATTGACATGCTTATGTCTCAATATAAACAAAAATATATTTTAATTTCTTTCACTTTTGTTGTTGGAACAAAATAACATTAAATTTTCTTTTTCACCTGCAGTTTTGTACTCAATATTTTCGTACCCAGTCTACAGTTACAGACAATTTTCTCTCAGACCAATACTTTTTTTTTAAGGAAAGATAAAAAAATCTTGTTTATTTTTCATTAATTCTAATTTCAACTATAATTGTTCAAACTGGCGCACATGATAAGCTACATGCCAACAGAAATAAAGAAAGAAAAATATTGACTCCTAGAAAATATATTAATTTCAGGGCTTCCACTAGTGGAAGTTTTGGAGTCATTTACTCCTCCATTTTGGCATGTGACTTTCGAAAATCTAATACTTTTCCTTCTTTACCAATATAATGTGACTTCCAATATCAGAGATTTTGAAGTCTTTGACTTCCAAATTTTGAAAATGGAAGCCCTGATAATTTTGCTGTGTATCCTAAGCTTGAGTTCCAGTATACTCTGGAAGTCTGACTTTACAGGGCACGTTTTGTATTGCTTCACATTAAATCAGTATTTTATTTTTAAAGGTTTTTCTAAAAAAAGAAAATAAACAAACAACAAAAACAATAAGTTTAATTTGCTTATAAAAAATGCAAATGCTTTTTTGACAGATTTTACCCCTTAAGTTTTTCAGATTTTACATTTTACCCCTCACTCTAAATTTTGAGGGGTAAAAACCCCTTGGCCAAAAAAATTATCTGGAGCTCTGTATGTTACCATTCACCATTGTCTTTTATTTCCAGGAAACAGTAGACAGAGTATTTAATAAAATATGAAGTTCTTAACATTTTTTTTCGCAACAATATACAATGTATAGTACACATCCTGAATTAATATGTCCCGTTTTTCTAACAAGCGTCTAAAAAGTCATAGTGTAACAAAATATTGATTAAAACAAGAGGGCCATGATGGCCCTGAATCGCTCACCAGAAACAAATGTTTCAGTTCTGGTGAGCTAAAAAGATTGTGTACCTTTCTTTTTCCGAGGTTTTCCATCTTTACTCAATTTAGCCTCTTTTTCATCCAAAAATCTGTAAACCTTAAATGCATTGTTACCCTTCTTCACACCTTGCTCTTTCATTTCGGTGACATCTGGCAAGCTGTTTAAAGCACAACGGAAGTTTGCCTTCCATCTCTTATGGTCAGAATCTTGATGACGTCCTAAAATTGTAACAAATGTTGAAAAACTTGAGCAGAACCTTGTACATGTTGTATAATATACATGTACTTCATTAAAAACACAATAATACTTTAATTGAAGGATTTTTTAGTGAACCAATGTTAACTATAACATGAGAATCAATCTAATACTAGGATTTATGCATACATGCCATAATTTTTGGACAGCTTTCCGGGACACTTTTCACCGCGGCAATAATGGATACATGTGTAGGCAGTTGTGGAAAAGGGGGGGGGGGGGGGGGGGGGGGGGGGGGGGGGGGGGGGGGGGGGGGGGGGGTGTCAATCGTATAACGTTATTAAATTAGGACGACTTTCTCCTGAATTTTAATAATAAACAGTTAACTTACTAGTTATAGAAGTAGTCTTTTAGGTCGACATATTTATCATTTTATAGTATTTCTTTATTTCATTTTTATTCCCTAAAAGGCTATAAACCCGGTGAATGGGCGCAGCCATGTTGTTCACCCGTTATATCTTAAAGTCGTGATAATTACTACATGTCACGTAATGCAATTCTTCCAGTCATAAAAACACCTTTAATTTTTTATTTGATAGATATATTTACATTGTTTGTAATAATTAGACTTTCGGCAAGTTAGCGATTGACTTAAAAATTAATGATTATCGGGGATTAACGATAATTGTTAAGGGCCGTAAACCAATAATTAACCCGACCATTAAACGCTGCCGAATTCAACAGAGAACGTTAATTGCAGATGCATGAAGAAAGCTATTGCCGAGGGGAATCGACAGTCGATAATTGGGGGGCTGTATATTGTAAACTTGTAAGTGTCAACGTTCCTGTGTATTATGTGAACCAGGTCAGAATATGTTTTACGATCGAGAGGTGAAATGTGCGAGATTTGATTTAAGAAAATTTATGAAAATTTTGCAAAATATCCTGATTTTTTTTCCGGGATCAAATCAATGCCCGGGACATCTCCGGGACAGACATCCGATTTCCGGGACAATCCCGGGCACCCGGGACGTTATGGCATGTATGATTTATGTAAAAAAAATTTGAAAAGTAACAAGGTCTGACCTAAAGACAGCATGCTCCATTTTCTCAGTGCTTTGCAGTAAGAAAATGGCATAACTTTTTATTACCATGTTTGTCACTGTGTGCACAGAACAGCCCCTCTAGACCCAACCTACATTATTTATTCTACCCTGAAATACTTGATATCTCTTTTGAATAAACAGTGATGTTGACTTACCAGTGTGTATGGCCCATCTTTCAAACAGGTTAGTATCTTTCTGCATATTAAAACATTGGTTGGCAGCATGTTTCCAGGAAATACGGAATATCATTTCAGTTCTCTCTTGCCAGACTAGACCTAAAATATCATGGGAATATTCAATCAAAAATCTACTTTAATAAAACAGTGATATAATAAATAATTATCATTTCTTCATTTCATAAAACACTGATAAGTATATTCAGGTTTTTTTTTCCAGGATTCTGGAAACATGACCCATACCCATGGAATTGGGAATTTAAGCACTATTTTGTTAATTGGGAAAATATTCATGACTTAAATTTTGCAGTGATTAATAAATGAATGCAAAGAATCACTGTCTTGGATGGCATCTTCAAACATTTGAACACCATAACAGTGAAGAAATCCTTATTTTCAAAGATTTGTTTGTTATTCAATATTTTTATTCTGTAATTTTCAACTGGGAATTTTTTCCTGAGGATTGGGAAAATTATATAATATTTTCAATTGGGAATATGACCGAATATCAGCTATAAAATAATAAAAAAAAAAAAAAATCAAAATCCCTGAATATTATAAGTGCAAATTTGTTAATCAGTTCACAATAAAAGAGGTCTTCCTCCAATAGTAAAGCTGGAATGTCGCCATATGACCTATACTGTGTCGGCATGATGTAAAATCCAATCAAACAAACAAACAAATAATTATAGACAAAGAATCATGTTACATCTTGTACTTTATACTTTTGTATTAATTCTCTTGTCTGTTAAATAACTACTGGTACTAAAATTACAACAATTAGGCATTGGCACTTTTTATACCCAAATTTTATGAGTTTCACAATTAAAAGAAAATAATCCAAATTAAGAATGTCCCGGTTCCATTTCCAAAAAGGGGAAATAAGTACTGCACTATATAATACTTTTAAATAAATACTATAAAAAGTTAACAAATTAGCAAAGGTTGCAGTGGCACAGTGGTTAAGGTGTCTACCTATCTACCGAGGGATTATGGGTTCACACCCAAGTTGGGCCAACCAAAGGATTATGTGTTCACGCCCTAGTTGGGCCATGGCCATGTTCCTGGACCAACATCAGAGCAAGTTATTCTGAAGACATTAACTTAAATTTTTTAAGTAGTTGCAACAACTTGTTTCACTATTTCAGCTTTAAATAAATGATAATGTTTAAACTAAATTAGTAACAGACCAGGTATATCATTCTGATCCAGGTGATCAATTAGCCATGGTCTCATCCGCTGCCTCTCTACAGGCCGTATAAACCTGGTCTTGTCAGTGCGAACCCCACCCTGGGCACGGTTAGTTATCCTTGGTTCAATGCCCACGTTCATCCCCTCATGCTCTATATCCGCCGCCTGATAATCGTCATCCATATCGGTGTCCTATAACATATAAAACAAGGTAATTTTTCATGCAGATTGGCATTGCCTTTAGATTTATTTAAAATTTAACAGTTACATTATATAACATAAATTAAACTTTAAGACATTTTATTATGCATAAAGGCTTTCAGACACCAAATATATTATTAATTAATATTTACATTTTAATAACATAAATTCAAAAATCTTTTTTATATTATTAACCACTTATATTCAATTTTTCATGGAAAAAGTAGGAAATTATTGATTCAGCCATATAATCACAGTCAACCTAACCATTTTGGATGTTTCAGTCAATCTTTGGATCAGACCCTTTAAAGATAAGACCCTTGAACACAATAATTTAGTATGAATACACAGAAAGAATATAGAATTTCAGACGAGCCTATGCTAAAACATATATCACATGTAAACAAAAAGTAAGTTAATGTTGCAATTCTTACTGAAGAAAAAGTCCACCTAAATATGTTTTTAGAACCAGAAAGAGCAAATGTTTACCTGTTCACAGTATTTTGAATTTGGTTAATCAATTAATCAAATTTGTGTTTTACCTATAATTTGACAGCTGTATGATCTTAAATAATATTTAAGGACTGAAGGTAAATTTACTAAGACTAACAATAAATTAATAACAAAATAAAAATTTGTCATGTTGTTCCACTTTACAAAAGCCTGCAATTGAAGGTCTTCAACGGTCTCGAATGAATGTGGAAAAGAGACTGCCGTTAAATTTACTTTGTAATGATATCTTACATTATTATAAGCAATTGATTTGGGTCAAATTTAAATTCTTTCATTTTTTTTTTACATATGTGTATGTGTATTTAACCTTTTTGAAAGGTAATATTTCCCTACGAAACACTGATATTCAGCAGTCTCCAATTTGAAGGGAACAAATTATAATTAGATATCATATCACCTTTGATGTATATATTGCAGAACACTATAGTGATTTTGCAAAATCCTAAAAAAAGTCTTACAAGTTATTTTTTTGGGAAGCAAATTGACTGCTTTACATTACTAACGTTTTAGAACTTCAGAAAGGCTCTTAACCCTGTTCTTGGGCAAACTCATGCCCTGCCCCCAGAGCGAGTCTGCCACTACTTTCACTTTCAGTTTGAAAGCCATAAATGTGAAAGTAACTTTTAATTTTGTTATTTTTCCAAAGGAATCATATTAAAAGTTGTTAAAAAGCTACTGCCTATTGAATTAAAGAGGAAATATCAAAATCACCATTTTTATAATTTTTGGCTACTTTTCTTTTGATGGGAAATTATGTTGCCTCGTTTTAGCGTTAAAAACCACGTGACCCCGCATCGCGAAGCCACCATTCAAGTTTCATTATGAAACTATCTAAAAACTAGACTTGTTTATCGATGCAATACCCTGTTAGTTACAGAAATGTTATAATGAAAAAACGAATAATAAACCGTCATCTACACTTAGCTATAAAATGAAACGCGCTAATGTTGATCTCGTGTTTTTTCGAGTTGTCGAAATTGAATATGAAAGTTGACCTATTTTTCTTTCAGATATCACAATATTTTGGAATGATCGCACATACAATGAAAATATAAAGTTGACATAAAGAACAATAACTACATCACTCACCATATGACACAGATAATATGTGCATTCAAGCACCTATCGGCGCTAGAACACACAAAATCCCGTTGCAATAACATCCGCCATGAAAACCGAAAGAGAGTTTTCCCAAGGATATGAAGGATGCAAATATTTTTGTAGTTTCGAAATTAAAATGAAACTTTTAAAATATTGCAGCACATAAATAAAATTTCTTTATTTATTTAATCATTCACCAAAATTATGTTAGAAGTAAAATGCCATTTTAAAGTTTTACAAATATTACCAACTATAATGTCAAATAGAAATTGCGCATAATATTTGCTGCTCCTATGACGCGAATATATCACGTGATCAAATAACGAAAGTAGTCTGCTAAAATACTTGGGTTTTTGCTAAGTAAAGATTAGTCAAATGATAGACCTATGTGTTAGTCAATTTGATTTCCTTAAATTATATAATTTTATGTATATATGTTTTGTTAATCACTTTTGAATAACTGTTCATTATATTGTTGATATAGATCTATCATAACCTTATGCACATTATATGCCTTGGTTTTTAATAAAATCTTGAAATATTGAAATCTAAGTTTACGCTCGACGAATTAAAACCATTTAAGTTTTTATAAAACGCAGAATAAGAAATGTTGATGATTTTTTGATTGATCATCAGATGACCGCGAATGATTTCACCTAGATTTCACTTTAAAAATATCTAATTTGTGTTCTTTTCAATGAAAAATTATAGATCTAGAGATCTAATGGTAGTTTTGTTAAAATAAGACAAGCTTAGTGCTGGCACAAAATATGATTTTAGGTTCCAGCTTAGTAGAACAAGGAGGAAAAAGCCTTGTTATCAGTGCTTCAAGAGAATCTCGCAGGGTCTGCATTGATTCCATGCACGATAGAACCAATTCTGCATGATCAACGGACGAAGGATAACCCGGTCCTATACTGGCGAAACCCGGCTGACTACAGCTTAAATTAGTGACGACCATTGAATAAAAGAATGGCGACATGCACTACACGTTTCAGAATTTTCTTGAGTTGTTCTATTAAATAGGCATTTCTTCTTCTGTCGTTCGCTCTGCACAATTACGCCAGTATCTGCGATGAAGGTTGTTGTTTTGCTCCGGTCTTCTAGGTCCCCATACAACTTCTGTTGGAGAGTAGTGTCTTGAGGCCACATCGCAGTTCGCTCCTGATGGTGTCGCGTACATCTTTTGGAGGACATGGTCAACAGTTTGATCTCCCTCTCCGCAAGCACAGATGTGGGTGAACCTTTTTGTACTTCTTGTACATGTGGTAGATCAGTCTGTTATGTCCTACACCATGTACACGGTCAAATAGGCATTTTAGAATGAAAAAAAAATATCCATGGATGAAAAAACATAATTTTGAACAGTTATATACATATATATTAATCATATTTTGATTACGGTCAATATACATGTCAATTAAATGCTAATTAATATCATTTTTGTACACAAATTTCCATTATCATGTAAACATTATCTGATTATTTGTTGATCAACGCGGACTTTTGTCATATGTACATTAAGCCTTGTTTATTTTATTGCGATAAAAATTCAAGATATGAAACTACAATAATGATTACGATGTTGTCATTGATTGTAGATGTGCTTGTGCTGTAACATATATAATTAACAGACTATTTCTGGATTTACAGTTATTTAAATGTAATTGCGGACGGTTTGCTGACGTTGTTATGATCCGAGCAGCATTTGTGATACTCGGGGGAGTTTTAGTGCATTTATGTCTGGGAAGCTTTTATGTGTTTGGTATGTTAAATTTATTAAATATTATATGTGATCTTGTGAAATCTTGAGGTATTAAACACCACATAAATTTGACTTATAATCAGTATTAAGTTCAAACTTTGACAAAAAAAAAACAAACAAAAAAAACAGCCGAATATCTAGATATTTGGCAACTTTGCTATAACAGAACAGAATAGAACATTTACATACATAGACTCATACATACATATATACAACATTGTCAAATATATTGCACGCTGTGGTAGTTTGGTTTTGGAAATGATAAGATCTAAGACTTAAGCATTATTGAAAGTACACACAAAAGTGTTGGACCAAAAGTTATACCAAAATTATTTACAGTTTTCCCCTGATGTTCGTATAAGTTCTTTAGATCATATTCTTTCAAGATTCAAAAGATAAACAAAACAATCTTAGCTTGTATTCAAGAAGGCATTATATTTACTGTATTTGTTATATCAGTCGTCTTCTTATATGTAAACACTGAACATTGATATAAGAACACTTTTACATGTAAATACATGTAATGTTAGTATACAAATGTACTATTTTAAATGCTTTACAAAGCATCATATTTATATATAGGAAATCTCACTCCTTACGTCATATCATATCTACGTAACCGTACAGATGAACACACGCTCCGGAATGTGGACAATCTATGGATAATGAACGCAGCTAATCTTGTCTCACCATTTGGAATGGTGTTTGGCGGTGTCTTAGACCGGCGGTTAGGTGTCAGGGCGGCAACCGCTATAGGATGTTGTATATTTTGGTAAGTATATGAAGTAAACTATCATTCTTTCGATGCCAAGTTATTACTAGTTTGCAAATTCAATGAATATACTTACTAACTATTTTCATTTTTACGGTCATTTCCCGTTTGTGCTTCAGTTTATAGGCCTTAACTTGACATATATATCAAACTCCTACACATAGACGTAGCAGATCAAATTACTGTAAAGAGTCTGACAAAAATGCCTTGACAGTATTAAAAACAACTTTATTTCAGTGTTAGTTACCTTTGTATAAGCAATGGCAATAGAACATATGCTTGAAAATTATTATGTTTTAGCCTTGCAATGAAATGTAAATGTAACATAATTATGCCTTTGCCTGCCACACATAAAAGTTTACACAGTTTCAGCCTGGTGCAATGCTGAATAATCACTTGTCCAAAACTGCCAAATGTGTTTTATAAAGTTTCCGTTTTAAAATATGCTTTATAAGATATTTTGAAATTACAGTTCTGGCTGGGCCCTGACATATTTCACCGTGCAGAAGTCTTTGGTGCTAGTGTCGTTGTCATATGGGGCGCTGACACAATTTGGCCTGTCAACAGCGTATGGTCCGCCGGTTCAAAACGCCTCAAAGGTACTTCTTATCCAGTTAAATGTGTTTTATATTAGGATTATGTCAAACATTATGTACAGTTTTGTTTATACATGTATACATTTATGTATATTCATACGCAATAACTAAGTTATTTCCAATATGGTTTCTTAGTGATTGTTCACGTTAATTTGTACCAAAACAATTAAAATACATGACAAGTCAAGATCATCTAGGGAAACCATGTCCATGGAAAGTTTTTTCCAGAACAAAATTCAGACACATATTATGACAGCTGGTAGAGAGGCATGCTCTTTTTGTACATTAATTTGTTTTCAAAATGAATAAATTAATTCAGCTAACGGCTGTGTGTAGTGCATGTACACTACAAAATTCTGCACATCATCAAAAAGACTTTGGTTACTGCATAGCAAATAGGTTAAATTTATCGTGACGTATTAGTATGAGAAGGGATTAATACAATTGTTGTAAAAAGGATATTGCTGTACTGAGGGTCACTCTTTAGAGGGTGCACTGTACAAACTGGATAGCATATCCAAACGTGTGTTAATCCTTTTTGAAAGAACTATATGATTCTAGTGGTTACCAAAGAGACCGGCTTTGGCTGTTGGACTAATTGTATGTGGAGTTGGGGGAGGAGCCATGGTGTTCAATCAAGTTATCACAGCATATCTAAATCCAGACAATCTATCACCAGATTTCGAATCTTCAGACGGACAAAAGTAGGCTTTCATTTATTTTTTTTCCAGATCATTTTGCTACAAATTTCAGCATTTTAGTATAATAAAAATGATTGTATTATAATTTGTACACAATAGAAAAGAAATAGCACTCACTAAACATTACATAAACAATGCATAACAAAATATGTATGAAAATTTGAATATTTTATAACTTTATGATAATGTGCCTCACCTATAAAGTATAAACCAATGTATTGTATAACAGGTAACTATGTATATTAACTCTTGTCCTCCTGGCAGACCAATCGTCGGATATCCATGGCCGAACCATTAACATTTATTAGTTATGTTACATATTAATCAACCGTGGGTATCCGAAGATGTTGCCAGACATTCATTACTGATATTGGTACTGCAGTACGTAGTGCACTCATTTTGCAAATACGGTACTGATATTGAATTACTATTGCACAATTTTGCTGCTACTGGCACTGTCCAAAAATGTTAACAATGCTACAGCTGTACGTGGCAGTAATTTGATTTTCATGAAATATTGAAAGAGACAACACTTATCTCAGATTCTGTTTTGTTTATTTACGGAAGATCAAAGTTTAAAAACTTGTATCGTACTTGAGAAAAACATGTTATGGAAATTTACATGAAAAGTTGTACTAAATGAAAATGTAACTTTAGAGAACACATGATGTGCATTAAAGTTACAAATTGTTTGTGTATCTGACTTGTTTTTATAATGAAGTTGTGAAATATCAAATTAAGTGATTAGCCTGTCCGTGTTCTGCCATGTACCCTCTCCTGTTTTTGTATTGCGTCCTCCTGGGCTCCTTGCCATTGGTTCTTGTTGCTGAGTCGTGTGGGGGTTGCGTTCACTGAACGCCACTTTTCTTTCCTTGTTGACCTTGTTCATCATATTTAGTGAAGGAAAGAATAATAATAGGATTTATTATTGTAAATGAATGTGTGAAGGAGAACAAAAGGCCGTTCTAATTAATGGTAAATTTTATATGAAAGGTAATTGTTGACTCAATCTTCAACTTCAGGATCATTCGTGCAGTCTGACCAGGCTCTATAACTTTTTAAATTTTCATCTCGATATCCCCATAATTGATAATTGACAGTTTCAAAAATGGTAGCTGGATTAAGAAATCAATTGGTATTAACATTTTTTATTGTAGGTATTTTACGGATAAAGGATTACTGGATCGTTTACCGACTTTGTTTTTAATCTTAGCCGGTATCTATGCGGTTTGCCAAATTATAGGCATTGCGGCGCTTTCAAAACCACCCGAAGACGAGGTAGAAGCAAAACGACTACTCAACGATAGCAGAAGTTCTGATGGACAAATACATGGGTATTATTAACATTATTAAAACCATTTACTGTTTAAGGCCAGTGGCACATATTCAACACAATGCAAAAATACATCTATATCTAAACAAGTGATATATATTTCTAATAGATAAATTGTACATCCATACAAAACATAGTATTTACTTGAATCTTAAATTGTCCGAATGTTGAATCTTCTTTTCTCATTGGGAATCGATGAAATGATTCCAGCATTTCTATTATGTAATTATGTTATCTATATACTAGATACGAACAATCTATTACCATCCATTTTACCATCATGACGCATTTCTGACATCGTAAAAATATTATCAATATGCAGGTCAAGTTTTCTTTACATTTTGTGTGCTATATTTTGCAGTAATTAATCATTTGTAAATACAAGCAGGGTGCGTGCATTACATTAGTTCGACCATTCAAACTGCCTTCTATTCCGCATTTCAGATTACGACTATCTGTGAAAGACGTACTGTTGCAAATGATAAAGAGTAAAAATTCAAATATAGTTTTGGCGTTCACATTTCTTATTCAGGGAGGTATGGTATTTGCGATTAGTTTGTATAAGGTACATGTATATAACAACATAGCTTCTATTACCGTAGAACGTGGCATTTAATGTAAAAATATTTTCTACAAAGGGTTGTGATGGTCTGAAACTAAAGATGTCTACTTCTCAATCCAATTATAGTTGGTTCAAAACCATACCGAAATCCTTTCAGACACCAGTACTGGTAAGTGCCAGGAAGCCAACCAGAAAAAGAATTCACATATTAAGTTGCATGCGTTTCATGGCTGATGCTTCAACATGAAAAAAAGTTAATATTTTATGTATTTATTTTCGATAAATGTCATTTTATCAAATTTGTAGACGTTTTTCTTTTGACATCGGTAACACTTTGACAAACAATACTTTATTTGCTTTTATGTTTTACAGTGCTGATACTTGACATTTCATTGATACTTAACCCAAGAACATTTTTTTTTCTAACTTGATTCAAGAGTAATGCTTTCATTTGATACTTTGCTCAAAAACATTGTTTCCAGTTGATACTTGACTCAAAAACATTTGATAGCCAGGAAAAAACTACATATAATAATTTATATTAAAGTTTGCTAAAGTTATATTTATGCCATGTTGGAAAGGAAGAAAATCTTATTAACATAGTATTAGAGAAACGAAATGAACTGTCACCCTATGCAAGGCGTATTTTCTTATTACAGGCTTACGGACAAACGTTTATCAACGATGATCATTTTTTGGCGACAGTAGGGTCAATATCGTCTGTATTTAACTCAATTTGTCGTCCATTGTGGGGAACAATATATGACAAATTCGGATTTCAAGTAAGTTTGCTTAATTTGGTCACTACACATGATTGTAGAAGGTTCTTTGTTTGTTAAAGCATGTAGATACATACGTGTTTAAGGTTTTTAACACTCTTTTCCCGCTACTTTGTGCCGATGTGTATGTTATACTCTCCACAGGTTGCCCGTGTGGGCGAGCCCTCCACAAAAGTACAAGTCATTTAAGATTTTTGATAGTACAGATAGATACCGATAGATACCCCAATTTCAGAAGCTTTTTCTAGTTTTTTTTCGTGCCAAGTGTTTAAGCAATCATACCCGGGACCTCGAATGACAAGTCTGACGCTCTTTAACCGGTTGAGCTATGTAGGCTGGCATCTTAATGCGGATCCGGAGCACAGATAAAACAGAGACCGAAATGAACAGGCTTTGCCATCAGTAAAGCAGTCGGACCTGGTTAACCACAACTTAACATTTAATCATGATATCTTCAAAGTTTATAATAGACGGTTCAAAAGACAAGTCAAGTTTTGAAATTATCTAAGTAAGCTTAGGACAAAAGATTTTTTTTATCTGCTACGAGTATGCTGTGTAAAGAATTGCTTTTGTCTCGTTTTTGTTTTATTTCAGATTGCCGTTAAATTTGTGTGCACTTTATTTACATGTCTATCATGTACTATCATGTTTACAGAGACCATGGGAAAATATCCATTTATGCTGTGGATTTGTGGATTATACGCTAGTTTCTGTGGTAATACGTTTTCGATAAAAACAACGATTTTCTAATAAATGAAAATAGACATCATATTCATATAACTGTAAATTAGCATCTAATTACGACGTTAATGAAAGAATGTAAGGCAAAAGTGAAAGACTTGTTTACATGTATCTTAATTTGCTCTTCTGATACAATTTGCGATAAATGCCTCAGATATCCATTAAAGTAACATTATGCTCCATTTTTCATTGTCAAGTTATGCTGAATTGACAATGTATTTGAAGAAGTAAGTATAGTGAAAGGCATTAATTAAAACAAGCTTGTCATTTAAATAGCTCGTTTTCAACATAAAGAAATAACGCTAACATATTTCATGTTTTTTTATTATTCTATTCAGCTTATTTGTATATGTAAAGCTGCACCAAAAAGCTATATAGAACTCCATATAAGTAATCTCTTTGTCGTTATTTCAAGAACAAACAATTTAACAAACGATAGATCAGCTTTTACATAGAAAAAAATAATAAAGGGGTTAACATTCAGCACTGTTTCGTATCCTCTCTTTTCAGGCATATTTTCTATATGTCCAACAACTCTCGGAAAACTGTTTGGTGTTGATAATATGGTGATTACAATGGGTTTATTCTTCAGCGCTCTTGTAAGTAGAGACTTGCATCCTTAATGTTATCTAAATTTTCAAGCTGTTTGCTTGTTCAGGTCCTTGGTAGACTGGTAGTTAAACACAAAATATGACAAAAATAAAATATGAAAACGATTGTATTTACAACCAGCAATCACAGAACAATTTTTGCATTTATTTTGATCGACTTCTAAGCTTTTCACTTTTGTGATAGTTAAAGAGTCAGCAACTTGTGCAATTGTTTCCTTCCAATACTTTATATCGTCTGTGTTCTCGACTTGAATTTTCCTGGATACATATTTGTCATTAGTTTAAACATATTTTATTTATCAAATTTACAAGCAAGTATCATTTTACATCACAATATATATATGGATTGGAAAACAAGCATACAACTTATATTTATTCCTTATTTATTCATTAAATATTCATAATTATAAAATTATATAAGCAAATAAACTAGTATTGAAAATTGCAATGGTCTGTGTTAAGCTCGACTATTCGAAGAATAGGGAGAGCTTTCGGACTTAACCAGGCTTCGGCGTCGGCGTCACACTTTGGTTAAGGTTTTGCGTGCTAGTTGGTACCTCCGAAACTACTGAATGGAATGGATTGAAACTTCACTCCCTTATTTGACACCATTGTCACTGTCCGACGATGCCCACAACTCTATCATGGGTTTTGACAGCCCTTGTTCTTAAATCACCCCAGAATCGATCAAATGGAAATACTCGATAAGTACATATGGATATACTGTGCTGGTGTGAAGTAAAACCCAAACAAACAAACAAACAAACAAACAAACAAACAAACAAACGAATATTTTACTTCCAGTCAGTTTCAAGTTTATGTGCTGGCTTTATTGGGCTGAATTTGCAATCAGTACTGGGATGGCATGGACTCTTTGTGTTTGGTGGTTCCCTTGGAGCTATAGGTACGGATTTAGTTTTTTTAAACTACATCTTTATCATTTAAGGAAATTTAGGTAAATTTTCTCACTGTTCTGCCAGCTCAATTCTGTTAGAAAACGATATTATAGAAATTGCACTAACAAATGAGCAAACTGTTACAAGTAAAAATCATTGAAATAACAGAAAGAATCAGTATTTAAAAATAAAAATGCTGCACTGTACTTCTAATAAGGCTAATAATTCTTTATTACTATCTATTTTCTTCGAACTTGACATAAATAAAAAAAATCACAATTTTTGTTTTCCAGTCTTCAAAATTTTATTTTGCAAAAATATTTCCTCATTTTCCTTCTTTTCAGCTTTCTTTGTAACATTTTTCTTTGATGGGAAGGATCAAAATGGGAAGCCAATTTGAATTATTTAGACACATGGTTTACGAAAGCTGTTCAAATTTGTCAAGTTTAAGATAAATTAAAACTCAGATCTGGTACCTGTTTAGATGAAACATTGGCAACAATATGACAACGAAGAATACTTGATCACGTGATGCTGACACAGTTCTGACGGGATGATTTCATTAAACATTATGGCATCTTATTTATCTTATTTATATATTTTCTCTCACATCTCTTATATAACGCACGAATCAAAGTGAAATTATGTGATAATAAGCGTTGCTTTTGGTGTCATACGTGGTGTAATGCATTTCGTATCTTGTTCTGATATATATATTTGACAAATCTATTAAATAAACTTATTTCTACTGAACTATTGTCTATTGTATTGTGTTGAATTGTAATTTATTAAAATAAAGGATATAAAATATAATTGTTGTAGTTCCTTTTTGTTTTCAATAATAATAATAATAATAATAATAATAATAATAATAATAATAATAATAATAATAATAATAATAATTAAGAAAGAATAAGGTTTACGATTCTTCTCGAAAACATTAATTTACGAGCGGTGTACAACCGCAACTCAGGCCGTGTTAATTTTTAATAATCACATTTGTTGATAATTTCCTCAAGAAACACTCAATATTGTTTAAATATTTTGAAAAAAATTTAAGTCTGTATTAAGGACAGATCTTATACCTATATACATAGGTGTTTATCGTATCTTAGCAAAAAGTATAAACTTGCAACTGGAAACACCTTTAAACATAGCGATATCAATCAATATGCACTTAATATTATATCACAACAATTCGTAACAAAACAGTTACAGTCCGACAAACATATCCACCATGGATGCACAATGAAACAAGAAAATACATAGGAAAGAATAAAGAAGCATACGATTAAGCTAAAAAGTCAAACAATGTACATCACTTGGCTATTTATTAGCAGTTAGGAAATAAAACAACACACCGTATTTGAAATACACGCACCAATCACGCCAGCAAACTTGCTGAAAGGTTCAACCTGACGTCATCCAATTTGTTGAAAATATTGAAACAATTTATCAAATCAAATACACAAAATAGCAACATACCAACTATCACTGATAATTACGAAACATACACATCAAACACAGACAATTCCAATGCCTTTAATATTTTCAATCACAAACTGAACTTGCTGATAACAACAAACAACTTCCAGAAACAACGCGAACTGTTCACAATCACTTAGATATATTCATTAAGCATCTTAAGAAGTCGCATCAATGCTAAAATCATAAACGGAAGGGAAAGCGGTAGGTCCAGACTTTATAAATGATAAAATCATAAAAGAACTCTCAAAAGAAATTGCTGAACCACTCTGTCGTCGTTTAAATCATTCTGTACAGTCTGGAAAAGTTCCTTCACAAAGGAGATTAGCCCAAATATGAGCTGTGTATCAAAAGAAAGATCGTCAAAATATTTCTAATTATAGACCAATCTCACTTCTTAGCACTCTTAATAAAGTGATAAAAAATCACAAACATCTCAAATTCTTTCTTGATAACAGCCCTTTCTCTAAACTCTTAAGTTGATTTATTTGCACAACAATCTGAAACTTCAGTAAATTATCCCGCTTCTTCATAAAACTATTACAGACACCTTGCTCTGCACATCTGACCTATCACCCCCTTCAAAGCCAATGGCCACATCTCGTTCTATCTTAATAACTATCTTACTATCTAAATTACTTCCTTATTTGATATCACCATGTGCAATTATAAAATCAAGCATTAATTAGCATAATATATATTTGTTGAAATTTAACACCGCACAACAAAATACGTTCTCCGAACCTTCTCCATTTATAAATATTGAAATTTAATATGATTGCACATTAGATGTTATTTTCACTTGTTTTATTTTATTGCACTATTTTTTTTGCTCATTTCACTCTTTATAAGTGTAAATATTTCATGTTAGTAACTAGTGTGCGACTCTACATTATGCTTTACTTTTACTATTCACAGGAAATAATTGAAATACGTCTTTTGACTTTCTTTTCAATCCTGTACTATACCATGTTGTTGTACATACACGTAATTATATATGTTTGAACTACAAATGTATATAAACTAAATACAGTTAGAACCAAGTACAGATCTAAACCACGTTATATTGGACAGTCTTAAATGTTGACAATCTTAATGTCATTATCCTTAGATAGAGAGTTCTTTACAATCCAACCCTATATAATTCATCACACATACTTTAACAATTGCAAAAATGGTACATTTACGCTCGAGAGTGTGTAAAGTGAGCTCGACTGGATGTAATATTGTGAGGATACAGTATGTGTTCAACACTTAAATCATAAATAATGATATCAAAGTACAGTACGTATGTGTCATTCAATAATGATATTGTACAAACTTAATAACGCGACTGCGCATTCAAGGCGTTGATCGGAATAATACCGGTCACACAGGAACGCGCATGGTTATAGCTCTGATGGTAGAGAACTTGACATGCCTCATATTTGTGAGTGTTTGTGTCGGTATGATCTAAATAGTTTATTAGAAGTACTAACGTTACTGACACAGTATAAGTTGTAGAACTGTGATGAGTTTGGTATGCGTCAAGGGTGAATGAACTGAATTATATTGAACTTAGATACGTGAATATTTCATTAATAATGACATGAATAGTCACTGTATTTATTCCTGTTCACTAGTTTATGGTTATAGTTTATAATAAAGATTTTATATGTTCAACACAAGGAAGGAAGTTAAGGAAGGGTATTGAAATAATTTAATTCGGGAAGGATATTTAGATTCAAATCAAATTAAAGTAAGTTACTGACATGTCATATATATTATTAATCATTTAAATTTGCCGTAAATTGGTTGTTATTTAAGTTCTTTAAAACAGTCTCATATATGAAAATACTTATTTTATGATATTGCTTAATAACTTCTAAAATAATACGAATATGTGGTCTTGCGTATTGAAAAGTTCTTTTGTCTTTTAACTCGGCAAGAGAAGCCATTCATAGATTATAGAGTTAAAACGAAGTATTGTGAATTCTAACCCTAGGGGGCACAATTAAGAAATAAACGAGTGCTGAAATGAAATTATCAATCTAAATGATTAATCCAAGGTAAAAAGAAGAAAAACATTCTCATTTGGTATAATTGAACAATAATCTTTAAACGCTCCTACTGCATAGCACTTTGTGACACGGTAGCTTGCAGCTAGTTTGAACTAGTTTACACGTAGACAGTAAGTTTATGTATTTGTAGCATCTCTGAATTTACTTTGGTTATGGTTCACTTAAAAGCATATATTTATTTTGTCGATGATTGTTTCTCTAACCGTTTCTTTGCTTGTTAATGTATTAAACTTATGGCATAACATAAAAACATAGGTAAGCTATATTATTAAGAAAAACCCATTTGATTATTATTATGATCGAGTTTTTTTTGCTTTGAAAAGCAACATTAGATTGAATTATACGAAGGAAAAGGGTATATTTTTCTATATTTTATGTTAATGATTTTATAGGTACTGTGTATATTTGTTTTTATCCACCATTGGTTAGTAAAATAACAATCAATTTATTTACAATTTTGGAGTTGAACGTTTTCTTTAAAGATATATTATATTATATTTGTAAATACTGATTATTGCTGTTCAATCTTTTTAAAAAGATCTTTTGAGTACACAAAGAGAAGATATGTTTTAAACTCAACACACTATAGATAAACACATTATGAATTCTTAGTGTCATAAAAAATGGCAACTTCTTAAAGAAAGAGCCAACTTAACCTGTAATAGGGAATACAGCTTCCGAAACATAATTTATATGCATCCTCATATTCAAATTGATCACATTCAGTAAGACTTTTATAGATTTTAATGAATTTTCTGCAATACGAGTATTTTACATAACGATGAGCATAGTGCATCTTTAACATATCTCATCCATTTAAATAAATAAATAAATAAATAAATATATAATAAATAAAAAAAATAATAAATAAATAAATAAACAACAATTAACTTATGTTGTTGAGTTTGATATAGTATAAACTAACGTATAATTATAATAATAATAATAATAATAATAATAATAATAATAATAATAATGATGATGATGATGATGATGATGATGATGATGATGCTTTAATATATGCATTTACAGTATAAAGGTCACATAATGCTTGTAAAGCGGAACTTTTGCAGGGTTTGAATAGTTCAACAAACTAGCAATGTACATTGTATATATTTATTACAATATATATTATTACAATATATATATATATATATATATATATATATATATATATATATATATATATATATATATATATATATATATATATATATATATATATATATATATATATATATAAATTCAACCACATGTTTTATTATCAAAATATGTCATACCGTATTTATGTTTAAACTGCAAAAATGCCCTTATTTAAACTAATCAACTTTAGTGTTTAAATACCACGACATTTGCGTACTTGATATTAATATCTAACCGGATAGAAAATTGAAGGTCATGATGATATTGTAGAACGAACGCGATCGTATAATGTCGACGAACATGTTCAATCTTATGCTACCATCTTCACGCCTCACTTAATTATAACGATTAAAATTGCATTAAAACTACGTATAACGAAGATAAAAGTACATCACTATAATTATGAATATCAAATTTTCTTGCTCGATGGTTCATTTATTTTCTTAAGATACGATTCTTTGGGGGTTATCTTTGAAAGAATGCAGATAAAATATAGAGAATTGAAAAATTCAAATCATTCGGTTGTAATAATTTGAATAAACTATTAAGTAATAATTTGAATAAACTATTAATTGATGAGACAGCGTATCAACGGTATTAAAAACAAAGTATTCGCGCATTTGTTTGACAGTGAAAAAAATATTCATGCATTTAATTAATATCAAGAAAGATTAATGGACTTTATGCTAATGACCACCCTATTTATTTAATATACTCCTATCTAGCTTGACAGTCAACCTTATGACCCTGAAATCAAAGTAACCCTGAAAACTAAAGAAACAGTAATGACGCTAATGCATAATTAATTGTATCCAAAACGAAGCAGTATAACCAATTTTGAAAAGTTTGAAGAGCCGATTTGTCATTATACATTTTAATTATTCGTAACATAAAATTTGAAAAATATCCGTAGTTTTGATATTTCCTTCTTCTTGTTAATTTCCTTGATTTTATTAGATTGAAAACTGCATATCATTTACAAAGTATTGCAATTTTTACTATTTGATACTGATAAGATTTTTTTCACCATGCGTTAATGGCGTACAATGTAATGAGTTCACAAGGAAATGAACGATTAGTCATAAAAAGGCCTTTTGTTATTTAGTGAACCTTTTTTTGCAGTGTGCCCATGAATTATATTAAATGTTACTCAGTTTTTAATATAATGGAAATGAATGTTCTGATGTATACATTTAGCAGGACAAGGGCCATCAATCTCGTAAAACTCATATCCTTACTATCGCTCCACTTCCCCTCGCTAGGTAGAGTACCGTGAAAACGATGATCTATTTTTAAATGAAATTGCAGGGAATATACAATGTATATGAAATAGAAATTTGAATACCTGCACTCCAGTTAATGCATTTATAGGTAGGTATACGATTACAATCTGACACATTATCAACATACAGGTCTCCAAACTATGATGCAATTCAAGTTATAACAGCCACATGTTTATAGATTAATAGACTTTCAGTATCAGGCACATGGGTAGATACGACAGTACGCTATACGAAAAGTTGAACAAAAATATAAAATTACAAAAGTAAACATATTTTACAATGCAATACCATATCAACTTTATATACCCTTTTGATTTATAACTTTGCCCTTTTTAGGCTGTTACATCTTTGCAAAAACTTAATCGATTTGATCCTACAAAATACACCGATATATCTCTTCTATTAATCAGACATGGTCCAGTACTCACGGTATCAATACTGCCTGACAGTGATCGAAAAATAAAACCCAGCTCGCGTCAACAAAGAACCATTACACAATGAAATATTAATTTGCTGAATATTTAATGACAACTCACTAAATATATTACCTGCGATCACTAACTAACAACAACCCCCCCCCCCCCAAAAAAAAAAAGAAGCTAAGCAAATAAGTAATAATGATAAATCATATAGATATAAGAATGCACCATAAAGAACAAAATAAAAACTATTTATTTCTTAATTGTGGCCTATTCACGCTTCCGTAGGAACGATATAATCAATACTCCTTTCAAATGAACGTTTATGCAGGCCTAACAGTGTATATATAATTAAGGTGACTGACTGTGGGTACACAAATCTTGGAATAAACTTACAATTAATAGGTAGGTGTGTTCACATTAAGTTTGGTTCATTTAGACAACACAACATTTTCTATTCATAAAGTTTATTGATATTCATAACCAACAGAAGTAAATAAACATACACAGGAAATTAATTAGCGGTGATATTATGTTATGTAGAATGTAAAGTATTGCTAATGTATTAGGAGAAATGCGATACACTGATGGATATGAATCTTTGTTTAATATTTCAATAACTAGTTATTATATGTGAAATTAAATTAATATATGTATTACTTTATTATTGATTTGTTACATGTTGAAATGTAAGTATATTAAGTTTGAAGCAGAACATTTGATAGACTTGTTTCTATTGCTTTTGTTATTTGTGACTGCATATATGATTATTTACATCTTACTTAATCAGATTACAATCAAGCATATGCATATTGTAGAAAAACAAACAATATTGTAAATGCAATGGTCGCGTTAAAGTTTACAACATTTTGGTATGTTGTTCATTTTTTACAATGTGCATATCATATATGCTTGAATTTAATTCGATAAAGTAAGATACATAATATTTTGTGATGGGTTAAATAAAATATGTGTATACACCTATTTTATTTAACCAGTCACAAAATGTTTATAAATATTTTTTTTATAAAAATGTTTATTTATCTTTATATACATAAATTAATGGCTTGTTCGCTGCACAAAGTTCATATGTTTAAACCTAAACCAGACTAGTGTAAATTTCATTCTTTTCTTTATTACTTACAAATTTAAGAGAAATCATTGTAAAGGAAACATTTACATGTAATCCTTTTAAAAAGTTATCTTCATAGTTCATGCTTATAAATAACGTATACAAATTGTAAATGTTAAAATTAATGACTGTGACGTATGTTATGTTAAACCGATGCATGGTGTGTTGCGATGGATTATGTTACATTTCATTTTTCATTCACATATTAGGGGGTATAAACTAAACCAGAACTACCTTCAGTTTACTACCTTCATTTTACTGCCATTTCGTATGCAAGTGCTTCATACTAAATATGAAATCACATGAAACACCTGCATGATGACGACTGACATTCTTAATGTTTACCAATCCCAATAGTCATTGAAAAACAGAACACAAACTTGTAAGTTCTAGATCCGTACGTAGAGCTGCTGAAATACTTAGAGGAGGGCAGATGAAACAGATTGTTATAATATAAGGATATTCTATTTATTCCAATAGGACGGATGAAATGATACAAGTGCCAGTATACATTTTTGAATTCATTTTCATTTCTTTTAACTACTACATAATGCAATTTTAATGCAAATATTTATGCTTGTTTTCAGGCACGGATTTATATTACGTGATTCAGGTAATTAACACAAAGTACGAATACAAGTCAATTTATTTGTATTTATAATTATTTATGAATTTATAGTTTATATGTAGTATGCGTGTTTTAGATAACAATTAAAGTATATTTCGAGCACATAATTATATTTCCTTGCAGATACAAGTATCGAGGGAACTTCAAACAAACTAACGTTAACTGATTCGTTAGATAAATAGCGGAACATTCATGCTTTATTTTTCAACATTGTCTCCATGATCATTTTGCTAAACCATGTTTGCAATTTGCAATTCCTTCTTGTAACACGGTTGCATCTTGCATTTACTCTGCTCATATAAGGCCATCTAAACGTTAAGCTAATGAATATGTATTTTATGTCGAGGAAAGAATTCGGACTGCAAAATCCAGTGCATATTTGGCATAGGGTAACATTACAAAGTCACAACTTTCCGCTTCTGCAACTGTCCATTTTGGTATAAACTTGGACATTATTACTACAACAGCACGATGCCAGAACCGGAAGTTTTCTTGTCTTTTAACACTAATTGCTATTCTGAAGTCTTTTAGGGTGGAATAATGGTTTGACTGTTTTGTTTAAAGTCGATCGCAAGCACTTTATCACAGCATTCTGCAACTAAAATATATATAAAAACATTATATAATCAAGAGATACAACTTACATGAATTCATTATGGCGTGAACACCCAATGTGTTTTCCATTGCTTGTGTTAAGACTTGGAATCAAGATAAAAAGTGGACTCGGGTCTCATTCTATATACCGTTGAAATATTTGCCCAGGCAAGCCAAAAGACGACCTAAAGTACAGAATGGTAGCCTTAAAATTTACAGGCTTCCTTATCTTGTTTAGGTTTATACGTTCTGGAAACTTATCATGCAATTGAATTTTTCATCAAAGGATATTTTATTCTTTCTTAAGTTTCTTGATCAAACGAAGTATCGTTTACATAACGAAGCCCTGTTACAGATATTATATTAAAAGTAACCCTCAATCATTCAGCAAGCAACATGCAGTAAATTGCCTTAATCTGTAGGTACGTGTTTTCATGTAAATTGGACAAACATTTTTCGAAGTATGCGCTCTATAAATGTATCACTTTTTAGTACTAAGACAACAATTTTACTTACCTTTGCTATCCTGTATCTTTCAGATTCAATTTAACATCGACTCACCATGAGTAAATCAGCTCTGACAAAACGAGACATAGACCGAGGTTGGGCATGGGTTGTTATGACGTCATCGTATTTAGGGATGGTTATTTATTGCGTTCCTCTATACATGAGTGGAGTTCTGTATATCGCATTGCTTGACAAGTTTAAGGAAGGGGAAGCTAAAACCTCACTCGTAGGCGCTGTCAATGCTGGTCTTCTTTGTTTTGCAGGTACAATATTAATGTATAACGTATAACAATATAATATCGATTGAACCCTTGTATTTTTTCGAAGTGGAAGAATCTTTAAGATAGGCCCATTTTTAGAAACCACCTCAGTCAAGATGGCAAGTTCATTTGCTGTATTTCCCCTGGATAAAATAATGTACTGTACGAGTAGGAATAAAACTTTAAATTAATTCTTATCCTGATGTTCTTTCATTTCTGTTTTATTTCATTTTAGCACCTTTAGGCGGCGTAATAAATAACAGGTTTAGCTGCCGTGTGTCTATAGTACTCGGAGGGGCACTGACGTCCATTGGATTTGCTACGAGTGCGTTTGCGCCAAGTCTTGACTGGATGATAGTGACTGCTGGTATCTTGGTTGGTAAGGTAGATTACCTTTTCTATAAGTTTATTAACTTTAGGTAATATCTGGAACAAAGTGATCCATCGGACCGAAATTACATGAAAACGACTCGGTAAGCCTCTTAATTATGTTAAAAAATATATATATATATTTACAAGTTTGTACAATGGACATTTCATCTGACTTCCCAAAAACTTTAAACTTTGCTTAGGCATAAATGCAAATGATTAAAATATTTATAGATGCTTAATAAAATGTCATTCAGAAATAAATTATAATTTGATCAAATGATTACTTGGTTATTAAATTACAGATTGCAGTTACCATGTAATCACATTAAAGATACTCATTTTGGTTTTCCTTTGCTAAATATTGATGCATGCATGCACCACATATTTAACCTGTAGACCAAAGTGATAAAAAATATTTATTCTATATAACAGGTATAGGATTTGCAATATCTTCTTCTGGGCTTATCTGTGTTGTTGGTTTTTATTTTGAAAAATGGCGAGAAATTGTGATCTCTTGTGCCTTTCTCACAGTTGGACTTGCAATGTTTCTCTCAGCACCGTTTGGAATATACATGATTTCAGAGCACGGGCTTACTGCAACATTGTTAATATTGGCTTGTATCCAGGCACAACTGTGTGTTTGTGGAATGTTAAGTAAGCCTTCAGTAATTGAAAATGAAGTTAAAGCTGAAAAGAAGAGAGACAGAAAGATTGGTGGATCGAAATCAAAAACATATTTAGATGTAACTCTAATGAAAAATGTTTCCTACACTTGTTACTTATTAACTGTATCAACATGGAACTTTGGCCTGTGTGTCGCAATAATGCATCTACCGAACTACGTGTCAGTTCTTGGCGGGACAAATCGTGATATAGGATTACTTATGACCTCATTTTCGGTGGCCAATGCAATTGGTCGTCTGCTTGGATCGTTAACAATATCAAAACTTAATGACAAAAGTCTTTACGTGTATGCTGGTGTTCTTGGAACAACTGGAGTGGCCACGACACTGTTTGCTGTGTACGCGGATTTGGCAGGAGGTACATACATGTTTTCAATACAATTAGGTTTATTTACCGGATGGCCAAATGCAATGATGACACCGCTGTCTCTCCGATTTGTAGGTGTTCACAAACTATCAGAGGCCTATGGTTTAGCTTATGTTTTCTGTGGGCTAGGTGTTTCTACAGGACCAGTCCTTATTGGTAAGATTTGTTTTCCAATTTCGCAGATATAACATGGCTATTTTATTATTTATGTTACACCATTTATTGAATAAGAATTTATTTATTATGTATTTTTAACCAAAGGCTTATTCTAAAAATAGATACATGTACATGATTTAAGTAAGTACACTGTGTGTGTTTGGGTCATTGGCCACTAGTATTTAATAAATTGTACCCTTTTTCCATCCAGGATATTTGTACATCATCACAGGATCATATAAATACAGTTTCGTCGTAGCAGGTAAGGGGATTCGGTTGCTTTGTTTTCATTCTGAAATAGTGGTAATTTGAAGGCAAAGAAATAAAATTTTCACAAATAAACTAAATATCATTAATTACTGCAAACGCATCGTTCATGTAAATTGGGTAAAGTTAGATTAAATTTAAGTTGAAATAATTTGAAAATTTACATGCTACCTTCTACGAAAGATAACGCTACCACGCCGCTCAGCTTCTTATATAGGTGCTAAAAATAACACCATTTTCGGACCAATCAATAGGCCCTTTATAAAATCTGTTTTTGGATGGAATAAAGAGTTCAAACTTTAGCGATTTAACTGTTTATTGTAGATATGTCATAAGGATTGAATATCGCTAGTACCGGTATTTTGTCGACAAAAATTTAAAACATTATGTTAATGATATAATCAGTATCACCTCGTCTCGTTGATAAAACGTAAAATCTACCCATTACTCACTTCTGTTTCAGGCGCAGTTCTATGCATGGGTTGTTTATTTAGTGTGTGTTCAATTTGCTGTAAAAGTGAATCAATAGCTGATAAAAGAAAAACAGAATTGATAGTTATCTCTCAGGATGAAACAGTGGACCAAAATGGTTGTTTAACTAGAGGTAAGAGTGTGGAACACATACTACCAGAGTCGGAAACATTACTAGACAACACAACAGAACTTACAGTGACAGTTATAAGAACAGCTAGAAAAGTTAATGCACAATGACATTATTATAAAGAGGAATCTGAATTTGGGGAAATATATGATTAACGTGACAGCAGTTTAGGTTATGCAAATGAAGATATGTCTCAAGACAAAGCGAGCCCATATAGAGGATATTTTATGAGTGTAAGTTTAATACTAAATTTATTGAATGAAATCATAATATGCGAGCCTCTGTCCAGCATAATATTGTTTTATTCAACGAGATGAAAGATGAAGTATAGTACTTAAAAGTAAACTTATACAGGAAAATACATACAGATATACAGAACGATATAGATTGCAGAGATCAGAAAATACCACAGAGCTTGCAGCCCTTTGATTATTAAATGGCTTTATTACACTCCGGCGCCGCGGCTTATGTTATAAATAAAGAATATTTGTTTAGTTCGGTGTAAGATCGGAATATATATCACCGAGTGAGTACCAAAAGTTATATTAATTTCACGAGTGGCGAAGCTTTTGGTGTTCAGGAGGTTACGCTGAACTAAACAAATTTTCTTTTTATTATATGCAAAGAAACGTTTAAAAAAACATTTTAACCTAAAAATATATGAAAAACGTGCCAAATAATGATACACTGTTACGTCATTTACGACGTGACGCCATTAAGTTGGTTTCCAGTACTGTGCACGCTGGTATTCAAAGTAACGGGTCCAACTTGAAATTTTTCTGTTTTAAACAGTGAAAATATCTGTTTTATATTTTACTAATAGATTTCTATAAACCACCGAAAAACATGTACTAAATAACTTTTTTTCAACTTTTTATTAGTACATTGTATATAAACAATTGTGGTCGACAATACAATCCGGTTTCAATATATTTATAATTTTACATGTGTGAATTGTCTGTGTATAATTTCCCGATAAATAAAAATACAAAAATATACCTCACAACATACTTGTTTCTTTTATTGTTGCCTTCAAGTCATTACATATGGACAAACGTGTTCTGATTTCCATCTCTACACCCATGCCGTTCTGGAACTAGTATACAAGAGAAAATTCAAAATCAAACATTAAAATGATGTGTGAAGATAGGGTTTATTTCGACTATATATCGTCACGATTTTCCAATGAAAAGCGACGTTACAAAATGCAGTATTATAATAATGCGTTAGTATCTATTTTACAGAACTACCGTAATAGATTAATTCACATTAATTTAATTCACAATGATTTAATATAAATGTAGCAAAATGTAAACATTGTACTTTCATTGACTTCCATACAAAATATTCCCTATAACTTCACTTATTGGCAACATGAAACCGATGAAAAAGATGATTTAGTTGATATTATTTCACATTACATGTCCCACTCCTAACACCCTAATGTCCGCTCCAGGTTCTTTTGAGTGTGTCCGGGCCCGCGTCCTGTGAACATTGCCTTTGCCTTGTTGATCTTTATTCTTGTTTTTTTTTAGGTAATTGGTCAATGAGTAACTTTTTAGTACTATAAAAGTACACCAAAAATTAATACGACTTTGAGAAATAAAAATAAATGCATGTCTCAGTTATAATAGGCCTTTTAAACGCACGCCAACATTCGTTCAACTAAATTGATAAATGAGTATTATAGAGAATATGTCGTCGGCTTACTCTTAAAATGTCCTAACTGCCAAAATGCTATTTTGAGAAAAACGACTTTAAACATTTTGCATCTTAATATTTTTTTCCACGTGACCCCACTGAATTGAAATTTTTCACACATCTATATTTAGGATTTTAATGCGCAAAAAAGGCGTTTATTTTTCTTTCTGGAGAAAGACTGAGAGTAAATATGAAAAAAACAAATTTGAGATAGAGCAAAAGGTCAAAATATTTCTAAAAAAGTCACTCTAAAAGTGCGTCATTGGAGATAAAGCAAAGTAATACCAAAATTAAATGAAGGAGCTGGAGATACGATACTTTAATGGTAGAAATTATTACATACACAGGCTGTTTTAACCTTTAAAATGCACTTATTATGCTTGTCCGTTGTGCAATTAGATTTTATTGTAAATCATTACAAGCCGTCGCAATAATTTTTCAACGCAAATGAGCGACTGGATGTTTCTTTGTATAATAGTATAAAACTTGCTAGATAAGTTAAGGGAAAATATGTTCAGAACACCGACCTCAACGTAACGTAATGCATCAAGCCTAATTAAAGTGTTAAGACTTTATGATATTGGTCCCCAGATATTTAGTCACAACAAGTTAAACAATTTATAACTGTTTATCATAACTTTTGTAGTATTAATAAATATGACTTCTTGTCATGACAAATAGAAATTGATATCTTAAACATAAATACTGATCGTAAGTTGCGTAACAAAGAAACATATCTCTATTATAGACAAATATAGATATACATCATATAAAAGGTATAAAATTGTCTTTATATTTGCATATACAGCATATTACTTTACAAAATCTCAATCTGTATGTATTAATATAATTATACAACTGACATTAATGCAAAATGTCTGTATTAAACAAAAACATAAAACAGCGTCTCGTCATACCGTGAAAAAAAATCTTGAACAATTTGAATTTTCTATTATCTAACATTTTTTCAATGGACTAAGGTCAACATTATTAAAATGTTATTTACTTTCTTTAACAATGTAAGAAAACCTGTTGCCAAGGTACTTCATCAAATCTGCCATGTAGTAGTCATTAATATTAAACGTAAATCAGCTGTTCATGTGACTTGCAGTTTTCAACATAAATGCAACAATAACATGATGCTAAAGTACAACATCAATAAAGAAAATATATTCCAATGTCTCATCATAACATTGAATGTAGTAAATTTCTCAAACATAATATTAATCACCTGTAGATGTAGATGAGTATTTGATAAATTGTGTTATTGAATAATACCATGATCAAATTCCTATTATGTCTGTTTGCACAATACTATAGCACTTGCACTTATAAAGATTTATATTTTATACATGCGATCCTCTGTCGGCATAAATCGTAGCATGGTTTCTATATATTTTTTCTTGTCATCAGACAAACCCTTTTCACATTTTAGAATTTTAAGCAAAGGAAGTAAGTCTACTTTATAAGATAAACTTGTTGTCCTTAGATTTGTCGCCTCTGTGTACTGGACATCAAATGACTCTTTAAAAAGCACTTGAACCGGCAATCCGTTCACATATTTCAATGCTTTTACTCTTGTAAATGGGACAGAGTTAAATGTGAATTTCTCTGCAACCACTCGATAGTCAAAAATCACATCTTTTTTAGTTGTATGATTACGGTTTCATCCGGACGGACTTGCTTACGTTTTCTAATTAGACACAGAGGACTGTAAATTTCTGAAACTTTCAGCTTTTTCTCTGTATGTGAGTGAATGTTATCAATTTCCTGAATACTGGAATGTCCAGGAGTACAAAATTTCTGAACAATTTCAACCACTTCAGGATAAGTTTGTTGAAATAGTTATAAAGCTGTTGCGGTTTTGTGGTACACAACTATCATACCACAACGTTATTTTCTTAACATGAGGATGAGCCTTCAAAGTGTTTTCTAAGATAACAGTTACAGCACAACCTAGTTCATTAGATCCTCGTCCAGCGACTTGCTCATTCCATATAACATTATATCCAACTTCGTGCAGAGAGCAGTGACACAATAGGATAATCAATCTCAAAATCACACCAAAGTCTTGACAATTGCTTATCAAGTCGTTAAATTTTCTGCAAACTTTGTTCACTTTTGTCAACAGATCTTGAATGCAGATATAGCTCAAAATGTGTATGAGGACGCCGTCGGGCAACAACACGAGGTTTAACCTATAATGATATTTAAATTTAAGTAGTTTATAATATCAGTGATTTTAGCATAGGTCACGATAAAAATGAAATGGTTAACTTTAATTTACTTATTTATGTATCCGAAATATTGTTTATCCGAAATATATTTACTAGGTTTTGCAAAACTTCTTGAAATTCTGAGATTACAGTGCATTCAACATTAAAAAAGCAAATTGCAGTTACACGTACAGATATTTTAGTTTAATATACTCACATATTATTACTTTATCTTGCTTGGAAACACAATCAATGGCATTACAAAAAATATTGGCAAAAAATATTCTCTACCGGAAGTTTTGACTTAGCGCACTATCATTGCGAAAACGACCAAGGTCACATGACCATCAGTTCGTGTTTTGATTGGCTTATTTCAGGTTTCACTATAAAATTGTCCTAAGTAACGTACATACCCTACTATAAGGATAAAACAATCTTGCGAAATGTGGACATAGTGCAAAGTTCATACTCGGTAACTCCGTTTCTAGGTCATCATAACCTTGAACCCAAAGCTTAAAAGATAGAGCAATGTAAGGTAAAAAGAATGGTTCATTTATCTCAAATTTTGCAAAAATGGACATAGGACACTTTTAGAGTTAGGCGACGATGTGTTTGTTTGTTTTGTGTAAGTTGAAAATTTATTTCATCTAGTGAACTTTAAAAACAGTATTTTCACGAATGGCGTAGCATAACAAACAACACATTTTGTTTTATGCTCAAATACAAGTTTAAATGAAATTTTCTCAATATAAACTTGAATATCAAAATCTTTTTTCCCCACTGATTTTTAAGACGAATTTCTCATTACAACATGAAGTCTAGGAAAAATTGGTAAATTCAGAAATTAACGTTTAAAGCGATGATATTATATTGGTAAACAAAAATGAATGATCGTTTGTTTTAATAATTAAACCAAACAATGCTTGAAGATGAGAAAGTTACACAATACCGACCTTTGGCGGATGTAGATATTAGACTTTTTTTTAATTAAGTCCTGTAAGCGACCGCCAGTTTTTCTTAGTTGTGTATTTCACGCGAGGAATGAATAATATGTGTTTGATTCGGAGAGACTTCCTTTGGACTTGATAATTTTACACCAATCGATGACTGTTACAGACAATAAATGATTGTTGACATATCTGTATACATTCAAGAAGCGACTATGAATTTGAAATACGTGGAATTTTTTTAAAGACTGTCTAGTGTCTTACGAACCCCGGGTCATTTACTTAGCTTTCTGGCTAGTCACTGTCATTGCATTTGCTTTTTCACATTGCATTACAGTTATTGTTTGTAGGATACTTAAATATGCCCAAAACTCATCAAAAGCAGTTTTGCATGTTGAACCACATCCGACCACTTACACATTACATTATCCGTATGTTTCAAAATTTCCATTTTAATAAGTATCTTAAGGTTTAATAAAATTTATTTCTTTTTTCAGCTAGTTAACTATGACAGTGAACATTTAATAAGATTATCAGCTGACCTAACTCACAGGTTATTCATTAGAGCATTATTTATCTGCAGTATCAATACGTATCTTAAAACCACTTATCAAACACATAATTAAAGGAGCCGTCTCGGGTATTTAATAAAAACATTTTTATTTACACAGTTTCAGTGATATGATACACAGGATATAACATGTATACCGAAAGTAATCATGTCACTGTCATATTCGGACATGACATATTCCATATATAATAGTTACGTGATATTATTTTTTGTTGTATTTTACACTGATGTTCACTTATCCGCATTTTAAATGAATTTAGTGGAGTATTGTTGTATCAATAATTATTTATCAGTCAAGCTTCTTTAATCGTCATAATAATGATCAGTAAATAAATAAGATATTGCGGATTTATTATGAAAATATTTAAACATTAGATTACATTGAGCTATGTAATACACTATTGTAACGTTCTGACCTGCAGTTTCTTTGAGGATGGACGTAGAAGGTACTAAACGTTCCACCTCATACAATGTTAAAACAGTATGCGTTATAATAGGTGGAATACTTGTTCATCTGTGTTTGGGAAGTTTCTATATATTTGGTGAGTATTTAATGTTGAAAACATAAATGAACGTTAAATCAGTAGTGTAATTATATAAAGATGTAAATATACAGTTAATTTTATCCTTTAAACTGAAATATATACCCGATCCTACCTATATTTCACTATGGAAAGGTGTTATCTACAAATTGTCTAGGACGACATAAGTTTGTTTTCCACTAGGCATCCATACAAGATTATTACTTTCGAATTCATAGCTTTTTCATTGATGAAAGAATCTCCAAATATAAATGTATGCATTATTTAAATTTAAGCATCGACCACTCTGTAACATACTTTTTAAATTCAATCAAACTAAACAACGAAAATAACATTGACACGACAAGTTACCACTTACTAGCAAGAGTACCACATAGGCGTGGCAATTTACGCCCTAATGCAAATTTGTTTTAAGAAATTGAAATTTAAAGTAATCAAAAATAGTTTTTAAACAGGGAGAATACCCATGTATAACATTTGTCCGCAACTTGTTTTATTTCAATTATAATTAATAAGATCTATATTAATATTCGCCGAAGAGCTATGCTCTTGTCACATGAATACTTAGTGAAACTAATATATGCCACAGATTACGACCCCAGACATGTCACCAGTCATGCTCTTAAAAAGCTAATTTCAAAGCATAGTATGGTGATTATTTACCCCATGCAATTATATATACTGACTGAGAAAAACATGCTAAAAATCTTTGCTCTGCATGTTCAATACTCAATTAAACCGAGTCTGCAATTCTCTTGTAATTTTATTGTGATTAATGCTTCCGAGGAATCACTTTGTTTCGAGAATTTTAAAACATGTATACAACATAAATCGGTATACATGTGAACTGTGCGAAACCTGCCAAACCTCAACAACACACTGGGCACAATCATATGCTAGTATCAGTGAAATGATTTTTGAAACAATTGCAGGATTCTTGTATGAAATGATACATACTTGCATTTGTAACTTTAAATAAGAACATAATTTTTCTATCTATGTGACCGCTGGGGCAGGGCCATTATTTACCCCTTTAGCATGATTTATATACTTTTTGTAGATGTCAACAAGACATGCTTTATGCAAAATATCTAAGCTTAACATAAATATAATATTTTCGGGCATATGAAAATGTGTTATTATTACGTACATACCTTGATTTACAGTTTTTAAGGGTAACAAACCTAAATTGATATTCTTACCGGACAGGGTATACATTTCGCGTTTCTGTAGCCTACGTTTCAGTATACCTCAGATACCAAAGTCCATGGGAGCTGCATCTGGACTTTTTAGCATCCATTCTGCAGGTGTTCACTTTGAATTCACTTTGCGTTTGCTGAGAAAGTGAATGATCATTTTAGCGGTATGACTATAGTGGCCGAGTCTTGATTGAATAACATACCATTCTGTTTTCTAGGAGAAAGTTGCAGAACATTTTTTTAGGAATGGTTTTAAAACTTTGTCTTTGTAATATTTTATTTTGACTTTAACCCCTTTATTGATAAAAAAATTTAGATGCCTTGACGTAGTAACTAACTAAGCCAGGCCCAAACCATAAACCCAGGTGCGAATGCGTCTCTTTTTACAAACTTCATTTTGTTAAGGTCTGTTTCATTAGTTCCCAACGTAGCAAACACGACGTCGACGGTAACAACCGCCCATGTAAAACGTCTCGTATGTGGTGACAACGTGTTTTCATAGACGCCATTATCGAGCACGTCATTTCAAAATCTTGGCCTCGCAGTATTTTTCACTATAATTTCTCTTTGTATGGGAAGATTCACCAACGTAATCATAATACGGGTTTTACGTACGACGTCAGCAGTAGCTGCTGTGCTATGTTTGGTAAAACAATCACTTTTACATGTTTTGCGTATGTTATTTCGAATTCGATGCACAGTAGCAGAAGAAATACTATGTCCCATCTGTTTCACTTGTTTGACAATGTTTCTGTAGGAGATGTTTTGCTTTGAAAGTCCTAAAATAATACCCTCAACTTAGCAATTTATTTTTGGTCTAATCATATTGTACTTTCAATTTAAATGAGATAGGTATATGTATGATACACTACTTTACATGAATTGTAATCCCCTTGCACAATTTTTTGTAAGCTATAAGATCTTAAAACGCATTTTGGTTGTGTTTCATATTAAATTGAATACCTCTCGTATAGGTAAGAATTGTTTGTTACTTGTAGGATTTAAAAATTCAACTATAATTAAATATCATCGTGTGCTCCTTGTAAAGTTAAACCACATACTTATTCTAGTCATTCATCTTGTAGGAAACATAAGTCCGTATATGATATCATATCTTCGTAACAGAACAAGTGAAATCTCATTACGTAACACGGATAACCTTTGGATCTCAAATGCCGCATCTTTGGCCGGACCGTTCTCTTTGACAATAGGTGGATTGTTGGACAGATATTTAGGTGTACGAATAGCGACCGCAGTTGGATGTACCTTATATTGGTAAATAGAATATTGTAACTACACTTTTATTTCAATTCTAAAATGTTGCCTGCAAAAAAAAATGTTACAGCAAATTTGGTAAATGACTTACGAAACGGTAATTTCTATCTTAAATTCGTCGTATAAAATGATAATCCTAGTTTGCAGAGAAATCATGATATTAGAATCGAATAAAATGCTTTAAAGAATAGAAGGCAAAAATTGTTTTTATTTAAATTTACACAATTACAAAATTAATACGCACGTCCTCAAAAAGTACAGAAAGCTTTTCACTCAAAGTAAGTGATATAAAACCAAGTAATTGTTTAGTTGGTAAGCGTTTTAAATTATAATAGATTTTTGCATTTGAAATGCAGTCATGTAAGAACAACAAACTAACTAGAGATATGCAATAATTATATCAAATGATACATGAAACAACGGCTTTCTTGTAGGCTGGTTTTTATCAATTATACTATTTTATTACAGAAATGTAATGATTAATATTACCAAAAAAAACATACATACGATTCAATGCATTAGACTACGTTTAAGGCTATGAATATATATATATGATATATTTAAAATCATTCTACAACAAAATCGTCACTATACATTCACATTCATATACTGGATTCCTATCAGTTTCCGGTCCCAAATCACTTTTTGTACCAAATAAAAAAAACCTGTCTACGGAAGAGTATTTAACTTTGACAGAACAAAGATACGTACCCGTCCAGCATAACCATGTTTTCCATGTTGGTCTTTTACTGGACTTTTTAATTAGAATATAGGTCTGAATGTTACACCTTTTCTCCGTTTATTCAAAATTTCATAGCAGTTTTGAGACCTGTTTTATTTTGAATATAATTCAGTACCAGTAAGAAATGTTAAGATAATTTTATCAAAGAAATAGAACTTCCAGACATCTTACGTGTCGTGTTTAAAACTATTGATTTACCTGGAATGGGGTCTCAGGTATTGCACATGGCCATTCATATCCAGGTGTTGCTAATTGTTAATTGTCGCAAGTCCTTTAAGGTAACTTTATATAAAGGAAAATCTTCAAAAATATAAATCACTGTACTATTTTAACTGCTGTATTGCAAAGAAAACAAATGTCTCCCTATTTTGATGAAGTAACAGAGCTGTCCTATTGGTAAAAAAAGACTGTACTGGACGAAAATGATAAAGGGACGGAAAACTGTTCGGGCCGGAAACTGCTAGGAAACAAATAACATGCTTAAATCAAAACATTGTTGAATATATGTTTTAGCGCTGGTGTTGGACTTACATATTTTTCTATAAAGAAATCACTACTTTTTGTCGCTTTGTCCTATGGTCTTCTAGCAAATTTTGGATCATTTATTGCATATGGACCACCGGCTCAGACAGCGATCAAGGTATTTGCATAATATAGAGTTAGTTTTATTTATAATTTTATCATATCAAATCAACATGTGGGACACATATTTCTGTACAAAAAACATACATGTTTTATTTAAATTTCTATCGATGAAACAAGTAAAATTAATCTTACAGATAATATATTTTTTATTGACAGAAACGTGTTTAAAGTTTACATTTATTTAATGTAAGCACTTTTTTATATACAGTATTTTGTAAAAACTTTAAGTGGTTACCGGAAAGACCAACATTTGCTGTTGGGATGATAGTGTGTGGATTTGGAGGAGGTGCACTGATTTTCAATCAAGTTGTGACAGCTTATATCAATCCGGATAATCTCTCACCCGATCTGGAAACAGCAGATGGTGAAAAGTATAATAGTAAAAGTATTTGATAAATGTTCATATAAAAAGTTTGTCTTTTTTTTCTAAATGTATAATAGTACAAGATTTATGATTTAGAGAAAATTTCGTATTGTGAAGGAAGTAAAAGTACTATTTTGTGTACATTTTGCCACAAATTTCTGACAAAATTATTTCATGTTCAGTGCTACTTTCTTCGGATGATACAGATCTACAATGCTCTTAAACTTTTATTGTAACGTTATAAAACCCATGTTTGCCTAAAATAAAAAAATAAATAAATAAATAAAAAACAAAAAACAACAAACAATTGGTCCGCTGCTTTAGCATAATGTGCCTTGCACACAAATGTAGACATTCATTCAATTATTAATGTGCAAACAATGTGTCATATGGTGATGCGAACATTTTAACGACATTGGGAAGTTGTTCTAAAATAATTAATTTGTAAATGCAAAAATTATATCTATATATTTACAGATATTTTACTAATAAAGAAGTACTAGACAGAATACCCAAGGTGTTTGTTCTTCTAGCAGGAATTTATGTCATTGCCCAGTTTCTTGGGATTATTCTTATATTTACACATCCGAGCGATAAAAAGGTGCAGAAAACAGGAAATAAAATAGTATGTTATGAATTTATATGTAAAGGATTATAAATTGGATTCATTATTGTGTAAATGAGTTCGTCACAATTTGTCACACAATAAAGTAAGTTACAGAAAATCCAGTCTGTTTTTACACGAAGTAGTGAATGATTCGATTATTATGCAGGTATCTTGAGACCCCGTTACAGGTTACCCCATTTATTCTTTATATATACATGCATGTACAGTATGAATATATAAATATATAACTTATGAACATATATAGAATCATACAGTGATGCAGTTGCAACTGTATAAAAACTATAAATAGAATTCATTGAAGAAAAAAAAACACCACATTAAGAAAAAACATTCCTGATATATAGACTTATTCTTCTGTACTCTCTTACTGTAGTTTGCCTTATCAGCCATAAAGGTATCTTTTAATTTGGACGAGCGGTAACGTAAGACGATGAAGTTTTGTACCATTTTTGAATACATAGTTAGATATAACATTTCTCCATCCAGTTTGTCTTCAGGCTAAATTAGACTTTAGGGCACACGTCATTGCGGATTGAATTGTTTCAGCCTTATCTATAACATATCGTATAATAATATTTCGGACTTTTTCTTAAATATTCTTCATTTCTAGGACACAAAACTAATACACGATACAGAAGAAAAATCTAAATATGGTGCCATAGCTAAAGACGAAGAAGACCTGAGTGTTAATGGAGAAAATAGCCAGGATGAAGACCAGACGTAATAATTTCTTTCACTTCCTTAATGTCATTAACAAGGACCAGTGTTTTTAATTTTTATATTAGTTATTATTTTAAAGCAAACAGTTTTATTAAGTGAATAGTTGTACAAAATGGCACGTAGATCCGATGAAGCCACTTAGCAACTGCAAATTATCACAAATGGTATTTTCTGTTTGAAAGCAACCTGAATACATAATGATTGTAAAAGTTTTTATAATATATTTTTATTACCCTTCCAGTTTTTTCCGCCTTTTTGATTGGATAATGATCACCCGAAAGAAATTGATATAATCGAGCCAGACGGGTAATATACACACTAAATTTCCCCGTTGGGTACCCAACGTTGTAAACAACATGCGCTAATGTGATGCGCGTACGGTTCGATTTTACGCGGTGTAAATTCCGATTTACAAGCACTTTTTAACTGTCAAATGACAAATATTTACCAAAGTAGAGTAATGATACATATTACCATCAGTATCGAAAATAAATATGACCTTGTGAAAGCTTGATATTAATTACAAAATAGTGCGTTCAATAGACTACGCCTTTTCTCTTGTTTAACTTCGTTAGGTACGGGAAAAATACGTCATGCATTTATGTGACGTCATGTTGTGACGAAGAGGTACCCTTAAGGGAATCTTATTTCGACGTTTCATTTAAAACAGCAATGATTTTTTAAAATATCGTCTAAACTCGGCAGTGGAAGGGTAATAAAATTATTATTTTGGTTTTGGAGTGATATATGTGGATATATTACCTGCCAAGATAAAATATCACCCTCGCCTAACGGCTCGGGTGATATAAAATCTTAACAGGTAATATATCCACATATATCACTCCAAAACAAAAATAACATATATTATAAATTTTATGTCTCAATAAACTTAAATCATGATGTGGTGATAGAAAGTACGGCATCGTATATTGAAGTGCAGACTATTTGTCTATGTTGGCTACAAATCTTATAAGCGTAGCATTTGGAAACGGGAACTGCTACTACTGATGACGTAGCCTCTTTTGCAAAAATAATTATGAATTTATCCGTCATTCATAAAATTTGTTTTACAGCTATATATTTGTATGTTAAACAACAAAAAGAAGTTATTTAAACTGAAACTCTTTTTGTCTTAAAACCTACAGGTATATATTTAAAGGATAGGTATTATGTAGTAGTTTTCTGAGGCTTTTATTTTGCTACTCGCTGCATGAGAAAATTGATATATCGATCGACTTTCTGTCTCGCAAGATTTCAGAAAACTACTACATAATATTTATTTGGTAAAAAGATGGCGTATGAACACGTCATTGGATGTTTCTAAATTAAAATAAATTCACCTTTTTCTGGTTAGATTTTGGCTTAAGCCGGTTGGGGGGGGGGGGGGGTGCCGATATCTAGCACTTACTAGTACTGCAAATGAATAGGAACAAACTCAATCAAACTAAGTCTGCGACATTTTTATTTTTAGGTGTTCTTTACGGATGTTGATTTAAATGCATTTCATAAGTTATAAACATATTACAGTATCTTTGTTTCCTATTATTTATTTCAGACTTACAGAACACCCTTGTTTACATTCACTGTTGCTAATATTTACTACTTAACTTTCCTCCTTCACGCCTTTCTCTGTACTCGCCATCCACTCACTCTTCCTCTTGTATTATTTGCCTTGTTTTTGTTCTGTGCCTCAATAGATACATTTCAATTGCTACGTCTAGATATTGTCGGGGAGCTGCGTATTATGAATGCTGTCTCCATATATTCTTGATACTGTGACACCATTAAAATAGCATACAATGATTTCTAACATATACTTTCAGGTCTGTTACAAAAGAATCTGTGAAATCCGTCTTATGGAAAGTTGTCAGGAATAAAAATGCTTGGTGCTGGTTGTTTATACTGTTCCTAATTTACGGTGGAATGACTTTCTTTAACAGTTTATATAAGGTACCTACTTATTATGAATTCGATAAATAATACATAAATGATAATAAATGAATAATGTTATGATAATACACCAGGAAAGTTATAACAGTATAGGTATAACGTCAATTATTACAGGTATATAAATTAAATGCTCAAGTTATATACATTGTATTTGAAAATACTGATAATTGCTGTACAGTCTATCTTTGAATGAAAAACAACATCCTTTGAGAACACACAGAGAAGATATGTTTGGTTTTAAACTCCACTACGGTATAAATACATTGTGTCATAACAAAAACTGGCAGTTATTTTTTAATGAAAGAACCGCAAAATACGGGCTTGTAATGGGCTTGCAACGTTGTTACCATAGTTTGTAAATTATCTAATTTAAATCAGACAAATTTAGTTAGAATTTCCTAGATTTCAATGAATTTCTGCGATGAAGTATTTTACCCAAAGATGAGCCTAGTATATCTTTAAAATATCTTTGGATTGAATCAAAACGCGTTGTTCTTTACACTGTTGTCTTTTTAATGCAACCGGTTTTGGATTAGGTGTTTGTTCAAACTAAAAAGGAATAAAATGACATATTTTATGCATGACAGACATGTATATGTAGTTACTATAATTGTTTACTGTAAACATGTAAATCCTTACCTTTGTTATGAAGCAGTGCAGGCATGACATGGAATTTAAACTGATTTCGATTACGTTTGTTTTGGCCCAAATGGCCTTAGCCTCTTGCTCTCATGATATTTTCATTGTGATGATTCTATGGGATATATGGTATCTAAGTATAGCTGGTGTTCACGAATGAAATATATTTCAATCTTATATGTTAAACAAATGAACTTTTTTATTTTTATGTTATGTCTTTGTAAGTGATTTTGATTATTTTTTTACCGATTTTGCCTCGTAACGTCACGCATTCTCGTTTATGACGTTATCACATCATAGCGTCATATCATTAATTTTGAAAAATAATTCTGTTAAATTTGTATCATTTTGTTACATTTTTGAAATGATTTATAATGACATCGACTTTTTTTTCCTAATGAAGCAAAATTTACGTATAACGGCATTTATATTTGGATGCTTTTCCATTTAGTTTTAAAATTCTTTTCATCCATATAGTCTACAGTGAAAATTATATTTTTTTAATTTTCACTTGTGGTTTGTCAAAATATAATCATCTGATATCTTTCAGTAAAACACTGGAAAGCATGAAAATAGTGGTTGTCATCTAAGTATTATTATTATTTTATTAATATTATTATTATCATCATCATCATCATCAAATTCGTGCATCCTTCTGTAGATATACTGCATTAACTCGTTCTTTACAGGCGTATGGTCAAACCTTTATATCTGACGACCATTTTCTGGCATCTGTTGGCTCAATATCTTCAATTTTCAACTGTATATTTCGTCCTATTTGGGGGATAATAATGGACAAATATGGGTTCCAGGTAAGTGTCTTAAAATAAATAGTTCTTAAACGCTTATGACTTGTATTGGCATATTTTAGAAATCTCGGAATTTACTATAATTCAATTTTAATTGAGCCAGTCATATTTGTTATATATGAAATATAAGATGATTTGTTATGTTAAACTTCACGCATATTCTGTGCTAAATGAGTACGAAATATTCATAAGAAAAAGGATTTATACATTGTATCAAAAACTACAAGAAGAGCACAAACACTCATACACAATAAATGCATACTCTCATATCTCTTAAAATTAGCATTATTATTGTTAAAGTTGTGAGGCAAATCTACACAGAAGAAGAATGCAAAAAATGATACAAAAGTAATATTTTTATTTCTTTTTAATTAAGTAAAATATATATAAACTTGATATATTATTATTATTATATTTGAGCCGCGTCACCACAAAACCAACATAACGGGTTTGCGACCAGCATGGATCCAGACCAGCCTGCGCATCCGTGCAGTCTGATCAGGATCCATCCTGTTCGCTATCAGTTTCTCTACTTGCAATAGGGTTTGTAAGCGAACAGTATGGATCCTGATCAGACTGCGCGGATGCGCAGGCTGGTCTGGATCCATGCTGGACGCAAACGCATTACGTTGGTTTTGTCATGGCGGGGCTCATTTCATTTCTGTTTCAGATGGCGGTTAAGTGTGCATCCGCCTTATTTGTGTGTTTTGCGTGTACAATTTTACACACAGAATCTCTCGGTAAAGCAGCATTTCTTGTGTGGATTTGTGGACTTTATGCCAGCTCAGCTTGTAAGTTTATTATGAAATGCGTCATATTCCTGAAACATAGGCTTCACACTTGTGAGATGAAGGACATAAATCAAGACAAATATTTCATTTCAGCATTGTTTAACCCATTACTTCATGAGCATTTTGTGAAAAATGGCTGTTTTCATTGAAAAGTCTCCCGTTACAAGTTCAAATTGCTGTAATACTATAAAAACTGCTTCAACACTAATCAAACTTGGCACAAATGTTGACTGGACCATTGTCCTTGCAACAACAGGCTCAGGCTTAAATTTTCTGTTACCATGGCAACGAGGGGACATCTCAAAATTGCCAAAAATCACTATTTTGCGTTGATTTTTTCCATCAAAATTTATTTCAAAGTGCTGCAACTTCTCAATGGATTGAGATAGAGTCAAGTGCTTATCAGCGTTGGTTACACGTTACCTTATGATCAATCTGGGGTCATTTACAGCCTCTCACAAGTCCAAAATTTTCTTGGCGATGAGGGGCACTCCGCCCCCCTTCAAACCCCCCCAAACAGAAGGGGGCACATCCCCCTTCTGGCAACCCCCTGATGTATCTTTTGGTTGGGGGGCCGCGCCGAAAAAAGGGTCACTTTTTTTAACAACATTTCTCAAACAAAAACAAGTGTTTGGGGCCTAAATAAGGCATTTTTTCATCATTTGAGACAACAAAGGGGGGGGGGGGGGGAAAAAGGCGTTAAAAGGCGTGTATATGAAGTAATGGGTTAACAGAAAATGATGAAAATACTTGAAATTACCCTAAATCGCGTTTTTTCATGTTTAAACATGGCCTGTCATATAAATTTGAAGAAAAATTGTTGTTTTGTAGATTTTTTTATTTTTTTCATTAACCCATTACTTCATGAGCATTTTGTGAAAAATGGCTGTTTTCATTGAAAAGTCTCCCGTTACAAGTTCAAATTGCTATAATACTATAAAAACTGCTTCAACACTAATCAAACTTGGCACAAATGTTGACTGGACCATTGTCCTTGCAACAACAGGCTCAGGCTTAAATTTTCTGTTACCATGGCAACGAGGGGACATCTCAAAATTGCCAAAAATCACTATTTTGCGTTGATTTTTTCCATCAAAATTTATTTCAAAGTGCTGCAACTTCTCAATGGATTGAGATAGAGTCAAATGCTTTTCAGCGTTGGTTACACGTTACCTTATGATCAATCTGGGGTCATTTACAGCCTCTCACAAGTCCAAATTTTCTTGGCGATGAGGGGCACTCCGCCCCCCTTCAAACCCCCCCAAACAGAAGGGGGCACATCCCCCTTCTGGCAACCCCCTGATGTATCTTTTGGTTGGGGGGCCGCGCCGAAAAAAGGGTCACTTTTTTAACAACATTTCTCAAACAAAAACAAGTGTTGGGCATTTTTTCATCATTTGAGACAACAAAAGGGGGGGGGGGGTGAAAAAGGCGTTAAAAGGCGTGTATATGAAGTAATGGGTTAACAGAAAATGATGAAAATACTTGAAATTACCCTAAATCGCGTTTTTTCATGTTTAAACATGGCCTGTCATATAAATTTGAAGAAAAATTGTTGTTTTGTAGATTTTTTTATTTTTTTCATTAACCCATTACTTCATGAGCATTTTGTGAAAAATGGCTGTTTTCATTGAAAAGTCTCCCGTTACAAGTTCAAATTGCTATAATACTATAAAAACTGCTTCAACACTAATCAAACTTGGCACAAATGTTGACTGTACCATTGTCCTTGCAACAATAGGCTCAGGCTTAAATTTTCTGTTACCATGGCAACGAGGGGACATCTCAAAATTGCCAAAAATCACTATTTTGCGTTGATTTTTTCCATCAAAATTTATTTCAAAGTGCTGCAACTTCTCAATGGATTGAGATAGAGTCAAATGCTTTTCAGCGTTGGTTACACGTTACCTTATGATCAATCTGGGGTCATTTACAGCCTCTCACAAGTCCAAAATTTTCTTGGCGATGAGGGGCACTCCGCCCCCCCTTCAAACCCCCCCAAACAGAAGGGGGCACATCCCCCTTCTGGCAACCCCCTGATGTATCTTTTGGTTGGGGGGCCGCGCCGAAAAAAGGGTCACTTTTTTTAACAACATTTCTCAAACAAAAACAAGTGTTTGGGGCCTAAATAAGGCATTTTTTCATCATTTGAGACAACAAAAGGGGGGGGGGGGTGAAAAAGGCGTTAAAAGGCGTGTATATGAAGTAATGGGTTAACAGAAAATGATGAAAATACTTGAAATTACCCTAAATCGCGTTTTTTCATGTTTAAACATGGCCTGTCATATAAATTTGAAGAAAAATTGTTGTTTTGTAGATTTTTTTATTTTTTTCATTAACCCATTACTTCATGAGCATTTTGTGAAAAATGGCTGTTTTCATTGAAAAGTCTCCCGTTACAAGTTCAAATTGCTATAATACTATAAAAACTGCTTCAACACTAATCAAACTTGGCACAAATGTTGACTGGACCATTGTCCTTGCAACAACAGGCTCAGGCTTAAATTTTCTGTTACCATGGCAACGAGGGGACATCTCAAAATTGCCAAAAATCACTATTTTGCGTTGATTTTTTCCATCAAAATTTATTTCAAAGTGCTGCAACTTCTCAATGGATTGAGATAGAGTCAAATGCTTTTCAGCGTTGGTTACACGTTACCTTATGATCAATCTGGGGTCATTTACAGCCTCTCACAAGTCCAAAATTTTCTTGGCGATGAGGGGCACTCCGCCCCCTTCAAACCCCCCCAAACAGAAGGGGGCACATCCCCCTTCTGGCAACCCCCTGATGTATCTTTTGGTTGGGGGGCCGCGCCGAAAAAAGGGTCACTTTTTTTAACAACATTTCTCAAACAAAAACAAGTGTTTGGGGCCTAAATAAGGCATTTTTTCATCATTTGAGACAACAAAAGGGGGGGGGGTGAAAAAGGCGTTAAAAGGCGTGTATATGAAGTAATGGGTTAAGCCATATGTTATGTATAAAACAAAATTGATAAGCCTAGGACAAATCAAATCAACCGATATCAAATAAGAAAATAAAACAATTTCTGTGCATATATTTTAAATAGTAATAAATAGCTTTGATATTAAGGCAATTTAAAACTTCTCTTTGAAGAAATGTTAATTTGAATTAATTTTTTGCCTGCAAACGTGCAAGGCTTTATAATTTAAGACCTAACATTTTTACCATAAGACGGAACAAGATAATTCATACCGAATACAATGAAGGAAAATATTTTACAGTATTTAATATGTTATTTCACTCTATCTGTCATTGTGCATGTATTTTACATATTTTGCTACACATTTTGTTATTCGTTTTTAATCTGAAGAAAGCTTTATGATGTTTTATATATATATTGAAGGTGTTTGGTCGATTGGTCCAGCTACTTTTGCAAAATTATTCGGAGTGGAGCATATGGCTATCAATATGGGGTTTATATTTTTAGCAGTTGTAAGTTTAAAACTTTCATTCATTGTTGCACACTACGATAAACGACGTTTAGGACTCTGTTTGCCTTTGTATTGAGTCATAAATCGAATAACTATCAAAGCTATATAAGTTATAAAATATCGTTGTTGAGATTGTTTGTCTATTTCAAATATCCGTTTCAAAAATATTTTTAGATTTGTAACAGTCGGCTGCAAATATTTAACAATGTAAACAATTGTTATAGTATAATTTACAGAACAAAATAGAATACTTTTGCAACATTTTCATTCATTCTTATCATATTTGGCGAATACGTTAAAATAACCTAGAAATATGTGTATAATTGTTATTTGATATTTACTAATGCATATTTGGAATTCATGTTGTCATTCGCATTGTTGGCAATATTAACTTGATTTAGGAAATGAACAGAAAATGAACCAGCATACATTTTTGCTTTTACAACAGTGTGTCAAAAATCAGTTTATTAAAGTAATATTCCCTACCTGAATACTATTCAAATATAAAATGAGACATTCAATGGCTGAAATAAAAACTACTATATTCTACCGACGCCAATCCATTTACCAAAAATGTGACCATAACATTTAATAAATCATCAGAAAAATGTTTTGTTTTTCATACTTTATATTCTGAGCTGTTTTTTTTTCTAGACTGCAGCGGCTATTACCGGTGGGTTTGTAGGTTTGAATCTTCAAAGTCAGTTAGGATGGCATGGTCTGTTTCTTCTGGCAGGAAGTATGGGAGCTACAGGTAGAGAAAGTTAAAATAGTTATAACGTATGATTGTAACGTTTGACGCATATGATGATGTCAGATGTTCAAAGTATTTACGCGAAAGCTGCTCAAATACAAGTACATGTTTATATACGACATAATTAACAAGTACTCAATTTAAATTCTCGACATTTATTTGCTTTGGTATAACATTTGATATATAAAGCAAGCTAATAAGGATAACTTGACATATTGGCAATTGAAATGCGGTTAAAATGGTCAATTCTCCTTTACACCTGCAAACTTAGAAATTTGTCCTTGATATAAACATTTCAAAATTTCGATGTATTCGTTCCCCGTAAACTATCACTTTAAATTATGTTCAGTCCGGGTGACTTGTAGGAGGTAAGTTAAAGAGACAAGCAAAGAACTGATTCGTTTGTTTCTTTTCAGCTTTCGCAATAACATTCCTTTTCAATGGTAAGGATACAAAAGGCAAAACTATATAAATGACAAGAAGAGAATGAAGAACTGAAAGCAAGTGGTTCATTTACAACAGTCACTACGCAGACATGAGAAGACATTTCAAGAAATCTCCTGTGTTTCAGGATTATAACAGATGTTAGAACATTTGCATAAAAATTCAAAAATTATAAACATTATCATACTTACCAATCTTCTTATAAGTCTCCTTAGGCACAGTGAATGTTAAGATGCAATATGCTCTTCATCTATGTTTTGAAGGTACATCCGTGACCGAGCGTGTTTATAGTTTTGGTTATACTGCGAACAATTTCTTTTAGACAAAATTTAGAATTTCTATTGTAATATGTTTTAGTTTTGAATAAATATTGTCATCTTCGAGTATTGAGCTTTGAGTATCGAGTATTAAAACAATATATCTATGAATAAACAATACATAATGTAATTAAAAATTTCATCAATTTTCTCTCTCCCCTCCCCCATCAAAGCATTCTTGGGACAAATTATGATTATTTTAATTGTTTTCTCATGTTGACATATTGAAAATAAGCTTTTCAGACATACTACCCATAAGTGTCTTCAAGCGAAAATTTGACACCGTGTGATTCAAATACAGGCTATTATAATACTGCACGTTTGTAACGTCACTTTTTGTTGGGTAATCGTGACGTTCATATAGTTTTATATACACGACTGCTGTCGATTTATGAAGAAATCTTACATTTTCTCTTAAAAAATGATGCTTGCTGTAATATAAATTCGTTATTAATATTTCTGGCAGGTTATATGACCGTATATAAACGGTTATTTACAATATAACCCTCGCCTAGCAGCTCGGGTCATGTTTCCAAACAACCGTTAATATAGGGCCATACAACATGTCAAAAATCTTTTAAACTAATATTAATCAGACAAGTAAACAATTACTCCCTTTTCCCACAAAAATGTAGCCCCTGATAAAAATATCACAATATTTGTCCTAGTATGTGTTCGAGTAATACGATATATTATATATCTCTACAATAAGAAACGACAAAGATTAATCCACCTTTAATTCAATTTATCAAATATCAAATGACGTATATTTTACATAATATATATAATAACTTATCATCAAGTTGCAATGTAAATTTAAGATTAGATATACATCTGTAGTAAGGAATCTGTATTCTGTTTTATTTCATGACTGAGGGATGAATTGCAGGTTCCAATAGTATTAAGCAAATAAAGAAGTTCTACGAAAAAGGCGTTAGATCATGATTCTTGTTGAAACTCCTAATGCTAATGTTGTTGTTTTGATGACGATGTTGATGGTATTGATGATAATAATTATGATAATGAAAAGAAAACATCCAGCGCTTCAATTTGATGTTCTTGCTGTTCTCGCAATAAATGTAAATTCTTCAAGAAAAAAAAAATCACAACACAATGAATGTACTTACAGTTCTTAAACAATAAGATAAATACGTATTTAAAGACATATTTTATTTGGTATAGAACTAAAACTTTAATTTGTTCCCAATCCTGTCATTAGCTCGCCCCGTTCCTATGCGGTGCCCACCTGGTGTCTCTCCAAAAAGAACCTGTAGCATGATAATGAGGGAGATATTACCATGAACGCTGCTCTCCATCTTTACGTTTAGTTTCATTTGCCATATGACCGGCCAGAAATTAATTAGGTGATATATTCGTTATCAACTTTGTTTTGTCAAATGTTATCAGTATTTATCATAAATCCAGTTATCTGACAAGTTAAAGCAGCTTTAATGAATATAAAACATTAAAATATATATTTTTTTCTTATTTAATAAAGTATTAAAACGGAAAATAATAAAGGTTGATCAATTGTATAACTCGGTATTATTAAGCCTGGTAATGGTTAACGCCTGCTATCGTCCATACATAATTCAGCTATTGAAAATAGCTAAAGGGAATTCGATATAATTATGAATTAAGGATCACCAAGAGTTGTGTTGGTTTCACAGAAGTGATCAAAGAATATTCCCCAAAGCGTACAGCCATTGGTTTTTTTGCAGGGCCGATTTATGTTATTCGTTCTTTCATCATTTTACTGCACTATGACAGTACATATTTGAACTCTGGTCGATCAATGGTATCAAATATACATATATGAACCCAAAACTATGAATAAGATGGCCCCCCTTTTGGTATCCTGTTACTTTAAAAACAATTATTCAATTAATTATCATGGCAATTAATTCTTCTGGTTCAATCGCTTGCCATGAAGTGAAAAGGAAAATCTTTTTTACAATTCGAAGAATAATTGATAATGTCAAGCTTCTTTAATCTTGAAGATAACGTGTTTCATATCAAACAAACAACATGATAAAACAACGAAAGTTGACGTGTTAGATTTAAATGATAATGTTTTGAAACATTGTAACAATTTAATAAAACATAACTTTAGGGATGAACTCGGAGTGCTCTATGCGGTCCACTTCATACAAGGTTAAAACTGTTTGCGTAATAACAGGTGGAATTCTCGTTCATCTATGTCTAGGGAATTTCTATATATTTGGTAAGTGTTTATAAACTATTATTTCTCTCTGCACAATTATTTGAACTATTTTGCATTTGCACTACCAACTTACAAGCGTACGTTGTTAAATTAGATTCTGAAAACTGAGATAACGTGTCAGCAATCGCTAAGTGTGCAGGACAATCGTGTATTCTTTTTATACGTCTAGTTCATATTAACATCAACCAATCTGATTTTAGTCTGCACTGTTCGCTGTACAGTCAGTACATGTTTTATAACTTTCCAGAAACGATATTGGTTATGTCCAGACTGAAAAATGGGCAAGTCTATATAAGATTTAAGCATGGTACGATCTAACATAAATTGTGGTCTTGATTAAATAGGCGTGAGTTTTCTTCTCATTGTATCTATTATGAAAAGAAAAATGGATAGAAACGATTTGGTTTGCTGAAAAAATCAATTATGGTATATTTCATTTTAGGCAATGTAAGCCCGTATATGATATCATATTTACGCAACAGAACAAGTGAAACATCATTGAGTAACACGGACGTTCTTTGGATTTCAAACGCCGCTTCTATAGCCACACCATTTGCTGTGACGCTAGGTGGATTGTTGGACAGATATCTAGGTGTACGGACGGCGACCGGAATAGGATGTGTTTTATGCTGGTAATACTACAACAACAATAACAACCTTTACAACAACAATTGTTATATTAATATCAATTATAACAAAACTAAAAGAAACAAAATTAACTTATTAATATGAGATCTAAATATATTTTACACTGGCTGTTTGTACAGACTGGACTATCTAGCTGGGGGGATTAACTATTTACCACAGTAACAGGCTCTGTCGAATTTCCGCGAAACAGTTACCAAAGAATTAGCTATATCCCTCTTTGACACTTTAATCATATTTCAGAAAGAAATAACCAAAACTATTACTTCTATTTCGCACTTTTGTCTTACCGCAACGTATGAATTTACAACTTTAGTCATAATGACGAAATGTCTTCATCCTAAGAAAACAATTCATATAATTCATTCATACTAGGCGATCTGGACTAAGATGGGAGTTCTCAGCGCCAGTGTAAACAGTAGAAAATCTGGTCTGATATGCAAGAAATAAAATCTGCATTGTATGGAAAAACAGTAATAAGAAAAAATGCTATTGCCCAAACTTAATTAATATGATGAATTGAGTATTATTCAAGAAGCAAATACGATTCACAAACTTATACTTAAAGGTACTACAATTCCATAATCCCATTACTGTTTTTATTCTTTTAATATGTTACAGCACTGGCATAGGTTTGACATATTTGTCAATAAAGAAATCGCTACTTTTTGTCGCATTGTCATATGGTATTTTTGCAAATTTTGGAACATTTATGGCATATGGACCCCCAGCAAAGACAGCTGTTAAGGTATGAAATACCGACACATCAATAATATATTCGGCTACAACAATATATACATAGTTATAGTCTGTATTTTCATTAAAATCTTTTATCTTAATATGTCAGCGATGAATATACTAACACGAGGACATTAATATGTATGAATACTTTAACATACCATTTTGATTGTCTGAATTATTTTATTGACAATAGGTGTATACATGTGTGTATAAGATGTATACATGTGTGTATATTTCACTTATCAATTTATACATATATATGCTTGTGTATTTTTGGTTGCATTACAAAATAAAATCGGGAAAAGTAATTTCCGTCGAATTCAATGAAACAAAAATGAAAAAAGTGAAAACTGAAACATGATGTGAACGAGCATGTTGAGAGACCTTGGAAGGTTCAAAGTCGTAAAACCGGCTTCAAAATAATAAGAAATTAAATGGATGTCATTTATTGCTTGAAAACTTTTACTGGCATTACTATATCAGTTAACAAAATAAGCTATAAGTTCCAAATCGAAGTTTTAATATACACGTACGAATGTATCACATTCTGTATAATTTTCTATTTATTTTTTGAATGTTTATTATAAGACACTAATGAATCTACTTTCAGTGGTTACCGGAAAGGTCATCATTCGCGGTGGGAATGATAGTGAGTGGGTCTGGGGGCGGTGCCCTGATATTCAACCAGGTCGTTACAACTTATATTAATCCGGATAATCTCCCGCCGGATTTAGAAACGGCAGATGGTGAAAAGTATGTGTAAACAAATTACTTTTATATTCATTGAACAAAATCATATAATCATGTTTTTGCACATTCTGCAATTACATACAAATGTTTATAGTATATTTAATCATACATACATTCATTTATTGTTTATTCATACATTTATATGAATTTCCCATATAGCATGTTGGTATAATAATTATAAAAAATGAAAATAAGAATACCTTTCAGCGTTATAATATATGAGGGACTTTGATGCTAAAATTGTTTACTACCTTCTGTTTACAACTTTGGTTTCTTTAGTACTGTTTTAAATTATATGTTTTGTATTGCAAAGAAAATTGAATAGACCCAATTCTAATTTAACTTAATTTCTGAGCTGCATTTGTAAATTTAAAACTGCATTTGCAATTTTCAGATATTTTACAAATAAAGAGGTTTTGGACAGAATACCTACGTTTTTTCTTTTACTAGCAGGGATTTATGCGATTACCCAATTCCTCGGAATTTTGCTTATATTTACACACCCTAGTGATAGACAGGTAGGCATTGTTTTTATGAAATATGATGGTAGATTATGAAGGTGTACCATTAAATGAAAGCAGTTATAATATTGATTTTGACAGAATTATAGATCCAGTGAATTAAAAGATTGAGTTAGTGAATAAAGTAAAATGAATACGATATGGATGTATAATATGTTCTTCATTCATATTCCGGCCATAACCATGGACATGCTTTTTATTAATATACATACATTTGCATAAATTGGTAGCACAAATGCCCTAGACAAAAGTTGCAAATAAATATCTTGTATGCTTTGTAAGAAATAAAGTGATGTGCGTATGTCTCTAGCTGTTTTAAATCGTTTCACAGAGTTTATATCTTAAATTCTTATACATGTAAATAATCTTAACAAAACCTGTATTAACTTTTAGGAAGCTAAACGGTTAAGTTATTCAGAAGACAACGCTAATTATGGTACAGTATCGACGGTTAGAGAAGATTTGACCACCAATAATGAATACAGACAGATTAAACAGCAAAAGTACAGCTTTCAATTATTATATACTACTCAACATTTGCTTAGGACCATAAGTTAATTTTTTATATTATCACAAGTATAAAACAGATTTCTTTCTAAGTTTTGAAAATTCTGATTCAGCAATGCTTTGAGATAATCCCCTGAAATAAATCCGTGTTGACTTTTCCGGTAGCATTGAAATCATGCACCCCAATATTTACATGTTTTGATGGGATGTACAATCACATGTCTTTTGTTATACGGCGACATTACCGACCTATTGTCATTTAGTGGCTTTTATTTAGTTTGGCCCATTGTTTTCTCGTTCAGGGCACACGCATTCTTTTACTTGAGGACAAAAAACCGCTTTTCATGGAATGGCACCACAGTGTCACGTTGAAGGTTCCATGATAACCGCCATATGAACACTTCTGCTGATGTTTCTAACTTTAAAATTTTGCCATTTCATGTTTATATGTTGAATTCTGCTTAAGCCGGTCCTAGGGGGATGTGGACGATAGTTTGCACTTGATAGTACCGTCTGTGAACAGGCTCAATCAATCCAAGCCTGCAACATTTTCAATTTTGCCGTTTTGGACCTTCTATAGCGATTCTTATATTCTCCATCTTACATATCTTACATCTGTCACTTCGATATGGCGAATGCTAACAGTAGGCGGCATATTAGAAAAGCAGAATAATTAATTGCTGTAGGGATGGTGCAACAGGGGGGGGGGCACCTTCCGCCAGGTTGATGCGGCCGTTGGTGTACTCCATATCGTCATCACAAGAGCCTGAGAGAGATACTGGCTACATGGTACATCCGCCAGGAGGCATGATTGAGGTTTGCAAACGGTCACAACACCAGCTCAGGCACGTCGTACATGGTTTTCGACTGCAACTTCTCTTCAAAGTGACCTTGCTAATGCTGCGGGGTCCGTGTTTCCACGCAGACGGTACGTAGATGGCTGAATGAAGGCTATTTGCGGTCGAGAAGATCTTGTATACGTATCCCCTTGACTCGTCGACATCGCCAGGCCCGTTTGGAAAGGACCATGAAGCTTACACGATGGTCCATGCAACACTGGAGACACGTTTTGTTCACTGATGAGTCCAGATTCTGCATAGGCTTCACAGATAGGCGTGCTGGAGTCTGGAGAAGACGAGGTAAACGGTTGCAGCCTGCAAATATTGCTGAGCATGACCGCTACGGAGGTCGGTCAGTTTTTGTGTGGGGAGGCATCAGCTGGGATTGACGAACCAACCTGGTTGTGCTAAATAGAGGCACGATACATATGCGACATCTTAGACAACAAGGTTGTTAGGATGTATGCTTAAGAAATGGGCGATCAGTTCATTCTAATGGACAATAATACTCGCCCCTTTATGACCAGAGTGGTCTAGGACTACATAAAAAGGGAGTCAATTGAGCGCATGGGCTGGTCAGCTCGCTCACTTGACTTTAATCCAATAGAACACATGTGGAATGAGCGGCTGCAGGTTAGAATGTCGGCTCGTCAGCTGCAACCCAGAGCCATTCAGAAGCTTCGAGCCATGTTGGTCCAAGAATTTTCAGCCATACCCTTTAGAACGATCAGAAACCTAATAGGGAGTATGAGAATGCGCTGACAAGCTTTCATTCATAGTCACGGGTCATACACACGGTACTTAGTCTAAAAATGTAAGCAAAAAATCCAATTTAACAAATTTGGAAAACACACTGCATGTTCTGAATTCTTCAAAGATGGGGATCATTCTCTTCTATAGCACAAAATTAGTGTAAAACTCATTTATATGGTTAAAATAGTCCTTCAGCTGAATTTATAAAACAGTAAATCTACATTTAAAACCTTTCGCACGGCGTTAATAAAATTATTCCAAAGAAAATTCACACCCAAACATATAGTGCTAAGCAAAAGTTGAGTAGTATAGTTCATAAAAGTACTTTAGACTAAATATAATCTAGTTTTAAATAACGATTATGAAAATTAAAAAACGGAATATTTCTTGTCTATAAGGAGCATGTGTATTTCTTCCGTGATATAAATAATGTACAACCACAAAACCTATTCATTATTGAATTGAACAAATTTTTCAAATATAATATAAGTTAATTCATTAAACTGTTTCTGCCAATCTGTCCTATTTTGTGTTTTTTTGTCTATCAGGAATACTTGACGTCATTTTATATTTATACAAGAGGCTTTCAAAACATTTTATGCGATATTGTTATTATAAGTATATTGTTGTTGCCTTTTACAGCTGAATCCTTCTATTTTGGTACTGAAAATCACCCTTACTATATTAACAAATGTTTCTTTTTATCAGATCAGTTTCAAAAGAGTCTGTAAAGACAGTGTTGTGTAAGGTTGTCACGAGTAAAAATGCATGGTGCTGGTGGGTTATACTGTTTCTAATTTATGGTGGTATGACATACTTTAACAATCTATATAAGGTATGTACAGTTCTATCCCTGTTTGGTGACCTTTTCTTTAATTCTTTCGGAAACAGATATCTTTGATAGTCTTTATAGAATAGTCATGTAAAACTAAAGTTCCACGAACCGAGATACAAATACATTTATTTAACCAATAATTGCATATTTCGATCGAGACTTTGAAATCGAATAGGTGATGGTTTAGTCTGCATATCATTACTCATTATGAAGTTAAAAATATGCATTTCGGAAGTCATTGAAACCATCCGTTTGCATAAAAAGATACCTCTATAATTTTCAGGCATATGGTCAAACATTCATAACTGATGATCATTTCCTTGCAACGGTTGGTTCCATATCAGCAATATTTAACTGTATATTTCGTCCTATTTGGGGCATGATAATGGACAAATACGGGTTTCAAGTAAGTGCCTCTTGTACAATGTCTGGACAACCTCCCGTTCTTTTAACTTGGACAAACGCCAGTTATTTTTTAATTGCAATAACTTTAGTAAATCAAATACATATATTATTGCGCAATTCTTGTAAGTTAAATTCTATTTATGACGATGAACAAAATACGTCAAAATAAAAAAGAAAATATTTGACAGCTGTGAATTAAAAAAAAAAAAAAAAACCAACACATTCGGCCATGCTTTTATAAATATCCTCATATTTCCTTACAAAAACAAATATGTCATTGTTGTGACAAAGTGGCATTCAAGGGAGGTGTTAATGACCTCTTCAAAATTTGAAATTGTTAACATAATATGTGCATTTCTTACAGATAGCAGTTAAACTGGCATCGGCATTGTTTGTATGTTTTGCATGTACTATTGTACTCACGGAATCTCTCGGCAAAATTGCATTTCTCGTGTGGATCTGTGGACTTTATGCAAGTTCTGCATGTAAGTTAATATTTCATTTAATACTCTTATGCTATATTTAAAACAACCTCTAAGCTAATACCCTAATCTACAAATTTATAACAATGCCCTAAGCATCACGTTCGTATATGACCATGCCATATGCTTTAAGTATAGGAAAATGCATAATGCTACATACTTTCAAACCTTCAAATTTAAGATCCAGATGACTATTAAAAATAAAATAAAATTAAGTTATTCATAAGGTAAAAGATGGCATGACCATTTACTAGCACTAGGTCTTACGAGTACTTACATATTCTATATGAAACAATTTTTTTTAAAATATCTCCTTGCACTCGATTATCAATACAAGGTTAACTATTTATAAAAGGTAGTTTATAAAAGTTGCTATAAGGGCGTCTTTATCCTTGTTGGACCATACTGAATCATTCAATATTGAATGCTTATAGTAAAATTAATTTAATACAATTTTCTAATATAACTTATATGAATTAATTGTAATCTATAGTTTAATGATTGAATTGCAAATACATGTAGATATTTTTTATACGTGTTTTATATTGAAGCCGTTATGTCCATTGGTCCAGCAACCTTAGGAAAACTATTTGGAGTTGAACATATGGCTATCAATATGGGTTTTACATTCACTGGAATTGTAAGTTAACAATAATCTATTACTTACCTCAGTCACACCTTCTTAAAGCATGCCAAATGGATCTGTCATATTGAGACACTATTATTATACTTGTTCTCAGTATGATCAAAGTGCTCATTGTAAAATGTATTGTTTTAAATGTTATACTGTATTTAAAGCTTTCAAGCAAAATAGATGTGGGATAAGAAGATAAAAGTAAACCGAAGCTATGTAAACATGAAGTAGTAATACAGATAAAAGGTTTGCTCATTTATCAATTGGGTTTATATTCATAGTAGGTTTTCCTTTTAACATATTGTTGATAAATATATCTAAAGTGTAATTTTGTTTCATGAATTCAGTTTTTAATAAAAATACCACATAAATATCTATACCTTTATTTTAGACTACAGCAGCAATTACCGATGGTTTTATAGGTTTGTATCTTCAAAGCATATTAGGATGGCATGGTTTATTCCTTCTCGCTGGAAGTATGGGAGTAACAGGTTGAACAGATTTTTATTATTTTAAATTCATTCTTTTGACGAAAAATGAAATTAATCAATAAATGATTTACAAAAAACAACCCGAAATTTGATGTCATTGTATGGTAATTCAAAATTATGCTGTTCCTTGATTTTGTTGCATTTAATTTTGTTAAAGGAGATAACATAAATATTCATTTTATACACGAATATACATAAATTGAAAGTAAGCGTTATTAACAATTATATACTTATAAATTTACAAAGAGGTATTTATTATATAAGGTGCATTTATAATGTTAAGTCGCCCATTATTTTTTAAATTACTACATGTATATACTCAAAATATTGATGCTTTAATCGGTACATCAATTCCACAGTACTGTAGCCTTAATAATATATTTATATTTATACGTTTCATTACGTTCGTTACAATGTTTCACCTTTAAAAGAATAATAATGTTTTATTGAAAGAACTTAATGTAATGATGCATTCACAGATAACATTGTAAGAATGAATATTACAGACATTTTCATTCATCTTATTTTACTTCAGCGTTCCTGATAACATTTTTCTTCGATTGCAAAGATACGAACGGCACAAAAATATAAATCAGTTTTATAAAGAGAAACAGCATATATATTCTTTAATGTGAATAAGATTAAAGGCATGCATGCGACAGGGATTCAAAGAAATAATCATTTCAACGTGTGCTTCAAAATAAAGAACGTTGACTTCGTCAATGTGTACTAATAAATTTGGAAGTTAACAAATTAAACGGTATTTACGTGCATCTTTGCAAACCTGGGCAACCTACTGATAATAAAATATATTTCTTTAAACATAAACAAGAGTCAACATAATTTCAATTATATTTAAACAATTTGGAACAGAATTAACAACAAAATTATATGAAGATTGCTGTCTCCGTTTAATTGAATCTGTTGGTGAGAGATAAAGTGCAACCTCCTTTACGTCCCTTGTACCGGCCTAGGCTGTATTTCTGAATTTACTCTTTAGCACTTGTGTTGGAATCAATGATCTCAAAGAACCAGTAAATATAACAACTAAAGCTGAACTAATGTTCGGAGCAGCTTTACAGCTGATAGACGTTTAATTTACTGGACTAATCTTGAAATACATTCAATGTTAATATACTACTCAACTTTTATAAGCAACAGAAGTTTCATACTAAAGTATAAAAATTATCAGTTAATAATTTTGCATAGACTGAATCAACAGCTAACGTAAATGCAGTATCGTTCACGCGTCAGTAGGCATAGTTTAGGCAGACAAAAGGTGACAACAGCAAACAAGACCGACTCTTGTTAATCCAGGCCTATTGAGCACGGTATGCAACAGCAACGCATCTACGCAATGACCTTCTTAATGCTTCTATGGTTAATTTATGTACTCTGACGGTGCGTTGAATATTTTACAAGGATAATCTGCAACCAATAAGACCCTGTAAAAGAATTCCATTGACTTGTCGTTATTACCAACCCCGTTCGGAATGTGCGAATGAGCATGTATGGTGGTACGGATGAATCTAGGTTAACTTAGATTTTACAGACAAACAAGACGTGCGAGTATCTGAAGAAGACATTGGGAACTGTTTCAATCCGGGAATTTTGCTAAACATGACCGCACAGGGTGAGTCAATCATCGTGTGGAGAGGCATCAACGGTGACGGACATACTGACCTCGTTGTGCTTAAGATACATACATGGACTGGTCTGCGGTACATAGATGAGACGTAAACTACCACGGTTAGGCTGTTTGCGATGACAATACGCATCCTACGAGACATAGGTGGTAAAGGACTATCGGGCGAAAGAGTGTTGGGCGCGTTGACCGGCAAGCCCGATTACCCGACTTCAGTACAACAGAGCACGTGTATAATGAATTGCAGGAATGGATATCAGCTTAGTAGATGCAAACTAGAGGCAGGGCATGTTGGTGTAAGAATAAGCCGTCGTTTCCGTCAGGACTGTCGGAAACCTCATAGGGAGCGTGAGAAAGCGTTGCCGTGCAATCGTCGTTAGACAATTAATTACACAACGCAACTGAGACTAAAATTGTAACATAAATAAGGTTGTGAACATTTGGAAAAACAAGTTGCTTTTCCAAAAACCTTAGATATAGTTAAGGTTGGGGTGATTCTTCTCCTATTCTTAAAGATCCTGTAACACAATTTTTTATGGTTTTATTTCATACATATGATGCTCAAAGTAAGATTTGTCAATATTATAAGTTCCAATAAGCATTATTTGTAAAGATTTTACCGAATTTACCATTTCATGTAAATAAGGGAGGAAATTAGAAATTTATTTTCTATAAATTCAAAGTCAAATTTTCCAATAAGAAATGAATGCATATAATTTATTGATTACTTATTATGTGCACAAAGATTGCAGTACATATTTTACATATTCTTCGATGTTTGAAACTTGTTTTATTTGCATAATCATATACATATATTATTCTTGTTTTATTTCTAAGAGTGGTATACACACAAGTACAATATCAATTACAAAACATACAGGGGTATACACACAGGTACAATATCAATTACAAAACATACAGGATCTTTAAAACACATAACAAATACAAAATCAGCAAAAACAGGTTAAAGATAACCATTAACTATATTTGGTGCTTAACAAAGGTTGAGTAGTATAAATTGAAATCAAGATTGGGAAAGGTCTACAATTAAACTATTTCGGTTTTATTTCTAAAAACAAAAAAATAATATTTCTTGCAATTAATTATCACTGTATTGCAAGCACATTGGCAAGTTTTATTAGAATGTCACCATTACTGTTGTTCGTGATTTTATCCAGTTATGCATGTACATTCAATACTCGATTCTCAAAACCCACTTATAAAAATGAAATGAATTTGTTAATTTATGTTTGTAAAAAAAACGTGGTAAATGCTTCTGTCATTTAATATATTATTACAAATTACAAAAAATATATTTGTGTTGCTTTTTCTGTACTAAATTCTACAACAGATACTGTATTTGAAACTTTCATCTGTTACTTTGCTATAATCTTGTCTTGCAACTATCTCTAATATAATAAGCTACTCTTTGAAATGCCATTAAGTCATATCACATTTGTTAATGCATGTTATTGTAGCCTAGTACTGACTGACCTAAGAACAGAAACCCCTCAAAGAAAGTTTGCACATAATTGTTTTTAGTTTGATTGTAAATGAAGATATACAGTTCCAAACAAACTCGAATCCGTTTCTACAAACTACCAGAATTGAGCAATTAGTGTTGAGACATTTTTCAAGGAAATATTGCCTGGTTTATTTTTATTAATACTTATCAAATAATTACCAATCCTTCTTTGCATGATACATATAAAATTTCACTAAGATTGTGGTTATTTATGCGTTTTTCAGCTTACGGATATGACATACAATGTATAAGTTTTATCAAATATCACAAATAATGTATGGCATACTAGAATGAAATATTTCGTTCGCTACTTCGTTTGTAACATCCAAGTTAAAGCTCACAATAAATTTATCTATGAATAACTAACACAAATGTGATTCCTTCAAAGAGCTCCACCGAAGTCATATAGCCTAAAAACATAAAATTTGAAGTTCTTACATAGATCAAATGACAAACTTTCACTAATACTAAGATAATAAGAATTAAATTAAAATATAGATTTTTGTGCGATTCTTAGCCCGTTTTCGGTGAAAACCGACGAGCTTGTATTAATTTTTTGCATAGCGTTCACGTAGCCGTTATCCTTTGTACATGTGTACTTTCCTGTGCTATAATTAATACAGCCGAAAATTGCTATTATTAAACAGAGGATATTTATTGAGCTCTAAACGACAGGCGTAATGTTTTTAAAATCCACTTGATAAAATAAAATTTCATAAATACGTCACACGTGTCTGATACGGTTTTTTAAGTACACTCGATAACATAAAATTTGATATTAAGCAACCAAGAAACAAATTTTCTTTTTATTTTATGCTTAAATACCATCTTGAATATGAAAGTTCCTCAATATTTAGTGGAATATCAAAGTTTGTTGTCCCTACTTGTAGCCTACAATTTCATACGAATTTCTCATAAATACACGAAGAGCTAAAAAAAAGTTTAAGAATCAACGTGATGGTACTATTTATTGTTTTGAAAAAATATGAAATTAATTAAAACAAGCAATTCTAGAGGCAGAAAAAGTTACACTACATCGTTATTTTTGGCGGAAGATAATATTAATTATATTAGACTAAGTGTAATGTAAGCGGCCGTCATTTTTTAAAATTGTGAATTTCAAAGGAGGAAAAAATGGATGCATATCTTAAGCCCACGGACATTTAGACTTGCAATTTCCTGTTTATCTGGTGGCGTAGGTTCATAACACGTTCCAATGTCACAAGTCAGAGATGGCCAGAGTGGGTAGTTCTATCACCAAAATAACTACTTTACAAAAAGACCTTTTACATATATATATATATATATATATACAAATTTATTTGCACAATAACATTTAATACATGTACTTTAATTCAATAAATTCATCAAATAGAGTATTACTTACTTAATAGTTATGAAATTTAAGTCCACTAAAGTAGTTGCAGTAAAGTAGTTGCAACTACTAAAGTAGTTGCAGTATTGTCACGAAAAAATGATTCTTAGAAAAATAAATCAAAACCACATACAATGTCTCTATCTTTCTTCCCACTTAACAGTTTATTTTGCTGTCTAAAACACTATGTATAAAGTCACAATAGATTATCAACTTCTACGACCTTGAAAAGGGCAATATTCAATCTATCTTTGAATTTCTTCACCTCGACCATTTAAGGTCATAATAATAAAAATATCACCTCCGACATACAAGGTCAATGTCTGAATAAGAAAATGTCCCCTCCGACAAACAAAGGTCAATGTACAAACATTATAATTCTCTGTAGATTCTCTAGCAAACGTTGACCAACTCTCCGGAAAGTGCAAAATACTTCATAATATTCAGTTCCTGGTACTGCACGCTTTTATTAACCATAGCACCATGCACACTCTTGACATTTACACGTCCTTGAACACCATGTCCTATTAATGAATACATATTTATTTCTACATATTTCAAACACATTAAGTTTGAGTAAAACAAATGTATGAAAGGAAAGTATAGGAAAATAACATATACTTACAATTTAACTTATTCAATATAATAACTTTACGTTTATCAAATAATGTTCCATGTACAAAGGAATTTAATGAAAAACATGTACAATTTGCAAATAATTAAATATTTCACTTACCCTGATATCTAGGTAGACAGTCATTGTTAAGCAAAGCTTCTTTAAATTTTAATTATGAATTCATCCAAGCTCAACCTCTAACATCCTTATTCTTCAAAAACTGAAAAAAACTGAATGAGTGTAACCCTATAAGAACTAAAAGATAACAGTAATTTATATAACACTTTTGCCAGCTAATTAATACAGATAAGTGATCATTCAGGTATGAAGACAACAATTACACTGGTCAATATTATAACTGTCTATCCCAAGAAACAGGTTTATATGAGATCATGTTAAAATAGATTATAGATATTCATGCAAGTCTTTCAAACCGAGTCTGCAACATTTTCAATTTTGCCGTGTTGGGCTTTCTTTAGGGATTCTTATTTATCTCTATTTTATCGCCACATCAGCGTTGTTTGTGCCGTGTGGAGGCCGTAAAAAGTCGCCCCGTACATTCAACAGGGATGTTATATTTCCGATCCTTAAAGATCGTTCAGCACGACATAATTGTTGTGCTTGTAGTATTTTAGTTCTTTCTATTCGGCATCTTTCTTGTTGGGTGGTTCCAGTATTCCTCACTTGAATACTGTTGAATCACCCTTAGGATATGTGGCCTGCTTCTTAAACTTGTCTTTTGACGTCGTATCTGTGATATGCAGGCTTCATAACCTCAGATCCCCTTTCAAAATTCCATTTTATTTAGTTCCGCCCATTGTTTTCTCGTTTAGGGCACATGCATTTCTTTACTTGGGGACCATATGCCGCTTTTCATGGAATGGCACGTCTAATGTGTCACGTTGAAGGCCTATGATAACCGCCATATGAATACATCTGCGGATGTTCCAAAATTCTAAATTTTACCAGTTCATGTTAAATGTTGAATTCTGCTTAAGCCGGTGCTAGGGGGTGTGGACGGTAGTTTGCACTTTACAGTACCGTCCATGAACAGGCTCAATCAAACCGAGCCTGCAACATTTTCAATTTTGCCGTGTTGGACTTTCTTTAGGGATTCTTATTTATCTCTATTTCGTTATCACTACATAGATAATTCGATGTGTGAATTATTACCAGTTTCATTTATGAAAGAAATTGTTTTTTCGTTTACCTAGTTTTATTTAATACAATAGGTACAGACAAGATAGAAATAAAGAACACAATATTAAGCTACTAATTGCATTTATGTGAAGTAAAAGTATAAAACACATGTTATCTTTGGACATCTATAAACTATCAACTTCGTTAGTATCAGTTACATCTTCAATAATGCTACTTGTGTCCTTGATATATAAGTTATGAGATCTGGAACAAGACAGCAGATCTGTTATACTGCCACTGTGTATGGATCCTAATGAAGCACCCAGTTTAACATCAATATTGTCACAGCTATGTCTATTCTTTATGTCTACTATAGTCAACTCATTCGATACAAGTTCAGAATCGGTTGATTCACTACTTTTACACAAGAATGATCCAGCTGCAGACACGCCACCAAGAAATAATATTACACCTGCAAAACAAATATAGACTAAGAGTTTTCATTTATAGTTCGTCAGGTACGAACACATGACGTATAATGGAAGATACGGATATCATAATAACTTACACATATCTATTTATACATGTTATACACGGATTTATATTACAAGGATCGGACACTATCTTTTATATCAATAAAATTATTTACAATTTAATAAAGATATCTATAGTGAAAAAAATTTAAACAAACATCTTATAACACAGTTAAATAACACGGCAGGTACCGTACAGTAATGATTCAATTGAAGGGTGAAGAAGGACAGGGTAAAATGTAGGGTATTCATGCAAGTTTTGTACTTGACAAACTTTATCGATATCTTCCACGTTCCACAGTTTAAAAATTTGTCAAGTTTTTTTTTACATATAATGAGTTTCACTCGAAAAACACTCGTATCTTTCGAATCCCTTTTTTCAATATACTTAAAATGACATTTATGAATGTCAAAATGATACAATTATGTCCATAAAGTCCTCATGTTCTTTGGATTTTGTATCTTTATAATGCTCTGTGGAAGCATCAGGCATTATCGACGCATACCTGCAACAATAAAGCTGTTCTCATATGAATCCGACACACCATAAATAAAACCTGAAAGATTAAAAATATACACTTATTAATTTCATTTATTTTTATTTTTATGAAAAAGAAGAAATTTAAATTTGATTGAAGTTCCTATTGTAGATTTGTTTTTGACAAAAAAACCGAATGTTGTTTTTTTATGCAACTTTTTGTGGAATATTGTGAAAATTGCCCTCTCCCCCGAAAAAAAATAAAGTACCAATTAACTACTGAGTACATTTTCATATTAGCAGCTTCATAGATTTCTTTTTTAAGAGCACCGGTTCACTACAAGAACAAGGTACACATATTTTTTTATATGATATTTCAATAGTTACTTCAGTACACATATTCTTTATATGATATTGCAATAGTTAATACTAGTTAAGTTTAAGATGATTTAATCTGTTAAGTTTAAAGAACCCTTTAAACTTACCTATACATACTGGGCCGGTGAAAATGCCTAAACCACAGAATAAGAAATAATATCCATACGCCTCTGACATTTTCGATATACCAACATAATCAAGAGATATCGGAATCATCATAGTGGTAGGCCATCCAGTAAAAAATCCAAGCTGGATCGTGAATATATAAGGTCCACCCCATCTTTTTGAATATAAGGTGAACAAAGCCGTAATTATGCCAGAAATTGCAAGTTCTGTTGCATACACTTTGGCAATGTGTCTTTGTAATTTTGAAACTGTAAGTGATCCAAGAAAACGACCGGCAAGATTTGAAAGGGAAAACAATAGCATCGTAAGGCTAATATCTGAATTACTTCCGCCTCGAACTAAAACATAATTTGGAAGGTGCATAAATCCGGCAGAAAGGCAAAAGTTCCAGGTTGATATGCTAAACAGGATACACAAATATGACCGGTTCTTTAACAGCGTTACATCAATGTAAGTAGTTGATACCATTTTTAAATTTTGTTTGCGTTCTATTTGTTTGTGCTTCTGGACCTGTCTCTCTATAACAGACGGTCTACTTAAGACACCAAATATGCACATGTGTGCCTGAATGCTTGCTAGTATCAAATACGTTGCTGTAAGGCCATGTTCTTCGAGCAGATATAACCCGAAAGGAGCGGAAATAAATATTGATAAACCAGCAGTTAAGAACACAACAGACAGAACGAAATCACGATATTTCTTGAAGTAGAATCCAACGACGCAAACCAGACCAGACATAGCGTTGGCGGCTCCAACACCTGAAAAAAGAAGAAAATAGAAGGTTTAAAGTTATTGTTATAAAAGGTTTTAAGTTTGGTTCAGATGTGTTTTATGTTACACATTTAAAATGTAGCTTATATGCTAAAGTTAAGGATACATATATTCAATTAAAGTTCGACATTAATGCAGGGTACTTCTAATTGTCTTTTTTATATAAAATTATGTTCCTTTAGCGTATATCAAAGCGTTATGTTTTTCTTCGCCAGACTATATGAATTCCAATGCTTAAATACAATACTGTTATTTTCTAATATGATCTTTAGAAACATACAAAGACGGAAAAGACCCAAATTATAAGCATTCAGGAAAAACGACATATTCGATTAAGTAAAAAATAAATATAAAATGGCGAGATGGTATTTTGTTACCTAAATAAAATTAGACACTATCACGTGCTTAGTTTGTGTAGACCTTATCAAAATTGTACCAGGACATAAAGCGTTAATGAAGGCAAGTTTCATAGGCTGGTTTGTTACCTATAAAAATTCCGTTGAAGACGATTATCATGTTTAAACTATTAACGAATGCACAGATAAGGAAACCAATCGTTGTTATGGCGCCCCCTAGGATCATTGAGAACCGACAGCTTATCTTGTTATTCAAGGCTCCAACAAGAGGTGCTAAAATGGAACGATATAAAGAAAATAATATGACCTTTTACAGTTTATTTAATGAACATAATGAACAAAGCTATTGGCGAAAACCTGTAAGTGTATTGCTTTAAAAATGATAAAAGGACGGAAAAATCTTAATTATCATTCTATAAACATTATCGCCGTTATCTTAGACATTATGATTATATAAGAAATATTGAATTTCAAATTTTAGTTGCTCAAACTTAAGTGGAAGTCGTAATACATAAATATATCCTAATGATCGTTAATCTTACACTTTATATTTCATTTGTATAAAGATGCAAACCTACATACCTAGGCTACATAGGAGTCCACTACAGAGGGCGCCTACTAGAGATGTTTTGGCCTCACCTTCGCCGTATTTGTTCAGAAGCTCAACATAAATCACTCCATTCATGTACAAAGCTGTGGAAAGAATTATCATTCCCAAATTCGAAGTTACCATGACAACCCACGCCCATCCTCTATCTATGTTCGTTTTTTTCACACTATTTTCGTCAGCCATATTAATCTATTCGCCTATTCCTTCAAAGTATCTAGTTGCATGCAAAAGCACTTAGTTTACATACATCATAAGCGTGATGAGAACACAAAAACTTTATTCAACTATTAAGAAGATGTATGTCACGATAACACGAATGCCTGACAAAATTGCAGTTTAAGCTAATTTATCATAACCTAGTTTTATACATATATTACACTTAAAACATAAAAGATAAAAGTGATGTTTAACTTGCTTCTTATCTCATTTGTCACAAAGATTGTTTGATAAACTGTCAAAATTTGGATTTATCTTTATACTACAACCTTGCAAATAATGATCAAGAGCTGAATTTCTCATTTAATACTAGGTATTATCATTCCTTTTGGAATTAAAAGAATTTTATCATCGTCATGAAGATAAAAACACTTTCTTACATAGGTGATTGCAAACCTATTTATCTGTTTTACCGATATACTATATCTTAAAAAGAGGAGAAGTGTTAAGCATCTACAGACTACGCTGCTAAGAATTATAGTTAATGTCACAAAGAAGAACATACCGCAAGAGTAAAGTAAAGATTAAATAGTAATTCTTGACATAAACACGTTTTTAGTCGAACTGCATGTTTGTTCATATTGTGATAATAAGTCATTGTTATTGGTTTACTTTTAACATTTATGTTTACCACGTCAAGACGACATCATGTTGTGATTAAGACCCACTGAGAAAGGTTCAAAAACACAAGTTAACTTTAAATAACTTTATTAATATTATCGATTTGAAAATGAACGTTATCAGATAAAAGTTAAAGGCGAGGCGTTACAAGACTGCAATAAAGAGTTACATTGATTTCAAATATAGACACAAAAAAGAAGTACAAAAGGTTTTTAGTTTGTTAACAATTCTTTTGGGGTTTGATTTTAAGTTATTTGATAACTTAACATTTATATGTTCAGAAGTTCTATTTACAATGAATTTTGAGACTGTTTTTGCCATGACATATATATTTTCAAACAATATTTTCTGTCTTTAATGTCTATAAGCAAATCATGTTTGTCATGCAAGCTTGATTTAAGTTTAAAATTTATGTTATATTTACTTATTTTTCAGACTTAAAAAAACTGGTTGGAATCGTTTACGGACTGTAAAATTATTAATCTTTTATGGATTCGGCAGTAAGGAAATTACAACTATTTCAGTTCGTTGGCTTTAAGTAAATCAAAGCACAGAATGCGCTGAATCTGTTTGGGTATCAGAATGTCTGAAAGGTAAAGGTTGTGAGATTTTAAACCATTTTGTTTTTGTATAGTGCCACCAATGCTGTTATTACTGTAGAAAATTGGCTATAAGACTAATTGAAACACTGATATCCAATTCAATGTTTTTTTCGCTTAAATAATTTAAAAAAGAAATTTTAAAAATAAAAAAATAAATGTGTTGCCTTACTTGCGATTTGAACTCCAGACCTCTCGCTTCCTAAACGACCTTGTAAACTCGACCACGGGGAAGGTATAAGATAACCATATTATTCTAAATTAGGGTTTGTAACCATTATTAATTTCGTGATATTTTGTTCACGGTAAACCTGTTGTTTAACACTGATGTAAATAATCATGTAGCCAATATAAGCATGTATATCTGTAAAGAATTACACTATATTAGAAATCTTCGACCAATCGGGAACTATTTTTCTTTCACGAGAAGGCTTGAAAATTAATGCGCCTGTCATTTGAAAATCTTTACGCAGTGTTCTCCTATAACATGTTCGGCGATAGTGTACTTATAAAGGGAAGTAACCGCTTCGAGGAGTTCGGACTACTTTCGGGTTTTGCAAATAAGCATATCAGGGTCTGAAATTTTGCTACCATTATTTGTTTGGTCTGACGACCAAAACACATAAAAGTAAGACGCTCCGTTTCCGCAATAGATGTTGTATAAAAAGAGACCATTACAGTAACTGTTAATTGTTAGTTCTGTACTGTAATTTTTTACATTAAATGACTGTGTGACTTACAGTTGGAGGCAATTTCATTTTATAATTTTTAAGATAAAAAGTCCTGATCGGGACTCGAACAACATTAACTCTGAAAACAGGTTTTTAGCGCTTGAGATACACGATTGAACTTTCAATACGGTTTGGTAAGCTATATAGGCAGCGCTTAAGGCTGGGAATCGAATGACCATAACATTTTCGGCGATAATGTACTTATAAAGGGAAGTAACCTCTTCGATGAGTTCGGACTACTTTCGGGTTTTTTTGCAAATAAGCATATCAGGGTCTGAAATTTCGCTACCATTACTTGTTTTGTCTGACGACCCAAACACATAAAAAGTAAAACGCTCCGTTTCCACAATAGATGTTGTATAAAAAGAGACCATTACTGTTAATTGTTAGTTCTATACTGTAACTTTTTACATTATTATTAAAGCTGGATGCTTCACCACAATGGTAATCATTTAGTCATTTTTCAGTTTTGCTTGAACTACTTTATGCTCTTGATAAATATTCCTTAACTTTAAAAATCACATTTGTTTCTGTTACTTTAAACCATTCACTTTTAGTTCAAACCATTCATTTTCCATAACGCAAACTTTGTAAATCAGAAGGGATCATAAAGTGTTACGCAACAAAAAGTACAAATACAAATACAAATGAGACAATAATAAATCTACTGAAACATAAAATAATTAAACGTATGAATTTTAAACTGATATGCCTCATTTACGCTTGGCAAACAATTCATTAATTTGACAGAAATAGGTTGGAGAAATAAGATGAATGAAACTGTTAAAATCGAAAATAAAAGAGAGAAAAGATTCAAAATGGCCGACACTGGAATATACAAGTGTATCATAATGGATAAAATTTCCATCGCTATTGTATCTTAATATTTGAAAAATGGTAGCGCATTTTTATCGAATATTAATCAGTTTACAAAATGTTTGCTGTAGAAACGACATGTATATTATGTGAAACAGTGTCTCAATGTAATTCTTTGGTGGTTTTAAAATACATGCATCTAGAGTAACGGTCTAACATGAAAACATATCAGTAAGCATTAAGTGATTGTCTGACTTACAGTCTGAGACTTTGTTTTGTTTTGTTTTGTTTTGGGTTTTACGTCACATCGACACAGTATAGGTCATATCGCGACGTTCCAGCTTTACTGGTGACAATTTCATTTTACAATTTTAAAGATATAAAAAATCCTGATCGGGACTCGAACAGCATTTACTCGGAATACAGGTATTTTGCGGTTGAGTTACACGATAGAATTTTCAATACGGTTTGGTAAGCACTTGAGACTGTGAATCGAGTGACAAGGGTTTGATCACTGGACGGCACAGGTTACTGTTGTTGTCACTGATAATGGAATGCTTTCTACGTTCACTTGCAATGTACCTCTTCTAAGGCATGTAGAGAAGTTATCAGTTTTTTGTGGTAGTGAAGGCAAACTACTTTACATCCTGATCCCAGCAACGAAGGGGCGGCTGAACTGTGCTCCTATGAATGTTGCATTAATTTGTTTAATTTTTTTTAATTGAATTATAGATAATAAAAAAAATTATTAAAACAAATCGATAAAAATATCAATGATTTAACATCGAACGCCTTATCGATAACTTCATTTAAGTTTAAAAATAAATTACAGTGAATAAATTAAGAATCACTATTTAGTTTTTTTTATATATACATGTATATATGTATTAAACTAAAGGTATCTGGTTAAAGCAGCTGACCTCCAGAAGATAGCAGAAAACTACCTCAAAATTTCCCCTCAAAAACATTATATAGTTTAAAGAAATCGAAAGGACACTTCAAAATGTTCATATTTTAACATTATTGCTCTGAAAACAAACAGTTCGCTTTTCCACCAACGGAAATACCTTCTTTTATTATACCACGGAATTCTTTCATCCGGGTTTTTTTTCTAGTATCACGTGATCGTACAGGACAATATCGCGACCTGTGCTCCAGAACGCACGGAATCCGGGATTTTACCAAATATATAGGGATAGGAATAACGGCTTTTGTTTATTATATTTATAGTAATACGTGACACTAAAAATTATAATTGTTTAATTATTTCATTTATATGATGACCAATTTATCGATTTATCCTTAAGCTTGAAATGTGATAGGGGCCTACTTAATGACGAAAATGGATAAACGATCCCGGGCATACCGAATACCGGGACTTTTCCGGATCACTGTTGTCACACGTGACAGCATTAGATGAATTATCTTCTCCTATTTATATTGGCTACTGCGTAAGTAACGTAGTAGATTATGGAAAAGATAAGCCGATATATTAACACTTTTGTCAAAATTCTTTCTTGAATTAAGGTGTCAGTAATGATGGATATACAATAAACCTAGTAACTAGATCATTATTTACCATTTACTTGAAATTTATTTCATTTTTTCATTTTCCCATCTGGAGGTCAGTGGCTTTAAAGATCTTGAATTATGCCGTACTTGAATATCATATATAGATCAAAACAAAGTCAATACAGTAAGAACCAGGTGTTTTAAACAAAGCAGTTCATTTTAATTTTAAACAAAACTTTCGATGTAAGCCTTACGCCATTATGGTAATTACATAATTATGTTTCTTGACGTGGTATGTTAAACAATGTTAGAGCACAATTCTGACAGATATGAAGAGATAAAACACAGACGTACGTTATTATATGGTTTCAAAATGATTTAGAATGAACCGTCGATTATATATATTCCTTTGCGAGAAATTACTGGTTCCCCGCGTTACATCGTATAGAGGAGAACCATTGTCTTACTGTAACGGATTACATAAAACGGTTTTGAAGGCTTGAATGTAATTCAAGCATACATGTGTATTTCCTACACGGATATATATACCCGCGGCAGAGTATGAAAATCAGTTCTGGCGATATTTCTTTTACGAGATCACCAGAATTCAAATTCAATATTTATAATGTAACATAATTCAGCAAACTGTTTAATAAGGGAAAAATTACAATGTTAGTGACACATTTATTGAATGTATAGGTTTATTTCAAGTTTGTTTATGTGGAACAGAACATGTATTTTGATTAAGGAAAATATATTGATATGTATATATTCGATATGTACGTTAGCATGTCTGAGCACGGTCCGTTGTTTAATATTTCGAGGAATAGTCTGAGGAGAATCACTTTTGTGTTTCCTCCGTGCATGCCCACAGATTCTACGGTTCCTCTTACATTTAAAAAAGATAAAAAGGGGTTTTACGCAGGCGGCCAGTATTCCAGTGACGAATATACGATCGAACCTGTTAGGTTTTGTTTAATTTACATTTTATCATGAAATGTCTTGGACATAGTACAACAGTTTCGATCGTGATATGCTTTATACAGATGTATGTGTTATTTCTCATTGTGATATTTCCTCTTGTTATAACGATCTCGTAATAAAATAACCTCGCTACAATGCACAGCATAGTTGTTTGTTTATTGTAAGTTAGAGTAAGACTATAATATGATACAACTTCGCATGATGAACTGTCACTATCAACCTAAATTTTCAGGAACTTAAGTTTCTCATTAAAAAAAAACGTTGGATTGCTATATTTCAGTTTACTTTTTTTATTTATTAAAAAAACTATTAAAAAACTATCTGTCTAAATAAACTCATTATGCTTTATCACTTACGCTTAAGATATCATGGGGTTTATTTATTTTATACTAGTATAATTATCTAGAGATAGAATGATAAAAGTTAAGAATATTTAAATCTCATATTAAATTTTTGATTCAGATAGGGCCTTTAAACGTGTTTTTTCATCACAATTCTAACTAGTCTTAGTAGTAACTTTGAAATGAAACGTAATGACGTCCCGTTTAGAGACGCTACGGTTATACGATGATAAAGTTACTTCTTTTTGTTGTTCTTGTTTTTTTTGTGTCAAGTCTTTATCTTTGCTTTGTATATTTTTATTAGCTAAACACATAAAGATAGCGGCTTATTTAAACTATATATGTACTAGTATGTATGTATACCGTAACTAAACGGATATCCACAATACATGTAACTTGGACTCAAAATAAAAACTAGCTGTTTATATAGCATTTAAAAATGGGAAAAACCCATATGAACTTATAATCATACAAACGTTAAAGTGACATTTCCTTTGCTCATTTTATCATTGCCCAGTTGATCTGAATTAATTAATATACATTTTTAATGATTTACTGTTGTAAACATGATTGACGTAATAGTTGATAATGGAAAATTATTGAAAGTATGTTTTTCTTTTAAAATGGTAAAATTGATGACACAGTTTAATTTTTGCTATCCCGATAGATGATTTAGGAGGTTTGACGATAATTTGTACCCTATTTTCAGATACGATAAGCGATGGATTATGCTTGCCCCTACATGTATACATTTATATGCTACGTACACCTTCATTTTAATGCAACTATCCCACACATTGTAGTTTGGGCGTTTTTTAAATAAGATGTCATCAAAAAATAAAATTGAACCACAGACTCTAATATTTATATGGAACGATATAGTTAATACATGTTTTGCCATTAAAAACTATTTATAAGTATATAAGTTAAGTTTTTGCAATGTTTAGGATGCTGTAATTTCAAACCGTTCTGCGATAAAAAAAAGAACATTGATCGTAACTCATTTTAAAACTGACATTTATATAGTAAGTTCGGTATCTCTCAAGTAATGTTACATAATTTTATTAATATTATATAAGGTGCAGACAAAAAAGCAAAAAAAAGCACAACATTTTTGTTGCACAATGCATTTATCATATGCAAAAGTATAAAGCATGTGTTATCTTTGATCATTCAACAAACCATTTACTTCTTTAATTTTAGTTACATCTTCAATAATGTTATCTGTGACTTTGATATATAAGTCCTGAGATCTGGAGAAAGATAGGAGGTCTGTTACACTGCCACTGTGTATGGATCCTAATGAAGCACATAGTTTAGCATCAATATTGTTACAGCTATGTATATTCTTTATGTCTGTTAAAGTCAACTCATTCGATACAAGTTCAGAATCGGTTGATTCTCTACTTTTACACAAGAATGATCCAGCTGCAGACACGCCACCAAGAAATATTATTACACCTACAAAACAAATATAGACTGTGAGTTTTTATTTATACTTCAATCATTATTAAACGAACATCTCATAACACAGTTACACAACCCAGCAAGTACCGTACAGTAATGAGCCAATGGAAGGATGAAGAAGCTAAGGGTCAAATGTAGCGGTATTAATAGACCACTTCTTTTCCAAAGCATTGATGCTACTTTAATCTCATTTAAGTATGCATTAAAACGAATTCATATCAAAAAATAGGATAGGGAATGATTTGGCATTATAGACACAAACCTGCAACAATAAAGCTGTTCTCATAAGAATCCGAAACTCCATAAATAAAACCTGAAAAATTAAAAGACACGTTTATTGAATTCGTTGTTATTTTTATCGGAAAATCATCAATTCACATTTGAAACATAATTCCTATTTAAATTTCTTGAAGGGGCTCAACTCAGGTTTTTTTTACATGGATTGATTGAGGTATATTTTCAAGAGTTGTATATATTAACTCTATGTGGGTCTGCACCAATATTTCATGTGCCGAATGTCAGATCATTTGCTCAATTCGCTTCCAAGAGAATGTCAACTGTATTGCGCAAATTGACACTACATCGACCCAAAAACACGAACAATAAACGGTTATCAAATTTAGTATCTAGTAAAATTGCATACTTTTCCATTTGAAATGGTAAATTTCAAATGTTTTGATTTTAGGCTATAAAACCCGAGTGGAGTTCCTTTTATGTTAATAAACAAATTCCTAACACACGTAAAGCTGATTTAATTTGACTTTTTATTGCAAATTCTATAAACAATTGATTTCATTTAACACAACTACGAATTATACATTCAAGATAAATTGATATCATTTTTAAATTGACATTATAAGTACAATATTTTTGTACTTGTAACATATATGTTTTATTTGATTTTTGATTGGTAAATACTTGCCAAGTTTTAACTAATCTAATCTGATGACTATAAAGAACAATGTTGACATACCTATACAAACCGGTCCGGTGAACAATCCTATTCCACTAAAAAGATAATTATATCCATACGCCTCTGACATTTTCGATATTCCAACATAATCAAGAGACATTGGCATCATCATAGTGTTAGGCCATCCAGTAAATAATCCAAGCTGGATCGTGAATATATAAAGTCCGCCCCATATTTTTGAATATAAGGGGAACAAAGCCGTAATTATGCCAGAAATTGCAAGTTCTGTGGCATACACTTTAGTAATGTTTCTATGAAATTTTGAAACTGTAAGCGATCCAAGAAAACGACCGGCAAGATTTGAAAGGGAAAACAATAGCATGATTACGCTTATGTCTGAATTACTTCCATCTAGTACTGAAACATAATTTGGAAGGTGAACAAATCCGGCCAACATACAAAAGTTCCACGTTGATATACTAAATAGGAAACACAAATATGACCGGTTCTTTAAAAGCGTTACATCAAAATAAGAAGTTGATCTCAGTTTTAAATTTTGTTTGAGATCCATTTGTTTTTGCTTCTGGACCTGTCTCTCAATTACAGACGGTCTACTTAAGGCACCAAATATGCACATGTGTGCCTGAATGCTTGCTTGTATCAAATACGTTGCTGTAAGGCCATGAACATCGAGCAGATATAACCCGAAAGGAGCAGAAATAAACATTGATATACCAACAGTTAAGAACACAACGGAAAGAACGATATCACGATATTTCTCGAAGTAGAATCCAACGACGCAAATCAAACCAGACAGAGAGTGGGCGAACCCAATACCTGAAAAACAGAAACATGAAAATTAAAGATTATTTTTATAACACACTTAAGCTAAAGATACATATATTCAATTAAGGTTGGCTTATAATGCAGGGTACTTCAACTGTTTTATAATTTATGTTCCCATACACCGTAGCTGTTATTTCCTGTTGCAGCTATGTCATTTCAAGCATGTGATTACCGTTACTTGATAATACAAATGTAGCGTTTATAGCTTAATCAAGAACTACATTTTATTCTACTCACATGTGATTTGCGCTTTGACTTGGTTTTTATATGTACTTCAAAGCGCTTGGTAAAATTTCGAACTGGCGATTCATTGGCCAGACTATATCATTTTAATGTCAATGCTTTAATACAATATTGTAACGGTTTAACTGACGATAACTTCTGTTTCAAATTTGAAACTTCCGAAACGAACAGTGAACAACGACCTAATTTTTCATATGATTTCTAGAATATGGAATAAAAACATGCATTATACCGTGTCCTATTTCGCTGGTCATAGGCAATTATTACCGCCTCAAAGGAGCGAAATTTAGTACTCAATTTCGCATGTCTAAAATTTCGCTAGTCTCTCGAGCGTCTTTTCATGAAAACAGTGAAACATATACAAGCGAAAAAAAAAAGTTCGCCTCGATGATTATCGTCTTAATTTTCGTATGTTGTGTGTTCTTCACGCGATAAACATCACGTTGAAGGGCGCTAACTATCGCACAAGAGAGTAGCGAAATTTGAATAAGCGATATTTATCGCCTCTTTAGGGCAATGTCTAAGCTAAATTTCGCATGTATCAAATTTCGCTATTCTAACATGCGATAATAAGCGCCCTCCAACGCGATAATTATCGCGTGAGGAATACACAATTTTCGAAAAATAAGACGCTAAATATCGAGTTGAAATTGTTAAATTTTGCTAGTATAACTGTCCCTTGTCTATAGAAAAGGCGATAATTATCGCTTGAGAGACTAGCATTCTGAAAAAATGGCGAGCTCGATTATGTCAAAATCATAATTTGGTTATAAAAAATGCAAGTGATATTGTCACGGGCTCACTATGTGTAGACATTAACACAAGTGTACCTAGATATGAAAAGAACGGCAAATTCCATACTCTGGGTTGTTACCTTTGAATCGTACCTACAAAAATTCCATTTATACCTTTGAATCGTACCTACAAAAATTCCATTGAAGATGATTATCATGTTTAAACTATCCACGAATGCACAGATAGCGAAGCCAATCGTTGTAACTGCGCCACCTATGATCATTGAGAACCGGCAGCTGATCTTGTTATTCAAGGCGCCCACGAGAGGTGCTAAAATTGAACGATACATAAAGAAAATGATATAACCTTTCTTTGTTTCTTTAATAACATAATGAACATGTCAGTGTATTGTGTACAGAATGATTAAACAGTGGGAATATTTTTTACTTTTGTTCACATACATTATTATCGCCATAATCTAAGACATTTTAAAATATATGGCACATTGAATTTAATTTAAAACAAGAGCCATGGACATCCTCCGCCAAATGTTGTTGCTCACTGGAAGAATGTATATGTAGAGGAGCAGAATAATTCAATTGAAAAAGGTCTTTTGGTAATGAAAACTGAACGCTGAAGTGATTACAAATTTGAGACCTATGTGAATACTGATGGCTGAAATAAAACAAAGAGCAATAACTGAAAAATAATGCAGGGCAGAGTTATCATTCTTGTGAGCTGCACTCCTCCACAATGATATCTATCCACAAATGACGTTTCCAGTTGATACCTCTAACACTTTTTGAGATAAGCTCCGGACTAAAAGTATGAAAAATAACAAAGTGCAAGAACTAAAAGATGAAGGATAGAGTTATCATTCTTGTACATAACATTCCTCCTCAAAAAGATAAATCCACCTATGAAGTTTCATGTTGACAGCTCAAAGACTTTTTAAGTTATGCTCCACTCAGGTGAAAAATTAAATATGAAAAATAACAAAGGGCATTAACTCAAAAAATATGAAGGGTAAAGTTATCATTCTTATGCACTGCATACCTCCTGAGTGAGATATATTCACCTATGAAGTTTCATGTTGATATCTCAAAAGCTTATTGAGTTTTGCTCTGGGCAAAAATTAAGTTTGAAAAATAACAAAGGACAATAACTGAAAAATTATGCAAAATAGAGTTATCATTTTTGTGCACTCTTCCTTTCTATGATCTATCCACCTATGAAGTTTCAAGTTGATACCTCAAATACTTTTTGAGATATGTTCCTGAAAAAAATGTGGGACGGAAGTACGATGGACGTGCGACGGACGGATGGATGGATGGACGGAACGAAGGGCGGATGGTGACTATTTCTATATCCCCCGCCGCCTTTTCGGCGGGGGATAATTATAGATACTTCAACGTACAGTGAATGATGTCTTTTAAATATATCCTGAAGATCGTTAATATCACGCTTTTTTCCATTGTATACATTATACAAATATACATACCTAGGCAAGATAGAAGTCCACCACAGAGGGCGCCTACTAGAGATGTTTTGGCCTCACCTTCGCCGTATTTGTTCAAAAGCTCCACATAAATCACTCCATTCATGTACAAAGCTGTGGAAAGAATTATTATTCCCAAATACGAAGTGATCATGACAACCCACGCCCATCCTCTATCTATGTTCGATTTCTTCACACTGTTTTCGTCAGCCATATTAATCTATTTGCATATTCCTCCAGAGTATCCAGTTGCATGGAAAGCACTTAGTTTACACACACCATAAGCGTGATGAGAATACAAATACAACCATTAAGAAAATGCATGCACGATAACACGAATGACTGGCATAATTGCAGTTTAAGATAGTTTATCACAACCTAGTTGTGTACAGATATTATACTTACACAGGAGAGGAAGTGTTACACGAGGGGTTGAGTTCTTATGATAACTTGTTAAGGAGTTCTTGTGATAACTGTCACGGGGTTCGTCGGAAAACTAGTGTATATACTGCAAACAAACTCGTCAGAAATGGTTATTTTCATCATTAAAAAGTGACTTTTAGGTGCTAAATTAAACTTTAATGATTAAGCTTGCCAGACATACTGTATTATGTGTCAAAAACTTATTTATAGTCCATTTTTCATCGCGTCTTGCTTAAAATCTGTTTTTTTTTGTGTAAAATTTTCAATTTATTTGCCAATTCGCAAGTATTGACCTGTTTATTTCAATTCTTCATCCTTGCCATACATAATTACTAATTATAATGCTAAATTGCAAACATAAAGCCCCGGCTAACGTAAAAGATAAATGTGAAGTTTAACTTGCCTCTTATCTCATTTGTTACAAATATGGTTTGATAAAATGTCAAAATTTAATTTATCTTATACTACAACCTTGCAAATGATGATCAAATCTTATACTACAACCTTGCAAATGATAATCAAAAGCTGCATTTCTCAATTGATACTAGGTATTATCATTCCATTTGGAATGAAATAGAGGATATTTGTTTATTAGTGTGTAAGATGAAATTTTATTTCATCGAGTGGGCTTTAAAAACAGTAGAATACTGTTTTTAAAGTTAACGAGATGAAATAGAATTATATCTTACATAACAAACAAACAAATTTTCTTTTTATTTTAATAAATATGCTTAAAACAATGTATAAACAAGTTAAAACGAAATTTCCATAATATTAATGTTAATAATAAAATCTGTTTTTCCCATTGAGAGCCCCATTTAGTCGGAATTGCTCATTAAATACAAGAAGTCTTGAACTGAAAAATTAGTTCGACAATCAACGTTAAATGACGGTTATATTATTCATTTTATTAAAAAATATGAATGATCGTTTGTTTTAATAATAAAAACAAACAATTCTTGTAGGAGAAAAAGTCCAACCATCCATCCATATTGCGTTACTTACTGCGAATTTATATTAGACCTGGCTTTGTTAAATGTAAGCAGCAGCCATTTTTTAAAGTTGTGTATTTCACGGAGGAAAATAATTGTGTTTGATTCAGAGGGACATCATTTAGATTTGTTAGTCATACAGCTTTTTAAAAGAAAAAAAAACTTATTCGAGGATTGTAACAGACAAAAAATAAGTGTTGACAGATGTGAAAACATTCAGAAAAAGAGCTAGGAAAATGGAAAACTTGGAAGCTTGCTAAGGACATGAAGGAACGCTGGGTTGTTTTACTTATTTTACGAGTGATGGCTGTCAATGCTTTTCAATTTTTCATAAAGCATACGGCAGTTATTGCTCGTAGGATACTTTAATATGCCCAAATGTCATCAAGAGCAGTTTTGCATGTGGAAGGAATGTATTTTTCAGACTGCAAAAACAAACAAAAAAAATTAGAGACGAAATTTGGTAATTGGAATTTAAAGGAATAGAAGTAAGTTTTCTCTCTTCATTACTTTTGACATTTAAACTATTAATCAATTTCAGTTTTGCTTTTCTTTAAACAGCCTGACAATGACAGAATTGTCAGTAAAAATAAAATTGAGGAACCACATTGGGAAAATTTTAAAAAAGTGGTTTCGTCATTGAAAAAAGTGAAATTTTATTTTGATAATTTTCACTGTGAAATTATCAATTATAATTTTCACGGATAAATCAGTAATCCACTGAAAAGCATATAATAAAAGGATCTTATCATCGTCATGAAAATAAAAACACCTTCTTACATAGGCAATTTCAAATCAAAGGGGAAAACCTATTTATCTGTTTTACCAATATAATATATCTTTAAAAGAGGAGAATGTGTTAAGCATCTACATACTACGCTGCTAAGGGTTATAGTTAATTTCACAATGAAGAACATATCACAAAATTTTAGATTAAATAGTCATTGTTTCAAATGTAAGTTAAAATAAAAATTATGATCTATATCTATCTAGGTAGCGTGTTTCTGATTACTTATTCTTAGGTAGTGGTTTACCTGCCCGTACTCTGCCTTATGCCCTTCCCTGTTTTTGTTTGGGGTCCTCCTGGGCTCCTTGCCACTGGCTCTTGTTTCTGGGTCGGATGGGGGCTGCGTTCATTGAACTCCGCCTTTCCTTGATGATCTTGTTTAATAATATCTTATTTTTTGAACCTATACGTTTGATAGAAGCAGTCAATATCCCAACTATATCACCGTGGCAAGTACGAAACAGATGGTATAAGATTACTCTTTAAAATTAAAACTCTACCCTTATCTCTCACATTGACTGATAAGCCCATTTAATTGTTGACATAAACACGTTTTTAGTCGAACTGCATGTTTTTTTATATTGTGATAATAAGTTATTGTTATTGGTTTACTCGTAATATCAATGTCTACCACTTCAAGACGACATCATGTCGTGACTAAGACCCACTGAGAAAGGTTCAAAAACGCAAGTTAACTTTAAATAACTTGATTAATATTATCGGCTATCAGATAAAAGTTAAAGGCGAGGCGTTACAATACTGCAAAAAAGAGTTACATTGATTTCTAATATAGACACAAAAGGTTTTTATTTTGCTAACATTTCTTTTGAGATTTGATTTTAAGTAATTTGATAACTGAACATTTATATGTTCAAAAGTTCTATTTGCAATGATTTTTGAGACTGTTTTGGCAAAGACATATATTTTCAAACAATATTTTCTGTCTTTAATGTCTATAAGCAAATCATTTTTGTCATAAAAGCTTGATTTAAGTTTAAAATTTATGTTATATTTACCTATTTTTCACACTTAAAAACCTGGTTGGAATCGTTTACGGACTGTCAAATTATTAATTTTTTATGGATTCGGCAGTAAGGAAATTACAACTATTTCAGTTCGTTAGCTTTAAGTAAATCAAAGCACAGAAGGCGCTGAATTTGTTTGGGTATCAGAATGTCAGAAAGGTGAAGGTTGAGAGATTGTAAACCATTTTGTTTTTGTTTAGTGTCACCAATGCTGTTATAACTGTAGAAAATTGGCTATAAGGCTAATTGAAACACTGATATCCAATTCAATGTTTTTTAGCTTAAACAATTTAAAAAAAAATTAAAAAATTGAAAAACTAAAAAAAATATATGAGTTGCCTTGATTGCGATTTGAACTCCAGACCTCTCGCTTCCTAAACGAGCTTGTAACCCCTCGACCACGGGGAAGGTATAAGATAACCATATTATTCTAAATTAGGGTTTGTAACCATTATTAATTTCGTGATATTTTGTTCATGGTAAACCTGTTGTTTAACACTGATGCGAATAATCAAGGAGCCAATATAAGCATGTATATCTGTAAAGAATTAAACTATATTAGAAATCTTCGACCAATCGGAAACTATTTTTCTTTCCCGAGAAGGCTTGAAAATTAATGCGCCTGTCATTTGACAATCTTTACGAAGTGTTCTCCCATAACATTTTCGGCGGTAGTGTACTTATAAAGGAAAGTTACCGCTTCGAGGAGTTTGGACTACTTTCGGGTTTTGCAAATAAGCATATCAGGGTCTGAACTTTCGCTACTATGTTAATTGTTAGTTCTGTAGTGTAACTTTTTACATTATTATTAAAGCTGGATGCTTCACCACAATGATTAACATTTATTCATTTTTCAGTTTTGCTTGAACTACTTTATGCTCTTGATAAATATTCCTTAACTTTAAAAATCACATTTGTTTCTGTTATTTTAAACCTTTCACTTTTACTTCAAACCATTCAATTTCCATAACGCAAACTTTGCATGTCTGAATGGATCATAAAGTGTTACGCAACAAAAAGTACAAATACAAATGAGACAATAATAAATCTACTGAAACATAAAATAATTAAACGTATGAATTTCAAACTGATATGCCTCATTTACGCTTGGCAAACATATCATTAATTTGACAGAAAAAGGTTGGAAAAATAAGATGCATGAAACTGTTTAAATCGAAAATTAAAGGAGAGAAAATACTCAAAACGGCCGACACGGGAATATACAAGTGTATCATAATGGATAAAATTTCCATCGTTATTGTATCTTAATATTTGAAAAATGGTAGCGCATTTTTATTGAAAATTAATCAGTTAACAAAATATTATCTGCATTTATGTTAAAACAAAACAAGGTTTGCTGTAGAAACGACAAATAACCATTTATATGTATATTATGTGAAACAGTGTCTCAATGTAATTCTAGAGTAACGTTCTTACATGAAAACATATCAGTAAGCATTAAGTGGCTGTCTGACTTACAGTTGGAGACAATTTCATTTTACTATTTTAAAGATAAAAAGAATCTTGATCGGGACTCGAACAGCATTTTAGCGGTTGAGTTACACGATTGAATTTTCAGTATGGTTTGGTAAGCTATATAGACAGCGCTTGAGGCTGTGAATCGAGTGACCAGGGTTCGATCACTGGACGGCGCAGGTTACTTTTGGTGTGAATGATCATGAAATGCTTTCTGCATTCACTTGCTAAGTGCCTCTCCTACGGCATGTAGAGAAGTTATCAGTTTCTTGCTGTAGTGAAGGCAAACTACTTTAAATACTGCGCCCAGCAACGAAGCGTCGGCTGAAATGTGCTCTGGTGAATTCAAAGTGCCTTACTGCCGTGACATGACAATAAACTAGCAATACCACCAACACTTCTATCGTATTTCACTGGAAATGCTTTTTCAAAGAGAATAATTCAATTGCGACTACGGTGAAGTCGTCGTCTCATATGAAATGCTTTTTTGTGGCACCTGGTAGAAGCTGTTATTATTAACAGATTATGTCATGTTGTGTTAATTAGTTTTATTTTTTTTCTTACAATTCAATAATAGATAAGTTATGAAAAAAAAAATCATTAAAAATATCAATGATTTAACATCGAACGCCTTACCGATAACTTTATTTGAGTAAACACATTACAGTGAATAAATTAAGAATCACTATTTTTTTTTCTTTAAAATGCAGCTTAAAGATTAAATATTTATATATTGAAATAAAGGTATCTGGTTACAGATCTTAAATTATGCCGTACTTGAATATGATATATAACAAGATCAGTACAGATAGAACCATGTTTTGAACTGCGAGTTGTTAAATACAGTTCAGTTGTTCATTACAAAATATCATTTCGACGTATGCGTGCAGCAATTATGGTTATTGCATATGTTTCTTGACGTGGTAAGTTAAACAATGTTAGAGCACGATTTTGACAGCTTACATAATTAAGATTTATTTCCATAACTTACACGCACTTCGCTTTACAAATGAAGAAATAAAACACGGACGTTCATTATTATATGACAGAGGGTTAAGTGTCGGTAACCTACATTTTTTTTTGCGAAAAATATTATTATTCTATTATTATTTCATCATAACATAGTTGACTTGAATTGACTATATATTCTACATGATTTATGACATAATAGTTGATCATGATTATGTATTCATTCTTTTAAAATGGTAAAAAATGGTGACAAATTTTATTTTGTGTTATATAATTAAATGATTTAAAAGTTTTTACGAAAGTCTGAACCGTAGTTTCAGATACGATTAGCGATGAATTATCCTTGCCCCTACATGTATAAATTTATATGTTACATTCTCATTTTTAAGCAACTATCCAACATATTTTAGTTTAGGCGTTTTAAATTATATGTCATCAAAAGATAATATTGAACCACAGACTCGTACATTTATATGGAACTAGATGATTAATACATGTCTAGTCCGTATAAAACATTTCATTTCAAATGGTTTAAAGTCAACGTCCGTAGCTTGTCGGCCATGTACGTCCCTTAAATTTACTATAGAATGTTAAAGCATGTGGCAATAGCTTTTGTACAGATTATATGATATTTAATGTCTTTACAAGGGAGCACATTCATAGACGGTGTTAATGTATTGTTGGTTACTGTTCATGCCATCAAGCACCAGGTGAACCATACCCTCTACGCCGGCTGTTGTACACTGTAGCACCGGCTAAAGTATAATGCATCATTTAGGTGTAGAAAAAGTAAATTTAAGGTTAAGTAAGATAACGTTAGTCAGTGATATAGAATTAGATTAGCCCGAATGCAGAATATAACACATGATTTACGTGCTGTAACTGACTACAATGTGTGTTGTGTTAAATGCAAAGGCAAGACATGTTTTGGACACTGTCCCAAAGGTGAAAATACTCTGAAACTAGCGGGCAATTCGTTGAATACATCAGTAAAAGCAATATATTGGCTACTAAGTGCCAGTTTAAGTTCTCCAACATATCGTAAAGTTCATCCCATGCTGAAGATAAGGTTGTTAATATTAAGTGTTTAGCAGTTTCTTCTGATCCTCTTATACTAGAGAAGAATCAAACAGTTAAATTCATGATAGCAGAAGAATGGCATCTTGATGTGCCGCATGGCTCGTAAGCTGTCGGGTCTCCTGTATTGAAAATAGCTTGTTACGTTTCTTTGAGGTCTCTATAATTATCTAGTGTTTCTCAATTATCAATGATACGTACGTAGCTCTTGTTGTGCAAGTCCGGGTTGTATGTTCACATTTACAGTATTTTGAAACACAGGAGTGGTGATTGTTTTTTTTATTTCATCAAACATCAATCGAAATAAACATGAAATCTAGTTTGGAACAAACAATAGGCTCTCGATATCTCCCAAGTAATATAACATAGTTTTATTAACACTTATATACGGTGCAAGACAAGGAAGAAAGAAACAAAACGTTTTGCATTTATAAGAAGCAATAGTATAAAACAAGTGTTATCTTTGATCATTCAACAAACCATTTACTTCTTTAATATCAGTAACATTTTCAATAATGCTACTTGTGTCTTTGATATATAAGTTCTGAGATCTGGAGCAAGACAGGAGATCTGTTACACTGCCGCTGTGTATGGAACCTAATGAAGCACCTAGTTTAGCATCAATATTGTTACAGCTATGTATATTCTTTATGTCTATTATAGTCAACTCATTCGATACATATTCAGAGTTTGTTGATTCTCTACTTTTACACAAGAATGATCCAGCTGCGGACACGCCACCAAGAAATAATATTACACCTGCAAAACAAATATAGACTGTGAGTTTTTATTTATACTTCACATGACGTATAATAAAAGATATATAGTCATATCTTAAATATATCTATATCTATATACACCAACCCAGTTATTTACAATTAAATGAAAATAGCAATAGCGAAAATCGTTTTTTTTTAAACAAACATCTAATGACACTGTTTCACAACCCAGCAGGTAACGTTCAGTAATAAGCCAATGGAAGGGTGAAGAAGGACAGGGTCAAATGTAGGGCATTCATATAAGAAGCATGTTTCTTACTTCACAAACTTAATATTATAAAGATATTTCTATACATAAAAACATTCTTTAGTCGAAAAACATTCGTATATTAAGAATGTAATCCTTATTTGAACATACTTTAGAAATAACCAAAAGCATAACATAAAATGATATCTTATTGTCAACATATTTAAAGGACGTTCTCTTGCTTGATACTGCTGCGACTATTATTAAATCTTCAAGCAATTGATATCTGACGGGAACAATTACTAGTAACTAACGAATTTGCTTGCTTTCGTTTCATTCGGTATTAATTGACATATTCCTTTCCAGAATACTGCTGCTACTTAGATATCATTTAAGTATATTTTAAAACAAATTTATATTAATATTTTAGATAGGATATGATTTGGCATTTCATTTATCTACACAAACCTGCCACAATAAAGCTGTTCTCATAAGAATCCGACACACCATAAATAAAACCTGAAACATTAAAAAGACACATTTTTATGATTTCGATGTTACTTTTTATGGACAATCATAAATTTAATTTTGATTAAAATTCCTATTTAAATTTCTTGAAAGGACTCCACTGAGGTTTTATACATGGATTGATTGAAGTATGTTTTCAAGATTTGCATATATTAACTGTATGTAGGTCTGTACCAATGATTCATGTGCAATATTTCAGATCATTCGCTAAATCCCCTTCATTGAGAATATCAATTGTATTGTGCAAATTGACTCCACACCGGCCAAAAATAAATAAATAAATTAATAAAAAACGGTTATCAATTTAGAACCTAGAATATTTACGTATTATATATTGCATAGTTTTCCATTTTAATGATGATATGATTCTAGGCTATAGGACCTGAGTAGAGTTCATTTAATGTTAGTAAACAAATTCTAAACACACGTAAAGCTGATTTCATTTAACAATTGATTTCATTTAACACTACTACATTAATACATTCAAGAAAATTTGGTATCATTTTCAAATTGTTATTAAAAATACGTTATTTTTGTACTAGGTACATAAAGGTTTTATTTGATATCTTTTTTGAAAAGTTTTAACTGATTTAATCTGTTATTTCTAAAGAATACTATCAACATACCTATACAAACCGGTCCGGTGAAAAATCCTATACCACAAAATAAGAAATAATATCCGTATGCCTCTGAAAGTTTCGATATTCCAACATAATCTAGAGATATTGGCATCATCATAGTGTTAGGCCAGCCAGTAAATATTCCAAGCTGTATTGTGAATATATAAAGTCCACCCCATATTTTTGAATATAAGGGGAACAAAGCCGTAATTATTCCAGAAATTGCAAGTTCTGTGGCATACACTTTAGCAATGTTCCTATGCAATTTTGAAACTGTTAGCGATCCAAGAAAACGACCGGCAAGATTTGATAGCGAAAACAATAGCATGATTAGGCTTATGTCTGAATTACTTCCATCTTGTACTGAAACATAATTTGGAAGGTGAATAAATCCGGCCGAAAGGCAAAAGTTCCATGTTGATATACTAAATAGGATACACAAATATGACCGGTTCTTTAACAGCGTTATATCAATGTAAGAAGTTGATCTCATTTTTAAATTTTGTTTGCGTTCCATTTGTTTTTGCTTCTGGACTTGTCTCTCTATTACAGACGGTCTACTTAAGACACCAAATATGCACATATGTGCCTGAATGCTTGCTTGTATCAAATACGTTGCTGTAAGGCCATGAACGTCGAGCAAATATAACCCGAAAGGAGCAGAAATAAACATAGATATACCAACAGTTAAGAACACAACGGAAAGAACGATGTCACGATATTTCTCAAAGTAGAATCCAACGACGCAAATCAAACCAGACATAGAGTGGGCGAACCCAATACCTGAAAAACAAAGGATTAAAGAGTATTTTTATTACGTACATATGCTAAAGATACATATATTCAATTAAGGTTGGATTGTAATGCAGGACACTTCCACTGTTTTATAATTTATGTTCCCATACACCGTAGCTTTATTTAAAAAGTTTGGTTATTTCTTGTTGCAGCTATATTATTTCAAGCCTATGATTACCGTTACTTGATTATAAACATGTAGCGTTTATAGTTAAATCAAGAACTACATTATATTCTACTAACAGGTGATTTGCGCTTCGACTTGGTTTTTATATGTATATTAAAGCGTCATGTAAAATTTTGAACTGGCGCTTCCTTGGCCAGACTATATCATTTTAATGTCAATGACAACATAATACAATTATATTGTAATGGTTTAACTGACGATATCTTCTGTTTCAATTTTTGAAAATTACGAAACGAAGTGTGCAACAACGACATACGTTAATTTTTATATGATTTCTAGAATAATACAAATATGGAATAAAAATCTGTATTAAGCATTCAGAAAATATAACGAGCTGATTAAGTCAAAATCATAATTTGGTAATCTAAAATGCAAGTGATATTGTCACGGGCTCACTATGTGTAGACATTAACACAAGTATACCTAGATATGAAAAGAACGGCAATTCCATACCAGAGTTGTTACCTTTGAATCGTACCTACAAAAATTCCATTGAAGATGATTATCATGTTTAAACTATCCACGAAGGCACAGATAGCAAAGCCAATCGTTGTAACTGCACCACCTATGATCATTGAGAACCGGCAGCTGATCTTGTTATTTAAGGCTCCCACGAGAGGTGCTAAAATTGAACGATACATTAAGAAAATGATGTAACCTTTTTCAGTTTCTTTAATAACATAATGAACATGTCAGTGTATTGTGCACAGAATGATTAAACAGCGGAAACATTAATTCTTATTCTTCACATACATTATTATCGCCGTAATCTTATACATTATTAAAAATTATTACATTGAATTTAATTTCAAATTATAGTTGTTTATTAATTATAGTTGCTTATACCTACAGTGAATGATGTCTTTTAAAATATATCCTGAAGATCGCTAATTTTGCACTTTTCATTTCCATTGTATAAATTATGCAAATTTACATACCTAGGCAACATAGGAGTCCACTACAGAGGGCGCCTACTAGAGATGTTTTAGCCTCACCTTCGCCGTATTTGTTTAACAGCTCCACATAAATCACTCCATTCATGTACAAAGCTGTGCAAAGAATTACCATTCCAAGGTACGAAGTGATCATGACAACCCACGCCCATCCTCTATCTATGTTCGTTTTCCTCTCACTCTTGTCGTCAGACATATTAATCTATTCGCATATACCGACAAAGAATTCTGTTGCATGGAAAAACACATTCATACTTCATTAGTGTGATACATTTGTATTACAAATACACTAATTACACAATGGTGTCACGACAACGCGTACGCCTGAGAAATTTGCAGTTTAAGCTTATTTTGCGTACTATATTTAAAACATAAACGATAAATGTGATTATGTACCTGTTACTTTCATTTGCAACAAAGATTGTTTGATAAACTGTCAAAATTTGATTTATGTTTACACCTCAACCTTGCAAAGAATAATGATCATTATTTGGATTATTTAGAACATAGAGTCCTCATTTGAAACTAAATATCATCATTCCTTTTGGAATTATAATATTTTTTATTATCAACAACTTTCTTTCCTGTGCAATTCGAAATTGAAGAGAAAGAACTATCTAAAAGTTTTACTGATATACTATATCTTTAAAAACGGAGAATTTGCATAATTAAAATCAAAGTGAATAGTGGTGCAAAGGTAAGCTCCTCGCCTTGTATACATTTATGTTTCGAGACTAAGTTGCATATAGTTTTTAAATATATTTTAGCATGTTAAGTTATATAGTAAATAAAGTGACGGAAGAAAAATGAAATGTGTATCCTATAAAATTTGAAGGCCGTGAAAAAGTGCTTAAGTCAGGATCAAATCTGAAAAAACAGGGCAGTTAGTATCCCGCCACACTTCCAGAAAGGAATTGCGAACAAACATAAGGCCTTAGGTGGGGCCTTTGAAAACCAATGATGGTACGAGGAAGGCATATTTTACGTTAAACAAGCTGTTTATCGACAAGGTAGAGAACGTACCATAGCCTCAAGTCAAGGGTTTAACCGAAAATGGCAATAAGGTTATATCCTAGAATGTGGAAATATTAACCCAAACGAAACGGTCTTGCGAGGATTTCACTACTTTTAACTCAGAATATGATGTAATATGTCTGTCTGAAACTTTCACCAATAGAAACACGAACATTTCGTTAAATGGGTATAGCATCCATTTTAACACAATTATTTAGAAGCTTTAAACACAGGCGAACTAAATGAGCAAGCGGTGGTGTAATTGTCCATATAAAGGACAGTATCAGAACGGGTGTTTAACTGTCACGGAATGATATTGATTGTATTGTTTGGATAAAACTAGATAAATACTGTTTTCAAATTTACAATGATTTAGTATATAGCGGCGACAAATATACCGCCTGAGACTTGCGGCATATAACGTATACAATATTGACTTGTTTAACAAACGCGTGGATAAAATAGTTTCTTCTTACAATTAGGTCGTACGTTATGGATAGGTGACCTTAACTGTTGAGTATTTCAAAAACTTGATTACATGTATATTGAATACTTAGTACTTAAATACGAATGACAGACATTTAACTTTCCTTCACTTTAAACATAAAAATCGGCCGATTTCAACGGATATGCAGTGTACTGTTGAGCTCTTCAAACCAATTTAAGGCGTATTGTACAGTAAAATAACTAACAATTAACGTTGATAAAAAACAATTAAAGGCATAGTATTGGGCGATCTATTAACAAGAAATCAGGCTTGGGCATATAGCGACCAGAGCATCGACATTGTTAAAAATTTTACTTGCCTAGGCTTTGAAAAGTGCAGTGGCGGTTCATTTCTAAAACGCAAAGATGCATTAGCAGAAAAAGCTTCAATACCACTGCATATTAACTTTTACCTTTTTGATGTATACATGTATGTAACATCTGTAATGCCATATTCAGAATTTTTCGCATTCACGATTATATGCTAAATTTATTTATTTTTCAGACTGTACGTATACAACTTGTTTGTATCATACACGGCTGTTTTAAATGTAAGTTTAAATTTTATAAAAAAACTTACAAATACCTTTCCTGAAAATTTGATTTATTAAAAAAACTCAGGGGTCAGATGTCTGCATACCCAAAAATTACAAGTAAAAAAGTACAAATACACACGAGGCAATATAAAATTGTAATTTAATCAATCACGGGAACTAAATTAAAAATTTAGAATTTAAAAGGAACTCATTTCCGGGGCAAATATCAAAAATTTTTACAAATATAAAAATTTGAGAAACAAAATGGTGGGACTTTTAAATCGAAACAAAAGGGAGAACAAATTTTAAAAAGTCGACATGGTTTCTCAAGTTATAATGATGGTAAATTTCCCTTTACTTTGGAAAGGGTAGCACATTTTATCGAGTAGAGTCAGAAAAAACAAACTACCGTCCTTAGTAGCTTAATAGCAGGCGTGAATATTGAATAGGGCAACCAAGTTCGTTCCCGATGCCGCAAGTCATGTCGAATGTTTTGTCATGAAATACTTTTCTACTTCATTCGCTTTTGATTTCTGCTCCGGTTGAAGTGAAGTCATCATTTTTTTCCGATAGTAAAGGCACACTGTTTGCAGCCGCCGGGAACGATGGAGGCCCTAAAACCTTGCCGGGGTGAATTCAAATGGTAAACGGGCGTCACCCCAGTGGATAAGTACTAACACATCTCCACCATCGCATTTCACTTAAAGTGCTCTTTTAGTTTCAACTTCAATTTTCAAACCTTAATTCTTATGTTTTGAACATCGCCGATATTTCATTGTCGTTTTATAAACATTTATATTTTAAATATCATGAATCCATGAACTCGATAAAATTCGATCACAAAAATATAACAAGATGAACGCCGTATCGATTTTCCTTTTTTGGTAAATAGTACATTGTATAGATTAAGAATCACTATTCGTCACCGTACTTAAGAAAGCTTAAAGAATATAAATGAATATAATATATGTATTAAAAAGTAAACATACCTAGTTAAATATATTGATCAATACAGTATAAACCATGTAGTCAAACACATGCGGCTGTTTACATAGATAACAACATGACATGAGCCGTGTCATGACAATACCAACATAATGGGTTTGCGACCAGCATGGCTCCAGACCAGCCTGCGCATCCGCGCAGTCTGATCTGGATCCATGCTGTTCGCTATCAGTTTCTCTACTTGTAATAGGGTTGGTAAGCGAACAGCATGGATCCTGATCAGACTGATGTTGTCATGACACGGCTCACATGTCTATTTAAATCACAGCGTATATTAAATTCGTACTACAATTATATATTATTACATTATTTTGATTTTCGTGACAAGTTTTATGACATGGTTTTGGTTTTTTAAATAATGTAAGAGCACGATTTTGAAGGCAACATAATTACGATTTTATTTCCATAACATACGTGCACTTCGCTTTACTAATAAATAGATAAAACACAGACGTAGTTTTTCGTTTTGGGTTAAAAAAAAGATGACCTTCACTATTACGTCATTTTTTAAGAACAAAATTTAAAAATTAAAAAAATGTTTTCGTGTATTTTTATATTTCCCACCCCCATTATGCCTAAAAAAGATTTTTTTAAACTTTTACCTGAGTAAATAGCACTGAATTGGTTTCTTCCCGATAAAAAATTGCAAAATGTAAACAAAGTTTATTTGACTTCCTACAAAAATACCAAACACTATTAAACTTATTAATTTTAAGACGACAGGGAAAAACCCTAATGGTTTGCGTTTTTTAAAGGTTATTTTTTAAATTTTTAACTGCCTTTTAATTTCATTTAAAAATAGCTAGACTAAACTTTTAGCTGCTTTACTTGTTAGTCAACATATACATGTACATGCTTGTAGACTATAAATAAATGTAAATTCATAATACATATGTAGGTAGCTTGGACATAATATAAACAAGTTGTTTATTTAGCATTTCAAGTAGGTTTCCGGTCATCTCATAAAATTCATATGTTACCAAAATATTCAGCAATTTAGTATGAAAATGTTTATACGGTACTGATAAAACTCCTAGTAACTTATTATAATAGAAAGGTGTACGATTAAAGTTAAAAATATAAAGAGCGGTTCGTTAATAATAATAATAATAATAATAATAATAATAATAATACCACCACCATCACCACTGCTGCTACTACCTACTGCTGCTGCTGCTGTTACTGCTACTGCTACTGCTAATGCTTCTGCTACTGCTACTGCTACTGCTACTGCTACTGCTACTGCTACTCCTACTACTACTACTACTACTACTACTAATAATAATAATAATAATAATAGTGATGATGATGATGATGAGGATGGTGATGACGATGATGATGATGATGATGATGATAAATAAAAGTAATAGTTATGATGATGATGGTGATGATGATGATGATGATTATGATGAAGAAATGTACGTATTACGTGTATTAAAAAAGAAACAAAAATACTTTGCAAAAGGTGTGCAGATTTCCATGGTTTTAGCACATAAAGTGACGTTCGTTATGTTGAAAATTTGACCATAGTTTATATAAACTATGGTCATTCAGTCACGACCGGGAGTTGACTATGAACTTTTATGAAACTTTACCGGGATCAGAAAATGTGCAGTATCCAACAGTGTTGGGAGATGCAAACAATATCGGTATAATACACTATCTTACGCTATCTACAACAAAAAATGACAAATGTGCAATGTTCTTACCTTCTGACTAAAGTTATAAAAACTGCTATTAGATAATTGAACAAGACAGATAAAGAAATATTCTGAATTGCCGTGTGCTACGCCATACGCTCTACAATTACTTGATCAATAGTATAATAATGCAGTAGAATTGCTTGTACCATGTTTTATGTTTTCATGTAAACTAATAATTAGTATCAATAATATTTTGCATCTTGCATGATGCCTGAAATGAATTGCGTTGCAGCGAATGTTTATCAAACTATGAATAACTATTTATTTCATGCAATTTGGTTATAGTTAGAATAAGGCAACTTTGCTTACAGATTAATAAGTTAATATAAACAATATGTTGAAACTTTAAACGTTTAGAATGCATCAAAACTATTTTAACTATTCTGCAGTAGTATATCGGGCTTGTTTTGAAATTTAAGCAGCTGCTTTCGATTATATAATTCAAATTTACATCTGTTGAACATCAAACAGCACTCAAATTCAAGGCCAGCTTAAACGTTTAGGTTCAAAGTGTACAAAAGTTGAATGTAAGGCTACAATTCAATTTTGAGAAAGTTCGAAGGTTGAATATTTCTTCTCCAAAAAAATTTGAATTTCGAGCTACAACCGAATCCGAGCCATCTTAAAGCTCGAAGCTAAACCCCCCCCCCCCCCAATGGTAACATTACATGCTATAAATGAATCTGTATCAAAAAGAAAGACACAGAAGAAACATTTTCAATTAATGAACTTTTACATTTCACACGGGCTCAATGGCTGAACATCAATGTTTGAAAGCTAACTTTTGAAATCAAATTTTGAGCTACATTTAAATTTTGTGCCTCTGATCAACTCGAATGTGTAAGCAAAACTATTAATTTTCCATCTACACACGTGCACTTAGATTAAATCTTAGTCAAAATCACTAGGGATTTGAACTACACGTCCGATATTTTTTTGCGCCAATGTCCCGAGTGGCATTCTGCCTTTGTTAAGTTGATCAGAACGAGCTATGTATATTTAAAAAACATTTGACTAGTACATGTATAATTAACCAATAAATTGACTGTTACAAACGTTGAGGAAAAAATATTTTAAGTGCATAGTACGGATGGGCTGGGTTTTTTTTGTTGATAATTTATGTTTCACTCATCGCATGATGTTAGTAAAGTAAATATGTCTGTTTTCAAACAATACTTTCAGTTTCATGAAAGTTTTACTCGTCATTTAACATTTAGATGAGAATCAATGAGCGGAAAATATTACGAATTTAGCATGCATTCGACCATTAAACTGACCGATGTTATCATTTCATAAAAATATCCCGTTCGAATGTAGAATATTCTATATTTTTTTTAAGAAAGGCTACAATAAACCTAAAATAATTTCCTCAGTCACTTTCGCAAAAAGGACATACAAAGTATGTTAATGACTATGATACTACTAATATTTGGATTTGGTCTGACTTTCAAAAGCATTCATTTATTGAAGTATCATTAAGTCCATTTTTTATTGATTGTCAAGTTGAGCTTCATTGACTATAATATTTTAAAAGGTTTACTTGACTTACAATTGATATCGGAAAAGGTACATGTATATACAAAACGACTGTCCCACTCTTTTTCATAAACCAAACGTTACAGGTGAATTGCGATGAATAAATTACAAAAATTCATTGATCCACTGAGTTATTTATCGTTCATGCGAAGTTACATGTAATTATAAAATTGAAAGATGTCAAAATGTTATCTTATTTTGACATTCACTTTTTCACACAGTTTTAACACATGCCTCCACCATTATGAAAGCAAGTCTAAAATACCATATACATCTTAACTACTAGGAATTACGTGTCAGGTTAGAACAAAAGTGCAGTTAGGCCTGGATTCGAACCTGAAGCTCTCAAATACCTACCTCTACACAATATTACATAACAAGATTTCCCGTAACAATAACGTGATACCTTATTAGCAATAAAATATAAAATAATATCATCAAAGAAGGGTGGCGTTCAATGAACGCAACCCCCCCCCCCCCCCACACACACACACACACACGACCCAGCAACACATGACCACCGGCAAGACGTTCAGTAGGACACCAAACAAAAGCAGGACAGGGAACAACGCAAAGAACGGACGGGGTGATTACTTTATATAATCTATACCGTTTGTATATAATTACTATTGTATAAAACCGTTTAATTTAACAACTTTGTTTTTACACATTAAACCTTAAAATTATTGTTTTAGTACTAACAAATACCCACTTACAACATAATTAGTCCATTTATTTAGTAAAATGCATCGTTTGATTGAATTATAAACTAAGAAAGATATATCAAATACCTGACACGAAAAATAAATATTTAATCCACCAGAGAAGTGGAGCTATTATCGACAATGCAGCGATTAATATTTTGTAAGTAGTACTTCTAAATACCAATATTGAATATACAGGATATGTATGTAAAAATGTACCTTGATTGAAGATCAATTAAACCTCCAAATGTCAGACTTACAACTGATATATAAATTTAAAAATCCATGTTGTGTAATCCAACACATGTGATAGAACATATTGATTACGACAGGAGTTCCGTTTACAGTTCTTATCGATTATAAAGCAAGCGCGTCTAAATACTGTGCAGCGTCTATTTCTGTATTATGTTCCGTATACTTTTATAGTGTGATACAATTTACAACGTTATTATTATATTTTACATCCGTGAGATAGCTGACTTAACTACAAGATTTATTTCAATTAATATTTGCACGTTTATATGCTTACTTGATAAGAGAGAGGAGACACACGTGACGGTCGTTTATTTATAACTTTAGTCTACGGCTTAAGGTATTAAAATCTGGAAATAAAGTGATCCATCGTAAGCATTAATCACACCAACATTACAAGAGAATTGCATACTCGGTTTCATTGAGTGTGTACATGAGGGATAATGAATACGTCAACATTCTTCACGCCCCTAGCACCGGCTTGAGCGGTACTCAATTATTCTTGCTGCCTATCTTCACTTCACACAAACACAATAATGAAAATAGAAATGTCAAAGAAGATATTCCTCCTTGGTCTTACTAATCTCCAAAATTTGATATACTGTACCTTTTTCTATTCACTTCAAATAAGGTCATTGTTAAAGTAACCTCTTGTCTAGGAAAAGCTGATTGATTCGTCAAGTTAAAGGATGATCCACATGAACAATGTGTTTCTGTTCATCATATGAGTATTTATATTTTATCAGATCGTTGAATTTTGTAATTCTAAGTATGTTATTTAAGACAGAACCAAATATGAACCTGCCAAACATCCCAATCTCGACATAAATTTTTATAAGCAGTTTAAGTGTATCATCTCCAGATCAAGACTCGCGCAATTATTCTCTATAGGTTTTAGACCATTGTCATATTATTTTTCTGCCTGCTTGCAGCTTTAAATAATTCATCAGGATTAAATGTAGTTTCTTGGATGATTGAACTGATTCTACATTGTATTTCAGGTTGTAATGGCTAAAAACCTACCATTAAGTCAATAGGATTATCTACCTCACTACCTTCCATTAACAGATAGGTAAATAGCCAGTACTGCATGCTGTGTTGAGTGGCAAGATAAGCTATCATTACATAACACAAATGGGCAAAGATTAACAATGTAGCTGATAATTGAGCTAATCTTATCAGGCACTGCTTATTATTATTAGACGTGCAATGCAGTACTTTGTATATTATTTGCTTCGATATGCAAATACATTTGTACAAGAATTATGAATTCTCACCTTGAGTTGATGTTGTTATTGCTTTTCTCTGAAAGGTTTAACAATAGGACTGTCCTTACACTGCTAATCAAGTATTATTTATTCTAAATTTTACCAGTTCACGTTAAATGTTGAATTCTGCTTAAGCCGGTGCTAAGGGGCGTGGATAGTAGTTTGCACTTGACAGTACCGTCCACGAACAGGCTCAATCAAACCAAGTTTGCAGCATTTTCAATTTAGCCGCGTTGGGCTTTCCTTAGGGATTCTTATTTCACTCTATTCTATAAACTTATATTATATTATTACTTATTATCATATTATTATATTATTACATATATTATTATTACTTATATTATTAACCAGTTTTGTTTTCAATGTCATGTTGGTTTTTACCATCTAATTGTTAAAACTAAAATGATTTATACAGGTATAATAAGAATTTTCATTGTTATTTTCATTACTTTAAAACTATTTTTAGACATGTATATTTATTCATATTTTGTTATGTGTATTGAAGATTTGAAAAATATTTTTTGAACTATTTGAAACTGATGTTTTAATTTGAATTCTTCATTCAATGTCACATCATGTATTTAGCAAAGTAATCAGTAAACACTTTCTTGCAACATAGAACAACCCGTGATTTTTCATGGCCTTTTGAAACAAACGAGTGATGCTGTCAGTATTTGACTGTATACTGTATTTCAAATTCGTTCCAATTGAAGCGCCTATAATCGTCAAACCTGTAAATCGTCTAACAGGTTCTTTAAACGTTAGTAAGTAATTTAAGCTTTTTCATATGGCACAAACAGAATAATTATTTAAGTCCATTTTGTACTTTATAAGTTTATCCGATACACTAAGATAAACTGCCTTCGATTTTTTTTCAGGAGACCCTGATGCTCTTGTATTTACAAAACACATAGAATTGCCTTTAATAGCACTTAAATTACGTGTTTTCATGTTTCTTTTTTCGGATAACTAAGAATAATTCTGATTGCTTTAGATTCGGACCGGCAACACGCAATATAAATCATTTACTCTCTTGTTCATCGGTCGAATGGTTTACTATTGTTCACTTTCTTGAAGTCACTGAGGTGCGAAGGGAGCGTATAAATAATTGAGAGGTTAGTTCAATAAGAAGATTTGCATATATATAATTCATCAATGTGTTAGATCAATTTTCGAAACAATTTATAAATTTTATTTATACAAAAAGGACTTAAACAAATACGAAAAGCAACAATGGTCGATTTAATGTTTCTTGACATGTCCTAATTGTGTGTCGTAATTACAATTGCTCATTTCACTTGGTTGTTTTTCTGGCAAACGAAAAAGCATTCTGTCTTGCATGAATCAAGTAGCCATTCTCCTTTATCGTCAGTGTTAACACATGGTTTGGCTTTATCGCCGAAAGGTTGACCTGGTTTGAAGAATGTCAACATTGGCGGGGCAGCCATAGGAAGTTGAAAAGCAACCTGCTTCGAAGTCATCCATTGGTATATAAAATTATTCTCAACATTCGTTAGACCGATCCAGTACTTTCCTATGATAAAAAAACGATTTTGTTATTGCAGTGATTTTAAATTTAAACACGTGTAGGAAAAACACAAAACTTCGTCATTGTTCCGTTATAATACCAAGGGACAACCAGATCTCGCCATTTTCAGTTTCTATACAGGGTATTTTAATTTTTATAAAGTATAAACAATAGCAATTGATATACAAGTCTGATTTTATCAAGATTTTCATTGATTAGCGATAAATATTAAGTTATTATAATTCTTTCATCAGTTTACTTAAAGATCATTTATTATATATAACTAATTAATTTATGAAAGCCTATATTGTAGGCTGATTAAGGATTGCTAGTACCATTTGAAAATGAGACATGGTGGTGACTCAACAAGGGCTCGGAATCCAAGCGTTGGGAAAAAGACATGGCACATTGCCTCTTGCAAATGGTTTTTACGAGATATATCTCCAAATTACTGTGTAGCTCTCGACAGTTGTCATTCCAGTGCACTTTAAGAAAGGGTTATCATAAGATATGTGGCTAGGCTTTTTCATGAACATAGTAGATATAATCATGATATAATATATAAACACATGTTTACCTGGCTGTTTATATCGTATCATATTAGCAAGTTGACTGTTGAAGTTCTGTGATTTATATTCTACAAGATGTCCACCCAGAACTTGGCACCAACTCTGCAATTGAGTCAAGCATACAAAATCATCATATCCTCATGCGAACTTTATGTGACAAGATATGCTATTTACACAAAATATCTGAGCTGACAGAAATCTGCAAGTGACAAAATATTCACACAAAACAATCTAAGGTTACAGTACTCAGCAAATTACTCATAAAGCGGGCTTAAGGTATTAGCACCCTAATGCATTACCTCCGCGTTGAAGAGTATTCAAATAGGCTAGAACTACTGTTAACTACATTGAAAATGAGGGCCATGGGTTCAATCCCCAGAAGGGTCAACTTTTTTTTCTTTCTTTTTTTTCTTTTAACATTATTTATGTATCTCTCATGTCCCATTTGGAAAGAAAAAAGTGTTTATTTTTGATTTTTTAATTTATATAGGTATTTATTGGCTAAATTATGCTAAATCTAGTAATAAATATGATACCTGATATTTTCAAAGTGTAATATAATCAAAACTAGACAGTAAAAGTATTTCATATTTTACAAGATCAACCAATATACTTTTTTAAAAATTTAGGGAAACTTTGAAAACAGGCACTCATTTGGGTAAATTTTAAGAATTTTTTAAATTAGGCTCCCTATGTAGAAAAATGGTCAGACACGTGGTAAAATGGGTGGGGTAGGGTAACATTTTTTTACCGATTTCATAAATTTTATGTAGAAACCATAATTTTGCGTATGTGGATTGTTAGCTGAATGGTACTATTTGTTTCTTACCAAAAATTAATGGGAAAACATTTTTCATTAGAAAGTTATTGTAGATTATTTAAAGGTTCCTCATTTCTAAAAAAGGGCCCTCATAACATCCTAGCTTGAGTTCAGAAAAGTGGCCATAACTTGATTTCCGCACGGTAAACTTTGTTTAAATTTTGCATACAGGTGTACTCTAACCCTTTCCCCCATCAGCATATTGTGAAAAATGGCCGTTTTCACTGAAAAGCCTCCTGTTACAAGTTTAAACTGCTATGAAACTATGAAAAATGCTTCAATACTAATCAAACTTGGCACAAATGTTGACTGGACCATTGCCTTTGTAAAGACATGCTCAGTCTTCAATTTCCTCTTACCATGGCAACTAGGGGACATCTCAAAATTGCCAAAAAAATCACTATTTTGCCTCGATTTTTCCATCAAAATTTATTTCAAAGTGCTGCAACTGCTCAAGGGATTGAGATAGAGTCAAAGGATTTTCAGCGTTGGTTAAACGTTACATTATGATCGACCTGGGGTCATTTTAGCCTCTCACAAGTCCAAAATTTTCTTGGCGATGAGGGGGACTCCGCCCCCCTTCAAACCACCCTAACAGAAGGGGGCACGTCCCCCTTCTGGCAACCCCCTGATGTATCTTTTGGATGGGGGCGGCGTCGAAAAAGTGCTCATTAGCAACATTTCTCAAACGAAAACTTATGTTTGGGGCCCAAATAGGACATTTTTTCACTATTTGAGGCCTAAAAAATGGGGGGGGGGGGGGGGGTCGAAAGTGCGTTGTTTCGCGTATATATGTGGTAAAGGGTTAAGGTATACATCTGACCTATGATGTCAATTTTTCAGTTCCTTATAGTGCCCATTAGGGTCCTAATACCTTCAATTTGTTACAATGGTAGCAAAATTTAAGAAAACAAAGTAAATTGCAGTGGCTTGTTCAGAAGCATGATTCACCGTCCTGCACTACATGCAGTTAGATAATCATATCAAATGAAATATGTCCGTTTTATAGACAATGCATCATTAATATTTACACAAGCTACACAGACGTCGAGGGGTTATGGTAAGTATGGGAAAGGATTCCTTTTCAATGTTTCAAAACTATAAAAACTTTTCAGTGGCACTTTTGATTTTATTTCAAAAACTACAAAAGGTAACCCCCAAGAACAATATGGGGACATATGGAATAGGACTGAACACACGATAATTGGACTGATTCCAACGAATGATATTCCATCATAACGTGTCGAGGAGAAGAAGGGAGTATTACATATACCTTGTACATGATAATTACGTATAATATACATTGTCAGGTTTGAAAATATCTAGTAAAAATACAAACCATTGCATTTATCCATGAAGCTTTATTAGTGCTTAACCATACGCAAGTACTTCCGGTTTGACCAACGATCATTTGCCATCCAGTCGGACAAGTTGGAGCATTCGGCTGGTTTTCTGAAAATATTTTGCAATGACAATTTCCTCATTAAAAATGTAAGTTAACATTATATTACCAAACTGAAGGACAATAATTGCACTATTAAACTCGTTCTTAGAACTTTCACGGATGATATGGCCGAGTGTTGACGGCTGTATGATATAAAACCTTAACCTAGCGGCCCGAGAGGTATAAAACCATTTTTTTTATCAAAATTTAATAACGCCCTTGTTCTTAATGCAATATAACCGTAATAATTACTTTACTAACGGCAACTTTCCGGACCTTTCCGATAATCTCCGGACAAGGGCCTCGAACACAGTGGTCAAAATACACTTTTACGGAAATTTTTTTATATAATAGTCTAACATACGCTGCAAAATTAAACATGTATATAAAAAAGTTATAAAATATTGTGATTTGTTGACATGGTTTGATTTTCCATATCGTGTAGAAGTCTTTTTATATAAAGAAAATTTATGCATTTATATAAAAGAATAAAGTGAATTATTTATATACCAATTGCTATTTTTAGAAACCGAGTGTACTAATTGTGTACCTACTCACGATATTTTAGACATTGTTATAATTGTAGGAAGATGAGCATTCGTTAATCAATTCTTATTAACCTATAAACTTCAAATGATAAATAGCGTACAAAAGTGTAAGGAAAATATCTCTACACATTTAATTATTATTTATTTCAATGCGTATATTCATGTGAAAAAAATCTCATTCATTTTTATGTCAAGGGGGTTAATCCATGCGCGCGCATCCTTAAAGTTCTGATACCGCGAACACTTCATCGGCCGGTATTTCGAAGAAAAATGAGTGGTGTGAAGAAATCAGAAAAGGTATGACTTTAATTTGTTTTGCAAAGAAGATGTCCTAACTTCTAGTTTTTATTATACAAAATGTCTTAAAGTAAGTCTTTCCTGTTTTGTCTGTATTTCGCGTTGAATGCGATTTTGATTCTGGATAGTGCGTACACCCGGCGTTGAAATGTTACAGAAAATGAGCAAATATCGATTAAACTGGCCGTTTTAAACGGCTGGAAGTTATTCTGTTGTAAAATCCTTTTCAAAAATATATTTTCAACCTGCGTTCCAATTCATTTGTACTAAAAAGTATTTAAACGCACTATTTACAGAAAACAGAGATTATGATATTGCGTACACTTTTAAAAAAAAATCCAGATACTGCGTACACATAACTATGCAATTGATAGAAAGTACATTTTATTCGAAACAGTTTAAGGTTTATAAAATGATAAAACGGATTCAAAACATTCAGGTATAAATGCAATCTTTACAGACACTTCATAGGCAAAAACATGGTAAATTAAATTGCACAAGAAAATAGCATATATTTGTAACTTGAACTAAAAACGCTTGCAGCAAGTTATTTCCTTGGAATGCGTTCATGTTACACGAACTTTTAACTGTGTTTCCTTTTCATGTGTTCCTTAAGAGTTTTGGTGTGACTGAATAGGTTTTTACAAATACTGCACTTGAGAGGATCTTTACATGCATATGAGAGTTGGGACGAAATGGCTGCTTTGCTTGGAAATTTGTTCCCACAATGTTTACATGTAAATTCATTCCCTTCGTGCATTCTGTTTAGATTGCATTTATACCTGAATGATTGCCCATATTTGCCACATTTATGACGTTTTTGATTCTCGTGCTTATCTTTGTGATCACTAAGATCTTCATTACTAGAGAAGTCCAAGCCACATTTATCACATTTGAATTCCTTTTGTTTGGCTCTTTCATTGTTCATGGCGTTTTAAATCAAATCATGAGATGTCTTGAACTATTTGCCGCATTTACATTCGTACTTGCGTTCAGAGGAATGGCGCTGCATGTGTGTTTTGTAATGGTACTCCGAAAAAGCCACATGACTACATATATCAAATTTGTAGGGGCCATCTTGCCGATGTCGTGCCCAATGCTGTCTGAGAGAAGATTCAATGGCAAAGAATTCACCACAAAATCGACACACATTCATTGTCTGAATTAAGATATAAATTTGACTGTAAGAAGTAATTTATTTTGAAATGTAGAGTATAAGAACATTATCAAGATAGACAATTATTCACCAGGTTTTACATAAATACCTAAACAAATTGCATAAATAAATGTTAATTCTAAACATTTTCTAGGATGTGGATTTTAAATAATTCTTCAAATGGGACACCCGTGCAATCCGCTTTATCATTTTATAACCTTAGACTGCTTCGGATAAAATGTACTTTCTATCAATTGCATAGTTATGTGTACGCAGTATCTGGATTTTTTTAGAGTGTTCGCAGTATCATAATCTCTGTTTTCTGTAAATAGTGCGTTTAAATACTTTTTTAGTACAAATGAATTGGAACGTAGGTTGAAAATATATTTTTGAAAAGGATTCTATAACAGAATAACTTCCAGCCGTTTAAAACGGCCAGTTTAATCGATATTTGCTCATTTTCTGTAACATTCAACGCCGGGTGTACGCACTATCCAGAATCAAAATCGCATTCAACGCGAAATACTGACAAAACAGGAAAGAGTTACTTCAAGACATTTTGTATATAAAAACTAGAAGTTAGGACATCTTCTTTGCAAAACAAATTAAATTCAAACCTTTATCTGGTTATTTCACACCACTCATTTTTCTTCGAAATACCGGCCGATGAAGTGTTCGCGGTATCAGAACTTTAAGGATGCGCGCGCATGGATTAACCCCCTTGTATGTAATATACTCTTTTCTTGAACGCGGACAGGAACAGAAGATGTTTAAACAATTTTTTTGAACCTGTTTGTGTATTAAATTATATGACTAACATACCCTCGTACGATTTTCCGAGACGCGATCAAATGAGTGTTAAAACGTGACATTGTACAAAATAAGTCATAAAGCGTTAGCCAACGTTACCTATGTAAAATAAACGCCCTCTATAAATAACATATTACTGTAGCCTCGTTTCAAATCTTCAATGATGATTATGCCTTACATTCTCATAAGCATTTATACGCGTTATAAAATTATGCAAAACGCGAAAACAGAAGCTTCACTCTCTTCAAACGTGTCTTTCAAGTATTCATTTTTTAAGTACTAAGTTTTGTTATGTCCAGTTTTAGATGTGACGAAGAAATGTAACTGTAACTGACAAGCGAAAAGAAAACAAAGTTGTCGTCTAGATTAATAAGTCACCAAAATAAACCATGAATTTGTGAATTTATTATGAATATAAATCTTCTTTTATTTCACGAATATCATTTCACAGAGTTTTCATTGTTTTATCCGTCTTGCTTTAATTGTAGATAGAAATTTATAGCAACTAAAGAAATTAATTAAAATATTATGATACAATTTAGCAGGCAAATTAAAAAAAAATGTTGTTTATACAATGTGTAATTTTCATAATTCAATCATAGGCTAAATAAATAGGGCGGTAAATTAGAATTCAAATAAGACATGCATGCACACGTTATTGGTTATTGTAAAATACTACTTGGTTTTGAACTTTTATTTAACTCAATGGCCTAGCAAGGATGTCATTGAGCATTTTCTTATTGGTTACAGAAAGTGCTGTGTGCGAACTGTTTTAGTAAAACCCATGGCTTCCAAAGCATTAATTATATTGAACCATAACGAAATTTCATGATGTCAGAAATGCCATTCTGGATCACTCTCGTTTACAGCTGTCAGTTCGTATTGTGCATATTATGCACGTATTTTATACATTAATTTAATCCACATAGAAACAAACGAACTATTGTAACACGTTTTTCCACGGAATGACCCTATCACATTTACACGTAAACTGTATTGAAAATATACTACATGTTTATCATATTAAAGCTGTATGCCTCCACATGAGCGAAAATTTATTTACTGGACAAAATTTTACTTTAAAAAATGCCATCAATCTGCATGCTGCTTTAATTTCATATCGCATTTGATAGAGTTAGATTAATGTAAGCAATTTTGTTATCATCATGGTACTTATCAAGTTCCGTCCTTACAAGAAACACACATCTAGATTCATGCCATTTCTTAGAAAAATGATTCAAATTAAACATCAAATTCAAGTGTACAAATAAATACGAGTACATAAAGATATGAAAGCCTTAAGCGTATACAATCCACATAAATCCACTTCTTGAAATGCATGAAAAGACAAAAATTGCTCCAGAAGTATCGGAGTGACAATAAAGTATCCTTATAAAGATATATCATTCAAACTTAATCAGTATTAAACATGTTACGCTATACAAAGAAAAGTTACATTAGTCAATTTCCCTCTTTTTAATCTTTATTCCAATTTTCAAGTTTATACATCCCTCTTTTTTAAAGTAGTTTTCACAATTTTGATTTATTTTTTACGCTGAATTTAGTTATCTGGAATCGCAAAGTGTTAAGAAGTTAAAAAGGAAGTAAGATTTTACTTACGAGACGCGACTTGGTGTATGCATAGTAAGCAACTCGAAATGAAAACCTGCACAAGTACCATTAATAAGCGTCTACACTCCATGATCGCAATTGTCAAATCTAGCAGTTATGAGTCGGATTAATTTCTTTTATACGGTCCGTTTATTATGATGACAGACACAACTGTCTTTTGTTTGCCAGTTTTCGTGTAGATATGACACGATGTCGCATAAAAGTTTCATTTAAACATAACTGTGATGAATTTTAATATTATTTTCTCAGTAGTGTGTGTCATTTATTTCGTGAAATTTGCATGTTGATCGTGAATCTAAATGCGCATTCTAAGATTTCCTTCATAATGTATCTAAATATATAATAATGATAACGAATAGAAATATATCTTAATGACTTATGATTCATTAAGAAATGTCAGACAGTCATGCAGAAAATCAAACAAACAAATTGAACAATATCACCGAGTTGCTACATTCTGGACATGCTTTTTAATATAAATTGTCATTTAATACACGGGAAATCGAGCTTTTATAAAATATTTCGGACAATATCAGGTTAGTGTAACATTGACATTGACAAAATGAAAAGCAGAAAGAATGAGTAAAATACTTAAAAAAAAAAAAAAAAAAAAAAAAACGATAAAAATTTATAAAGTAAAATATGTTGTCAATTGTTTTAAATTGGAATTAGCCTATAGCAATTTAATGTACATGTACGAGTACATACAAGATGCAACATAGTGTTATCTCTGCTTCGATTCGCAAAAATATATGATGAATATTTAAAAAGGCAAGAAAGGAAGGACTATTAATTTTACTGTTAATAATTTCTTCTTAATGAATCTTGCTATGGTGAAGAAGACTACATACTGATTTAAAATGCAGAGGTTATAGAACAATATATTAATGGTTAGATATTGTATATTTTGATCGGAATATTTCTACATTTTCTTATTACTTGCTTAGTATGTTTAATTTAGAATTTATGAACTTCTGAGTGACACAGAGATGACCGGGACTGGATGAATTTGCGTTACCGTTCATCAAAGTTTTGTCTGTCGTCCGGCACTAGTCGTCTATGGTTAAAATCATTGATAATTTCTTAATTGTAACATAAAAAAAGAAAATACCCCTTACATCAAGAAATTTGTGTAGTTTGTCATCCATCAAAAAGAATATCATGTTTAATGAAAGTATTAATGTTGGGGTGAAATTATAACTTTACAAGTTTGCATGAAAAATATTCTGCCTATTACTTACTGTAAGTATTATATTTTAATTGTTTCATAAAATTGTTAGGTTAAGAATGACATAAATAATTAAAATGCAAACAGACGCAAAAAAACAACAAGGAAATGAAAGTAAGTTTTACAGATAAAGTATTTGCCCCTGATGTCCCTTATCAAAAATATTTGGTTGCAGTAAATAGCTTGGCTCATTCCATATTGATAAAACTGTTTCTAGAAATAATGAAAACGCTCCGATGTAAGTAAAACTATTTTGGTCGAATATTGAAAAACACATTTATTCACTTATATTGAATGACGCTGATTAGAATAGAAAGGTCGTTCTACAAATAGGTAGAAACTAAATAAAGTACAACGTTTAAGAATCATCTTGCAGTAGCCTAAACCTAAATCAATTGTATAATAAAAGGACGCGTGCAAAGTGATCAATCTAGAATGTTGCCGGTGAAAGCCATTTTGCATCTCTGGTAAATACGAGTCACTGTTGTACAGCGTCCACCGGATATAGCCCCTAAAAACACCAAAAACGAAAGTAGAAAGCTGCACAACGAGTACACAGTTTTAGAGCAATATTTGCTTTTGTCTGCACATTGACTACTTTTTGTTAACTTTGCGAAAAAGTGTAGCGTATTTGTTGACAGGTGCGAACGATGTTGATATTTACCACTAAATCAAACCCAAAACGCATTTGCTGTATCAAAATTCGCCGTTTAACACAAATTATAGTCATCCCTCTACTTATATTTGAGTTTACACCCTTCAACTCGAGCTGCTTTTAACAAAATTCGCAAAAATCTGCCTTGCCTTGTGTACAGAGTCTAGCAAAGAAAACAAAAAGTGAACGGAGTGTAGTAGTTTAATATACAGGGTCTAGTAGATGTGAACGGTGTCTAGCAGTCACATATTTATAAAGTATAGTCTTTCTTTTTATTTTAATTGGAAATAATCTCATATCAGACTAAACATGGATAGGTTAGAGGACGATACAGAGGTATTTGGTAAATAATTTATGTTTTTAGTGTTTTTGAGCCTAACAGTATAGCTGCGTTTAATTCTTTTATTGTCATACCATCACAACCATCAGCTGATAGTGTCTGTCGGTATTTATAAGACATGTTGAGGAGTCTTCTAAACCAACTCGCTGAATGGAGATGGTCCGAATGGGGATATATTTATATATACATGTATAACTAACCTACACATAAGGTAGGAGGTCGAAAATTGATTAAAAGATTATGCAGGACTGTCATTTTCTACAAAACGGCATTGGCACTGTCTTCTATAAAACAGTTTTAGCCGCCTTATATAAGCTATTAGTCGGCTTAGAAGATGCCGAATAGACTCTTTAAATTTTCATATCTCTCTGCACACTCTGTACATTGGTATAGCAATGTTGAAATGAAAACATAAAATACCATCATTATCATCATCGTCATCATCATCATTGAAGAGTCATCATAATCTTTTTCAGAAAAAAAAACAGCAGCATATAAGCGGCAGCATTGTATTTATTAAACAGAATATCGAAATCACAAGTGAGGTCACCCGAGTTTGACTGCAAAAAAATATGAAGGACTTTATAGCCAGTAATGTAGTATTTCCACAAAGATAAATCTAATGATTAAGCGGATATTTTACCAAAGCTAATTAACAAATGTTTGTTTTTCAATGAAGTCTTAAGACCGGTGACATAATAAACAAATATAACATGTTTAGATCAAGTTTAGTTCACAATGCATAACACGAACATGGTTTGAAATTGTTTAAGACAAATTATAGAATTTTCTTCATAATGTTCTACTAAATATGGAATGAAATTGTGGTCTTTTGAGTTTTACATTTACCCTATTAACTTATAGTCACGCATAAAAAGTGGTATAGCAGGACGGAAACTGTTTACTGCAATTAATATACATGTTGAGTAACATGTTGACAATTTAATTAAACATTTTTATCCTTAATAAAATTAAAATCATTCACTTCACAATCCCTGATCCCGACATAAATCGTTTTCTTCATCAGTGCACGTGTATATGCTCTGGTATTGAATATATTTTGCAGAAAATGACATTCGTTTACCTACTACACCCCGTACAATCGCTATCAGTTTTCCATCTACACCCCGTACACATCCGTGCTAGACTCTGTACACAAGGCAATGCAGTTTTTCGCAAATTTTGTTAAAAGCAGCTCGAGTTGAAGGGTGAAAACTCAAATATAAGTAGAGGGATGACTATAGTTTGTATTAACGGCGGAATTTGATACAGCAAATGCGTTTTGTGCTTGATTTAGTGGTAAATATCAACATCGTTCGCAAATGTCGACAAATACGCTACATTTTATCACCAATTTAACAAAAAGTATTTGATTTGCAGGCAAAAGCAAACACTGCTCTAAAACTAGACATATTTAGCTTCACGATATTGTTTAGTTTGGAAAAATCGATGAAGTTATGATGAAGAAAGAAGTTAAAACATAACCTTGGGTGTACTCGTTGTGCAGCTTTCTACTTTCGTTTTCGGTGTTTTTAGGGGCTATATCCGGTGGAAGCTGTACAACAGTGATTTTGTCAAAATATCATGTTTAATCGAAATCTCATTTTGTGTTTAAAAAGAAAGTTATTATTATTATTTTCCTTACATTACGGGCGAAATTGAGGGGTAACCCCATTTATCTATCTCGTCAATAGCGTGATAGTGGTCGATTAGCAGCCGCTTGATACTTAGATGCTTTTGTTGTTTTTGTAAGTCAGTACAAACATTGTTAACATGATAGAATATATTTGGAGAAGTTAAAAAAACATGTAGAAATAATCATATACAGATTTCTACGTTTTAATGATCTTTAGCTGAGATACATTTACTTGACTGTCAGTGAAAGGTGACAAGGTTGAAAAGCGATTTTACTTAAATAAGTAAATACGGAAATCTGAATTGGATTATGTCCATTCTTTTAGACTACAAATAGTGCTACAAATTACATTTTTTTTTTTGAAATTCTTTTACAGTACTTTCTCCCCTTTTAGTCATTGACTGATGGATGTTATTGATGCTATAGCGTTGATCATTTTGTTTATAATCAATTAGTATTTTTTTCTCAAATTATTCAACGGAGCCAAAACGTGCATCAAACTTAAACTGAGAAACAATGAAAATAAAATCAGGATCACTTGATCCTGATCCTGATCTATTCTAAGTGAACACAGGGCGTATTTCTTGCAAAATCACATTCTGTTATACTAACATATCGGACAGAAACTAGGGTTTAGTTGTACAATGTTCGAACAAAAAACATTTTATTCATACCGAAATTTCTACTTTCTTTTTTGTATGAATAACGGGTTTCCCGCAAAAAAATTCTTGCAGGGGATCCCTTAAACCCCACTCATTTTATTACGGGAAATTTTTAGTTGAATGTTGGAATTACCAATTAAAGAAGGACAAGGGGACCGGGATACAAGGGGACTTTTAAAATTCTATTTCAATAAAAAAACCTGGCACATTAAAGTTTGGTCTCAGGGGAAATATTAATTTTCTTCCGATAATGAGGGAATAAACTATCCTTAAAAAAGAAATTAGTTATAATATCACGGTTGAGAAAAATGTACATCGGGCCGGCCCCTTCAACCCGGGACCTCAAAAAACCCAACATGTCCTTACCGTTTTGCAAAATCGGGCCGCTAACGCTATTCCCCTAAATAACGTTCAATACCGTACAAATTTTTTTCAGAGAAATTTATTTCAAAATTTTGGAATGAGTTTTTTCAACCCCTTTTTTAACCCCATTTACACTATGTTTAAGTTTGCCTTTTTGATCGGGGGGTCTATTCATGTATAAAAAAAATTAAATTGAACAACTCTCCTGTAGACGAGTTGATGAATTCAAAAAAATAGAATATTCCACTTTAAAATTTTTTTTGGTAACCAAATTTTTAATTGTTTTGTAAAAACCTACCTTTCCTGGGGCCTTAGTCAATTTAGAAAACATTTAATTGCAAATGCAGGTCTTTTTTCTATAGTCATGGTCTTTTAAAGCATCTACATATACATGAAGTGTAGGTGTGCTTGATTTTAAAAGAAAATCTGTACTTATAAAATTAAAAATATAGGGACCCTTTGCAGTTGGAAAGTCGCCATATGACCAAAAGGAAAGAATAAATTGTTCCGATAGCATCCGAGTTTTAAAAGCGCTCTAACATTTAGTTAATAAATCTATACTGAAACACAGGCAGGAAGTCAGACGTTATTGTTTATTGAAAGAACAGTACTTAATAATAATACCGAACAAGAATGTATTAAAACCCCAAATGATCAAAATTAAAATTTTAATTATGGGTTAAAACCGGTTTTATTTCATCAACTTTTTTAACTTATACAATGTAATAAATAATTATGTTTTTGAAATGTCGATTTTTTCAGATCCTTAATCATCAAAGCCATTGGTCTTCCGATTCGATTTGTTTTTTAATCGTCTGCTGCATTGCAGATTTCTTGCTTCCGTCTCAATCTCTCCCCTTAACAGTAAAGTCTGCTAAGGGAGGTAATCAAATGTTTCAAAATGTCTGATCTGGTGCTTGAGTTGCCGTTCGCTGCTTACACGTTTCCTTTTCTTTTAATAAGATGTTCTTATTATAAAACTAAAATTATCTTTGATGATGATTTGGTGCAGACGTAACTTCATACAATTATGTTGGCTTATTTGTGCCATGCTGCAATTTTGCTCCACCAGGCGCCAGACAAAACAACAACAAAATAAAACAAAAAAAAACAAAAACAACAACAACAAAAAAAAACAACATGAAAATGAATATGAAAATACGAGACAGTGTCCACTCGAGGCGCCAGGCGTAATTGCGTGCTTTCGCCCCTTGCTTCGTGGGACGCCAGATGAAATCATGAAAAATACGACAAATTAGAGTGATTACTTTATCGTATTTTCGCCTTTTCGTTTTCGTAATTGTTTTTGTCTCTCCGTCCCGGCAGAGCGAAAATACGATATGACGCAAATCAACCACAATGCATAAACGTATTCAAACATTTCGTAACAATATGCAGGTTATTTGACGTGCCTTTAATAATGAGAATTTAAAGATATTGGAGAAGATGTTTGGAATCTGACTTGATATGATATAAGATAAAATGTAGATTATATATGAGATATTTTATGTACTGACGTTAAAAAGGAAGTGTCTAAAAAATTCGTAACGGACTTTTTGGACAACCCTCGTGTCATTATATATATTTCTGTATCTGTCTATTATGCTATGCATATTTTTGTTTAAATCTTATATTGAAACAATTGCAATAAGTATGCTTATTAAACTATAGACGGGAATTAGTGTGTGTCCGTATACAATACAAGGACTGCCGCTTGTAGGTTTAGACTGCTTTGTTGTGTCTATCCAACTGTTAACGATTCTCTCTAGCACACTCATAGGCATCCCTCCATTTGCCAGTATTTGGTAATGAAATTCTTTAAGGTCGAATTTGTCTCCTGGAATCGTAAGACAAAATTCAAAATCATGATAAAAAGGCGACATTTAAATTCATTTAAAAAGAATGCGTCCATTTGATATTGAAGTAAAATCATTTGAGAAAAAAAATGCTTGAATGTTTCATTTCTAAACATTACTGCGTAAGACTTACCTAATTCTTTTTCAGCTTTCTGTCTAAGCTCTTTTATTTTTATCTCACCGAGTTTGTAAGCACACGCTTGACCTGGCCATGTTATGTAACGATCAATTTCATTGGCTGCACTCCCATCAGCCAATGCGGTATGATTTTGAAGATATAGAATAGCTTCTTCTCGAGACCATCTATAATAAAAATCAATAATAATAAAATTTTCTAATATTTCAATAAAAACGAAAGCAAGATAAACGGATTAAGAATAAGTATGTAAGAACTACAACTATTAGTTTAGAAGAAAAATAAACAATTCAATTAAAGCAAACAATTCAAAAATGGTTCAAAACAAAAGACCATAGTACAGCTGGGTGAGGCTAGTTGTATGCGTTAAGTATGAAGAATGTATAAATACCTGTGCTCCATATATATCACAAGCAAAGAAATCAAAATTCTGACAGAATATCATTGCCAAACGTGCTTCAAGAATGAGTGTGATAATTTAACGGGAGATAAACATTATGTAGAAGAAATAAAAACTTCAATGACAAACCTCAATAAGCGCCTTTCAACAACGGGCGAGAACCGCAAATTTTAAAATAACGACCACCAAAAAAAACTTTTTTATTAATAATTTTTAAGCATTTTGATTTTTTTCCATTTAAAAACTGACCTAAAATACAATCCGAAATTTATGCATAGTTTATTTTTTTATAATGATGTATTTTAATTTTAAAAATTTTTAAGATCGAATAAGACAGCTGTTTAAATCTAAAATTAGCTTATTTTTTTAAAATAATTTTTGCACATCGATTCAAAAAATCTGAATTTTCATTAACACAGATTGAAAATTTAATTTTTTAAAACAATCCCATTTTTTTCCAACGAACCGTTTGCTAAAAGTAAATTTTTCTTAAATTTGAATTTTTATCTTATCTACTTAAATAAATAAAGATGGTCATAAAATACTAATACTTCAGGTAATGCTGCTCTTGTGTAAATACAGTAAAACTTTCACCTATTTGTATCTTATTGATGGCAACATCGAAAGATACTGGTAGATGTATATCAGTTACTTGTGTCTTTTTCAGTTGAGTTTTCAGTCGCAATATATGTCATATGGCGACATTCCAGCTTTACTTGTGGAGCAAGACCTCAGATGCTCTTCCGTGTATTATTTAAGGCACGAAACTGAGTAGAACCTTCGACATTCCGTAAGGTCGTGCCCCTTTACAGATTGCATAATTGTACAAATAATACAATATTAAAAAGTTTACATTTCGTATCCGTCTTTGTACATTCCCATCTCTTCACCAAGATACTCTGAATAAAGTCCCCATCCCTGAAATGTACGATAGTCATTATGTTATTATGGACCAATGCCTGTGGTTCGCAGAAATCTGGTGAAGTTGTTATTTGCCTTATTCATAGTCTTAGTTTGAACTACGTATTTAGATATTTCAGTGTAAATCGACAGTCTTAGATGAGTTATCTAACATGAGATGGCTTACCTAGGAAAATATAACAGATTGAAGCGCCTTTTATTTTAAAAATTCATATGCCACATTGCTCCTAACAATTATTTAGTTTTCATCTATTTGACAAAAAGTGCATAGAAATCACAGGTCCGTAGATGTTTTAATTGATAATTATCGATCGCGATATAAAAGTTGTTTACAAGTGCAACTAACATTTTCAATGTTAAGAACTCCACTGTAAATTTTACAAATAAACGTGACACGCAAAGTTTCTTTCAGATTTTTACGCTCCATATACGCGGAGTAGATCGGGAACCAGTTTGGAAGTCTGACGAAGACAAAATAGGACTTTTTTTCTAAAATCTGGAAGATTGCTCTCAAGGGAAAAACTGTTCTGAAAGGCATTCATTTACATGTTAATTTATTTTAGTAATGTACATCATATTCGATATTTAATAATTATGGAATCGTTGATATTTCTTTATTCAAACACTAAATTCCACTTTTAAACGATTAATGTTTATAAAACTAGTACAACTGTTTATTTAAAAAAAATATTTCAATGAAAAGATTGTTAATACAATCAGCGTTATCAAATATATTATGAGGATGATATTTTACAACGCCACAAACAATTTTTGGATAAGTGTTCAATGATCAATATCAGTACTAAAATTTATGAAAGTGCCTAAGATATACGTTTATATAACAGACACAGTTAGATAAAAAATTAGTTAAATATATTTTATGTTGATTTCTTTTGTTAATAAGGTCATGTTAAGATTAAATTCACACGAGGGGTATGATGGTACGCTACCTGTAAGTGATGCCCAGGATTTGCTTCGTGCAAAGACAATACCATTGTTTCAAACAAAGGTCTTACATGCAAAATAAAGCAAAACAAAATAAAATAATGGAAATAAACGACAATTGGTTCGGTAAATAAAAGAACAAATTAATGAATAATGAATTTCAAAGATTATCGAGTTCTAATAATCTAATGTCATTTTGTGAGAAAGAAGACATTTATTTGATTGAAAGAAAATTCAGTATTTAAAATAATATTTTTAGAACAAAAATTTTATTATTTTTGGACTGTTTTAATATGGTAAAAATTGGGAAAATGTCTTACCGAGATTTCATGCATCAAAAAAAGCGATCAAATTTTTTATAAAGTACGAAAAGCTTCAAATCATCGATTTTGCATTGCTTTTTTCTATTTTATTTTTAATTTATTTTTTATCCCACCCCCCACCTTCAGTTTTTAACTGGGATCTTTTTTCATTTTTTTTTGTAAGGAAGAAACTCATTTCGTTGGAAATACATTCTGTGTTATTACCCTTCACTTTTTTCGTAATGCTAATTTCCCATAGGCCTCTGGGAGTTTTTTTTCTGTTAAATGCAAATGTACCACGTGGCTAAGAATTTTGTACTGTTACATAGGTAACAGTATTTTTTAACAGTGTAAAATCTAGTCACGTGGTCTATTTTCTAAATAAAATGAAATAAAATGGCCGCCATTTTTTCTCGATTCATTCTTATTTTCAAAGTTAAACCCCGATAAGACACCAATTTCTTCTCTGGAGTCACTATGACACTCATAAAATTTAGTTGTTTGCAACCTGGTGTGCTTTTCGCGTATAAAATATCTTTTTGTTGAATAGTCATAAAGTGAACATCCGTTTTCAACGGACGTAATTGCAATGTAAATAATTATGTGTCAAACTGGAACATGCAGACGATTTAAGCATGCATCAAAGGATTATTTTACAATTTTAATCAGTGAAACGTTACAGATATGGTGGACAGACATAGGATATCATCGTTATTTTGTCAAAAACCATTCTAAGAATATTCTGGAAACAGAAGGATCAGATTTCACAGATCATAACCGTGTAAATGGGTTAGTGTTTTGTTTCCTAAATAAAACCTAGCTTATTGTATGTTTATGATTTGTAGATATCATCACTTGCTTAAAGAATAAAAGAAAAAGAAAACTTCTAAAGTAGTCCTTAAGTACACTTAAAACTTAAAAGGTAAGGACAGTTTAGTTATTGTTACTCTTGGTTTATTTTTGTTACAGTTAGATTTAGTTGACAATTTCACATCATCACAGTATTTTTGTTCGGGGTAATAAAATAAATAACACATGGGTTTGTGAGTAACAGTAAAAAAACTCTCGTAAAAATACTGTTACCCTCGGCTACGCCTCGGGTAACAGTATTTTACTCGGGATGATATTTTTACTGTTATCCACAAACCCATGTGTATATTTATATAATATGTTTAACAAGTGATGCTTTCATTCAAGTATGGAGTGAGAAGAGGCAAAGTTCATTTCATGATTTATGTTTGAATTTATTCCTGTAATTTTCAATATGATAAAAGCAATGCCATTGGCCAATCCTAATTAAGTCTCGTTGTTAATTATGCTTAATAGCTTTTAAAGAGAATAAATAATTTATTGTCGTTTGAGCAAGCGAATTAGATAATAAGTGATAAAATGTTCATGATAATTAATACAGTCTAACAGTATCAGTGATATACTTACACTTCCAGAGGTCTAAACAAGTTGATATGAAATACTCCAGGAGAAGTTTCTGATGCTAACGAATAACCACCACCCAGTCCATCATACGACGCTGCTTTTATGCTAAAATTTAACAGACTCCATTAACAGTTCAGTTCAAACCTACAATTATATTAACGTTATGCTTAAATACGCGTAGTCCTGACATTTTTGAGACTTTTACAAATTTTCATCCCTCCCTAAAGGGGTAAATCATTCTTTATCAATACACTTATTTACCAGTTAAAATATCATTAACAAACTATCTCATGATGAAATTTGTATTTAAATCGGTATGGAAAAAAAACTCGTACTTTAAAGGAATATCTGGAATATCTCTAAAATAGTTTTCTAGAGCCGGATTTATTCTTTTGAACACATTATCATTGTATGCTTTCAAGATTTTGGCCTGAAATAAGAGATAAAAATCGCACAAATATTATAGAAAACATGCCTGGCAATGATAAGGAAAGAAACATGTCATATCTATTGTTTTTTTACTTTTTGCCAAGCAAATCGCATTTAGTTAGTTTAATATACTTAAAATATAATGACATATCTCGTCGTACGCAATAACTCTAAAATAAAATTCCAAATATTATATTTATTAAGGTAAAGCACTTAGCCATAGCCCTAAAATCACAAATTACTTTGTTCATCATAAGCCTATATTTGTATACAATATATTTGAAGAATAACATACTAGCAGCATGATGCAGATATACATTTTTTATTGTATGTCAGTTCATTCTCTTAGATATTCATTAGTGTAGGGCGTTATAATCAGTTATATAAACCTACATTCTTTAAAGTTAACCATTATTCACCCATTCCAATGAATGACAATGTGTTAGGCATATATGAAGAATGGACTTTTAATGATTGATTACCTAACGGTTCGGATATAATAAATATATAAAATCAATTGATGTGGTGTTTTTTTCCCAAGCTTATATGCCGATAAAAACAAACTTTTACTGTTATAGTGTCACTGTGCCCTACCGGTCACAATAGATTAGCCAACCCGTTACTCTTATTTTCGTTGCTGTAGTTGTAAGAGTTGTTTCAACCCCGGATTAGCCAGGACAACACATATATTCAAAACTTCGGAGTAAATCTATTGTAAGAATAAAATCATACCGTGTCGTTTGTGTAAAACCTTGAATCATCTTCCAAACTCGCAAAGAAAGCTGCGACAGTTCCTTCAAAGCCAAGACTACTCATAATCTTAATAAAATGAGTAATTATATTAATCTTGAGAACTTAAATCTTTTATATTTGTTTCGGAATAATAACTGTTTTTTTTGTATCATATACGTACTGAAATATGAAATCGTGCATTTGCTTTATAAAGAACCTTCTTTTCGATATATAATTTTTTTCCGATTTAGACAATATTTATTAGCCTTTTGCTAACTGAGGTTGTCATCACAATATCTTGAATTATTTTATCTGGCTCAGATTTCCATTGATTTCAATGTTTTTATTGTTAAGAATTATGAATATAATAATGTAAAGAAATCAATTTTCATACATACGATATCAATTCAAATCAGTGAATTTCTGTCTTGGGATTTTCAAGGCTCTCTAGTAATGTTCCTATTAAAATAAGACATTGCTTCAAAGCCGATACAATATCAAAAGCTCTATCAAAATTTCATTCATTACCTTCTGCATTTCCTTTGTTATACGATCCACTTCCTGCAGACCAACATCATGGACATCTGCTGGTGTCATGTCAAAAGATAGATGCCATTTTAAACAAGCTTTGTAGTATTCGTTTGAAGGATCCCATGCATAAACACCGTATTCCTTTCGGGTATTTGGCATGTATTCCTGTAAGAAAACAATAATTTTGTATAATGTTTATAGATCTATTGTCTTTAAAGTAAAAGATGAACATATAAATGTCATTTGTTTATTGATTTCCAGGAATTGCTATCGGGATATCATATCATTATATTCCTCTATATAATTGTCTATGATAATATATACTGCACAAAGTCGACCCGAAAAAAATCCGTATTATAAACGAATGTAGTCCGGACTGACATCCCTGAAGAGTAATAAGTTTACGTTATGGTTAAGTATATAGATATTGTGGTACGAGATTTATAAATATTAAAATATTCTTATCACAAGTATTCTTGATTTTCAACTTGCGTTTGTCTCTCATTTAATTTACAGTAACCGTTCACGCTTTTCAATTAAGCCGCTCGAAGTATTGAACCTTATCAGAATTTTTCAAATGAGGCCTCTTAACGGGGGGTTTCAACATTTTGTGTCAAAGATGTAATTACATTGACAATGAAGTGCTTGAGATCTCTAAAGGCATTCATATAAGCTAACACTGCCTCCTTTCCTCTGTTCCTTATATATGCTCTGAAATTATTAAACATAATAGTAACACTATACGGTTAATACATACGATAAGGTAATTTATCTGAAAATTGTTGGCAGTTATACATGAAGCAAGGCAAAACAAGTATTTTGTAACATCGGCCGTTTTCTTTCTTAATATGTTAAATTTATTACTTAATCTCTGACAAAACTGAACAAAACGGAAAAAGTTGATTTAAAGGCGATCTTTACTAAAACGTTTATCCATGTTCCATTGCACGACGACCTTTTAAAGAAAAGAATAATATCATTATAATGTGTTGTTTTTTTGTAAAAAGAAAAACGTTCTACCGATCAGAGTCATTTGTAATGTGTGAATTGTCTAGAAAGTCTCCAAATGGACTATAATAGGATGAACTTTCAGGTCGGTCGAAAATCTTTTGGTCAATTTGCTCTGGAACTTTAGTCTGAAATGAAGTAAGATGGTGTACTTACTTGCAACATGCAACAAATAATGTTTCTGTATAACTATTTTGTATACATACTGACAGAGGCAAGTTTAGATCAGACCAAAACTAAATATGAGGCTCGTACAGAGTTACGTAACATTGACAAACATTTAAACATGTATATAATGTTAAAAATTATGTGCTTTCACAATGACATTGTTATTGGACAGAATACTGACATATTAACATGAGAGGCAGATTCATCATCGCCGAGCTGGAGAGCCAATCAAAATTCTCCAATCTCATAATAGCCGAGTTTTCTCATAAAGGCCGTACTTTTGCATAATGGCATTGATTAATGTTCATAATGTCGTAGTGAACTTCACATTAGTCTTACATTTGAAGTGAAAACGTGTCTAATATTGAAAAGTAGATTAATAATATCATAAATTATAAAAATTAAGCCATAGTAATACATAAGGTATGCTTCTTCATTACAAATATCAGTCATTGATGAATCTATATTCATAAGAAAAAAGACGATGATTGTATAACCGTGTGATGATATTATAAAAGGTAAAAGAAGAAAATGAATCTAGGAAAATTCAAACATAATTCAGTAAGCTTGTTAACAATGAAAAAAAAATGTAATTAATAGGAGGACCAATGTATATTTGAAATGATTACCATCGACACCTGGTGCAATGTTCTGTTCAATGAAATTGCGCGACGACCAAGACTTTTAATTCCATCAACCTGTGGACAAAAAGTACAAAAAATCGAGTTTAAGACCCAATCAAGGTCTGTTATGATTGTTTTCAAACTATGTACTAATTCATTTCAAATATTTGGTGGGAATAATTAAAAATAAAGAATAAAGACAAACTAAGACCAATGAATATAAAATGATTATAATGTCATCAATTGAGTATTTCTCTGACATCGGCAATGATTATATCCACGAGTACATACAAGGCTACGGTCGGCAGCCATGACTAAAATATTAACTTTCGGTGTTCACGAGGTGAAATATATTCAGATATTACACTAAACTAATTATCTTTTTTTTTTCTTTGCAAAGAAACGTTTATCAAGACATTTTAATCTAAATAAAATACTAAATGAAAAGTGCGCCAAATAAAAATACAACATGACGCCATTCACAACGTTACGCCATTTAGTTGGTTTCCAGTTCTTTGAACGCTGGTATTTCACTGAAACAACGTAACGAGCTTAAATGCTCAACAGTGAAATATCAGGTTTTATATATTTTTTACTGAATATTTTTTATTATTCACCGAAAATACATGTAATAAATCTGGGTCATTATCCTACAAGAATCGATGCTATAATAATACCTGCTTTTGTACAGCATATAGTCTCGCGATGTAGTTTTCAAAGTCCCCACGTGTTGCACTAGGGGCGAAAGTAGGTCCACGGAAAATTTGAATGCCAGAAATAAAGCTTATAGGACTTAAGGCACCATATCTGTAGCCATCATTGAAATATATTATAAACAAACTAAAACACATAATAACATTAAGCATTTTAGTAAGAATTACCAGTCTTATCCAGATTACTGACAAAAATACTCATTTTCAAATGAATTGCGAAAAGGAATATGGTTGATAATGTTTTCATATTTTCGTTCTTTTTAAATACTCTGAAATACATAATTATGGTCTTTTAAGACTTTAAATCTGGCTACTTAAAAAGATCGATCGCTTTTCTTTAAGTGCATACTTTGTGGTGCAATAAATCAATTTATTTTTGTCGGTGAAATAAAACAATGATACTTGAATATTTTGTTAAAAATGACAATGCTGTGTATGCAGTGTAATACAATTTAGAACCGTCATTTGACTTTATTTAAAGGAGTAAGTCGATATGTACAAATTAATCAGGCCTTAACAATATGGTATCCGTGCCCGTTGAATTGAAACCACAGTCCTGATTTCCCATCATCGATGTATTTGTGATTTGTGAATTTCTAGAGGGACTCCGGATTCGTTAATGCGAGGAAGCCTTCAAAGTAGCTTACGAAACGTAGAAAATGTTGTCGAATGTTGGTTTGATTTTAAATTTAAAAAAAAGACTTAGAAAACTGTGTTTTCCAGACGACCCGACCTAACAAAGTGTAATCCTGCTGCCATACAAGTGTATTGCGAAATGTTCTACCATTATGATGACTTTATTTCCTAGTATATAAATGATTCAATTCCATTAAAGTGGATTGGTCTGCAAGGAGTACATTTACATAAGGATTTCAAAATATTGATAAAAACAATAGAACTATGTCATATGGATACTCTTAATCTTAAATATGTGCAGAATATCTTGATAGAGCTCTAAGTGATAAAGTATGAACAATTACATGCATTTTATATTTACCAATTTACCAAAACATGCATATATATAATCATTTCTTGATTTGTTGTAACTGTCACGTTTGTTACATAATACTTAAAACCTGATTATTTATGGCATCAAAGATCTTCACTTATGGACCAATTCCCTTTAAAGGCCTGTTATGTCCGAGGAACGTGTTATTTTTATTTATCAAAAGCTTTCTATTTTGGTATTCTTCAATAGTTTCAAGAAAGTAGCTTATTGGCCAGTTACCTGAAGCATCTTTGGCGTCTGTTGCTTTTTAGAAATAACAATAGTTAATAACAATAGTTATAGTGATTAAGCGTTTTGCATGGCAGTCAAAACTCAATTTTGTTTACATTTTTCTACTTTTATGACAATTATTTTCATATTTATCGCTATTTCTTCATGTTACAAGCATATAAGGTGTTCTAAAACAATTATTTATACGATATAATTATAGAATTCAGGTTAATAAGTAAAAATATATCGTTTCTGAGGCATGATGTGCCTTTAACTATCATAATTATGGGAAGCGTCGACAAATTTTTTATCAAACAGTCTGTAAGTAATAAATAAGCTCATTTTACTCCACTTACTCTGCCCATAAATTTCCTTCGATGAAAGTCTCGAGTGTGTCCTTTAAAATGTCAAAGTTGACCTTTTCATGGATGTCAAGGTCGTCTTGTTCAATTTCATATAGTCGGGCGAGAAAGTCTAGTGTCTTATTCTGAAAGAAATTAAGATGTCACTTTATAATGTTAAAAAATTAAAATATGAGACAGTACGAATGTTTGTTTTATCTACAGTAGATATTTTATCCGATCACATCTTAACCAAACATATTGCGTTTTCCATACTTTATACAGAATTTATTTTACTTCGATTGTGTAGGCAGCTATAAGCTTATAAACACAATTTTGGACCAATCAGTATTTAGTGATAAGTGTAAAGTTTCTTGCTCAAGAAAGCAACGGTTTGTCCCTGACAGGCTTTGAACCCATGTAGCTAGCAATCAGTAGAATAAAAGTTCAACATGTTAACAAATCGGCCATGCCGCCATGTTCATACTTTTGAATGAGACTCAGGTATGGCAGTTTTGTGTTTTATTTGTTTTAATAAACCGCATATCAACGAACCCTTTTTGTGTGGAATTCTTCTAGACTGTATTCCTCCATCAGATTATTATATTTGTACATGCCATCATGGGTCGAAGATGTGGGGTTAATTCTCATCCGCCAGTCCCAGAAATCATTCTGGAGGGATAACAAAGACTCGCCGGCATCAGCTAGAAGTAAGAAATTATTTTCTATAAATTGATTCATATCATATTTGGTCATGTAAATAGAATCGGTATTCTTAATTCCGACAGTGTTTTTGTAATGTTTGTCATATATTATAGAGTTTATAGTATATAAAGCCATATATCTTCTGTTTATTTATTGATTCAACAATTTGTCAGAGATTATTTTGAATTCCGTCTTATGACATTTATTTATTTAGCAGGAATGTGAAGTTCTATCGAGGTTCTCCTAAATACCTGATATAAAGCACGAAGGGGTGGACTTGGACTTTTATACATATGCCACACAAAATTATTTAATCAGTTTTTAGTGAATGGTATCGGAAATATATTGTTTAGGAATAGTTTTAAGAATGCATCAAACATATCGAACTCAATCACACGTCAGCGTCACATTGATTCAATTAAGTTAAACATCATGTCATTTGTAAATGAATAATTTTTCAAATATTTCAAGAAGAAAGAACTGAAAAGTTATTGTTTTTTCACTTTGACAACAATGGTTATTTCCTCTCTAATACCGTGTAGTTTTGTTCGTCTTTGTTGAAAACGTCAACAGACAGCACGAAAAATAGTTAATAAATCAAAATTGTATCGTATAAAAGAGAATAAGAATACATAACATATAATAAATTATTAATACCGTTTTAAATCTAAATGCAATAATTTCTTTGATGTTCTGATTTTATATAATATCAGGTATGAGTAAACATATATAGAGTTAAACATTTGCTACTTAAAAAGGCTTTTGGTTTTAAAAAAAGAACCAGATGAACCAAATTAACAACTCTACGATTCATAAGAAACGTCTTTTTTTGTATGCGTTCTGATGGATTCTGCTTCGCAAACCCGTCACACTTTTGGTTTGCGTCACAAAGTCTTTATCAAATGAGAACAAAGGTCAACAAGGCAAAGGCGACGTTCACAGAACGCAGCCCCGATACAACCTAGCCACAACAGCAGGGTACCCAGAGGACACCGAACCAAAAACGAAGAGAGCACAAGTTTTTGTTATTGTATTTTTTGTTTGTTTATACACTTGAATACTAGTAAGACTTATCAAACATTGTAGGGCTTAAAGTGTTTGAAGCTATATATCTTCTGCAAAAGTCATTGTTATGATTTGAAAAAAGAAGACTTCCAAAAATTTTGTATAAAACAAGTATGGTAGTTAACTGCCTTAAAAGAGAATGGCGTACGCACGAAATAATTGTTCAACGGGTAAGACTCTGCATAAAATAGTAGAATGATGTAACAAACATATTATACGCACCTGTAACTTCAATTTCTGCCATAGAAATAGTCAGACAGAAAACCATTAAAATCACATTATTCCGTATTATATCATCCACACCCATGTTTCACTTATTCTTCTCTTTATGTAGGCTCACAACATCTAATTAAAATCGCAGTTGCCTTTATCTTGTCTATCCACTGTTTTTGTTTTTGTTTTTTTACTTATGCGAGTACTTGCATGCTAAAAATTGAATCAATATATCGCATAATAAAACCAGAAACAGAAAACGATTTCAGATTATTACTTAACATAAATAACAAATTATTCACACAATTTTGTACTTATGCGAGTACTTGCATGCTAAATATTTAATCAATATATCGCATAATAAAACTAGAAACAGAAAACGATTTCAGGTTATTACATATCATTAATCAGTAATTGGTCTCACAAATTATGAAGTTCAATTATTTACACATTGTTAAACTTGCAATTGTTAACCGCGACACAGAACAACACAACTTTCACTTAGATTGCATGCTTTTTTCTGAAATATATGTATAAAACTCTGATGTTACCATATTTCTTGAAAAAATGTACTAGTTAGTCATACAGTATATAAGTTCATATTTTTAAAACTGTACATCACAAGACATTTTATAAACGTTTATTATTTCCATATAAAAAACGTTTATCATTTCCATTATGAGGTTAGGAATGATGTAAAGTAAAACGATATGTTACATATGTAATATGGATATCTCATGAGGCAACATTAAACTCCATCAATGAAAAGGATAAAGTTAAAAAAACAGACGTGTACGTTCGCGATATTTTAACGTTACTCACTCACTCACTCTATGTCTGCTTCACAAACATTGCTAGGAGAAATGACTGCCTTTTTCTCGAAATTTGTAATTTCGATATAAAAACAACTGATAGATATAAATATAGAGGCTTTGTTCACAATAGAGCCTTTTAATTACATGGGAACAATAGCAAAGAATTAATAGTTTATGTGTTTGTATCAATTGTGAAGAAAATATTAGTAATAGAACGAAAATCGAAACACGAGGCTATCTGCATTTTACGATGGGGTGTAGCCCAACAGTATAAATCAGATTGCCGAGTGTGTTGATGCAATTTGTCTTTTATATCATAGACAAAATTAAAAACCACGTTCCCTGTCGTCACAATAGGAAATCCGAGAAAAAGTATCAAATGTATATGACTTTTCTATTTATATGCATTTCCCTGTCGCCCCAAAAACATGATCCAATCAACGAGCATGCTCTATTTAAATTTCCTACATACGATGTGGTAACTGGGGTGTGGGTAACATATACCTTCACTCAAGTTTACGCACTGTGCATGTATTCGTATACGACTTAACTCTGACACATTTTCAAGGGAAATGACTCCAAACTATGGTACAATTATTTTATATCCTCCATTATGTTTTGTTATCCGACACCGTTGAAGTAAAATGTTGTCTGATGATGGAAGAATACCCAATTTGCCTTGGCAGTGTAGTCCTAAATAACTTAATACAGTTCATTAAAGTAGACACAAGGATGGAATTTGAAGATGTTGTTAGTGATATCTCTAAACTGTAAATCTATAACACAAGATTAAAGACACAAAATCCAAACAACGCAATTATGCTCACTCCACGTAGTTAGTGTATAGGTACGAAATACCAATGATGACTTAGTTAAACATATAAAATGTATAAAGCTCTGTACTTGTCCTCAGATGAACTACACATTTCAACACTGCAGTTTATATTAAATGACATATATTAGCATAGGCTATTGAGAAACTTCCAGGATGTGCTTTTTTGTTGCCGATCTCGATCCTTATAGTTTCCTTCTTTGAAAGCACTGAAAATGGTTGGAATATCGTCCCTACTACAATGAATTATTAGAACAAACTCCTATAATGTTTAAATAATCTTTTGCCCTAAAGTTTATTTCTGATCACCATTATCCGGATACGTAAGGCCTCAACAGACGGCAGGATTTAGTTGTACAACAATAATTAGAGATATGATGTAAAATTTTCAAAGCAAAACAACACTTGCATTCAGACCGTAATTCTACATTGTAATATCATCAGGTTTCCCTAAAAAACAGTACCCTCCTAATTGACCCCTCACATACTTTATTCACTAAAGACAACATTTTTATCCATGAGTAATGATTGAAATATCTCCATTTAAAAAAAAGTCTATAATTGTCACAATGCGAGAATAATGTGCAGTCTGACTCGAACCTTGGATCCTCGGAATAGCATACTATAGGTTTTTACTTTTACTGCTCAAACGATCACAGAGTTTAAATTAAATATAGATTAATATATAAATTTTTATTGAAAATGTTTAAATTATACAGTTTAATAATTATGTAAGTGTCACATCGACGTTGTTTGTACCTTTCGGAGGCCAATACATGCAATAAGAGACGTTATATTTTCGATCTTTGAAGATTGTTTAGTTGTGATTTGATTTTGTTGTTGTTTTTTGTTATTTTTCTTATTTTGTGTGTGTGTGTGTGTTTTTTTTTTTTTGGGGGGGGGGGATATTGCATCGGGGGTATTTTAAGTGCTTCCAGTATTGAATTAGCCTTACAACATATTGCCTGTTTATTTAATTGTCTGTTGACGCTTTGTCTATGATTTGCATGCAACATAACATCTGATGCCCTTAAAACATCTATCTTAATAGGTTCGTTTTATAATTTAGAGTACCGCATTGTTTTACTTTGATACCATGGCATGGTCCTAACGTGTCATATTGAATGGGGTTTGTTTACATTAACCGTATGCAGATGTTTATAGGCGATGGCGGCTAACACGAATGTCTTTGAGATATCGAATTATATAAAATAGATTCTTTTAGCGATTTTACGCCTAATTTGTGTTTAAAGCATTTAATCGCTTTTCGTTTTTGGATCAGTTTGTACAATAGAGGTGATTACTCTGGAAGTGCGAAAAATCTGAAATTAAGAACACGAGTTAATTGCGACTACAAAATAAATAATATGAATTATACAGTGTCATTAATTTTAACGAAAAAGTAGTCTGCAAGGCAATTTTTCTATGTATATAATAATGCACGTTTATGACGTTGCTTTTCATCGTTCATATAAACTTTATACATGGCTGCTGTCAATTTATGAGGAAATTTAATAAGCATCGCCCAAAACGACTCGAGTTATGTATATGCAAACAACCGTTTAAATAAGGTCGATTAGCCTGTCCAAAAATATTTACAACTAATAATATATAACTTTTTTACAATTCCTAAAAAAATATGTTGAACGCATTCATCGGGTTTATGGTTCCTCCCAAATTTCAAGACTTGCGTTATAGTTAGTGTATAGTAAGAGCAGATAACTCGACTGTCAGCGTGCATTGCGGCCCCTTAAAAAATCTGTTAATATGTAAATTTTTCTTAAGCGATAATCGTGTCATTCCTTTGTAGTGAAACGCTCTTACTATGAGGTTCAAAATTCAAGTGCAAACGAACTACTTGTATATATTGAAAAAAAAATCATTAAAAATGTATGCATTAATCTATATTTTATTTAAACGCTGTGATCGTTTGTGCATTAAAGGTAAAAACCTACGGGTCTCACAAACTCTCGGGCAAAATATTATTTTTAACGTTATGGATGTTTTTTCTACTAATTCATTGTCGTAGGAAGCATATTCCCATTGTGACCTTTTCAGTGCTTTCAAAGAATAATAATATAAGGATCGAAATCGACAACAAAAAAGCACATCCTGGAAGTTTCTCAATAGCCTATGCTCATATATGTAATTTATATTTTAAGATTGTAGTTCATCTGCGGACCAGTACAACGCTTATGTATATTTATATATGTTTAACTTAGCCATCATTGGTATTTCGTACCTATACACTAACTAAGTGGAGTGAGCATTTTTGCGTTGTTGGGTATTGTGAAATAGTTTTACAGTTAAGACATAACACTAACAATATCTTAAATTGCCATCCTTGCGTCTACTTTAATGAATGGTTTTAAGATTTTTTAGGTTAACCGAGGCAAATTGGCTATTCTTCCAACATCAGTCAATATTTACTTCAACAATGTCGGGTAGCAAAACACAATGGAGGATATAAAGTTTGGAGTCCTTTCTATTGAAAATGTGTCAGAGTTAAAACATACACAGTGCGTGAAAAGGATTGCACGTATATGTTACTCACACCCCAGTTTCTGCACCGTATGTAGGGAACAAAGTAGAGTATCCTCGTTGATTGGATCATGTTTTCTGGGGTTTACTTATTGTGACGACAGGGAAATGCATATACATTTGTAAATAGAAGAGTCATATACATTGGATACTTTTTATTCTTGGGTTTCACATTTTGACAACAGGGAATATTTATCTATTTTTGACTATGATACAAAAGAGAAATAACATATAAACACTCGGCAATCACATTAATACTCGGAGGTTACGACACCCTGCCCCCTCATACAAATCAAATAGCCTCGTGTTTCGTTATAATATCACGACGAATTAACGTACACGTCTGTGTTTTTTTTTAACTTGATCCTTTTGATTGAATGGTGGTGAATTTTGCTTTATAATATATCCATATGTAACATAGTTTTACTTCACATCATTCCGAAGCCTATTTGTTAACAGTTAAATGGTAATGATAAACGTTTATTAAATGTCTTTCGATGTACCATCTTGATTTAAAGAATTGAACTTAAATACTGTTGATTTAACAAATTCATAATTTGTGAGACCAATTACTGATTTATGATATGTAATAATCTGAAATCGCTCTATATCTAGTTTTATTATGCGATATATTGGTTTAATGTTAAGCATGCAAGTACTCGCATAAGCTAAACAAAAAACAGTGGATAGACAAGATTAAGGCAACTGCGATTTTAATTAGATGTTGTGAGCCTGCATAAAGAGAAGAATAAGTGAAACATGGGTGTGGATGATATAACAAGGAATAATGTGATTTTAATGGTTTTCTGTCTGACTATTTCTATTGTAGAAATAGAAGTTTCAGGTGCGTATAATAGTTTTGTTATTGTAAAAAATAACATATACCAATCCGATCCACGGCAAGAGAAAAAAAACAAAGCAACTGATGTAAATTATTTGTTATTTATTAGATTTATGTTAAACTGACGCGTTTCAAAATTCAAAATTTTGCCAATAACATGTTGACATATTGAGAACTACTTATGCCTTTGCTGTTTAATTAATTTGTAAACGATGACATGCGTTGACCACTACAGTTCACGAACCGGGCTTACAGAATATTCAATTTTGTAGTTTAGGGCGTTCTTTATGGATTCCGCGTTTATATAAGTTACATACAAACATATTTATAATTGTATACTTGTTTCCTAACATTAAACGTTACAGTATATATTTATAATATCATTAATTTGTTAAAAAATGATTTAGGATAGAAATTTTACCAATCTTTGTTGATTTGTTTGCGTTTTTTTTTTATTTATTTTGTCTGGTTTGTGCTTCGATTTAAATGTAATGTCATCATATTTCGGAGGGCAGGTTTCATAACCGGCTTCCTTGGATAACTTACTGGTAATTATTCATCCTCAACAAGTTACCAACCCATTTTCCTGCTTGATTTTCGAATCAGCGGTGAGACCATTTGACTCATTGTCCGATAACGATTTTAACATGGAAGTTTTGCGTTGCCCCCGGATCATCTATCCCTGAATTACAAGTCCGATTCTCACATCATCGGGCTAAGTACTAAACATATCAATCACTGTGAATTTTGTATTCTGTTTAAAATGATGCACTTCTTAACGAATTTATTTGTTAGAATATTGATCTCAGACTAGTAATAGTTTGATACAATGGAATCATGTTTATTTATTTTTTCATTGCAGTGCCGATATTGTTAATAATAGGATGATTACACTGGTTTAATTCGCATATTCACTATAATAATACTTAATCCCCTCAGTCTCTGTTTTGATATTTTTATTAAGCATATAGATACTTTAGGAAATAAACAAGGCTTACAGAATTGAATAAGTTATGTATTATCAAACGTATTATATTTATCTTTATGTATATCTTAGCCGTTTAATGTCGATATGTCAGTAAATCTTAAACAATTTATAATACAAAAATAATGGAGCTATTCTTTACACTTTAAATAATGAATCAAGCTAGGAAACCTTTTTCTTCCGTTTTGTTTGTCGAGAATTTTTTTCCCGGAAATTTAAGCTTTCATACAATGACTGGAACGACGCCAAATCTGATTTCATGTAAATGGCAAGCAAAGTATAATTTATGTATAATACAATAAATAAATGCTTATTATTAATATGTTAAATGAATCTTACATGAATCATAATATGAAATATATTTGATACTGTTAGTCATTTGCTTCTTACTTTTTGTAAAGAATGAATGGTACCTGCATATAACTACATATAAAAGCAAAATGATGTTCTGCCTTGCGCCCTGTCCTATTTTTGTTTTGGGTCCTCCTTGAGCTCCTTACCACTAAGTTATTGTTGCCGGGTCGTGTACGGGTTGTGTTTATTGAACGCCGCCTTTCCTTGTTGATCTTGTTTATCATATTTTACTATCGTGTAGTGTAATGAGGCAAGTCGACCAAATCCCGTTTACATATTCTACAACAGAAAGCAGCAGAATTTGTTTACACGCTTGTAAATTATACTTACGTATTGCTGCGTAAATCAATTCAACTGATAATGACTAGTTTAATACATTTGTAAAACTTGTTTAAAAAACTGCGAGGTATAAAGAACTTGTAATGTTAATGGTATTTCAAATTAAAATACATTTGTACTTAGCAATATAGCAATATAAAGACTATAAAAGCTTTCTGTAATAGAATATATTTTTTTTTATAAATTTTAGGATATTGGTTCCATAATATTACGCTCTATTCTCAAAAAAGTTGTCACATGGAACGTCTCTGTTATCTAATACAGGAATAAACCGAATCCCTAAGGAACACATAAACACACATGACTATTGTACGAAAACAGGAATAAAATATCATTCTGCTATTGTATACACAGTTTTAGTCGTTTAACAACGATTTCGGGCTTGTGTCATTCTCTTTTAAGACAATTTACTACCATATTTGTGTCATACAAATTTTTGGAAGTGTTCTTTATCTAAAATTAAAACAATGATTTTTTGCAGAACATATATAGTTTTAGACACTTTAAATCCTACAATATATGATAAACCTTACAAGTAGTCAAGTGTAAAACAACAAAAAACACAATAAAAAACCCTTGATTCCTCTTCGGTTTTGGTTCGGTGCTCTCTGGGTACCCTGCTGTTGTGGCTAGGTTGTATCGGGGGCTGCGTTCTTTTATACGATACAATTTTGATTTATTAACTATTTTACATGCTACATGTTGACGTTAGCCACATTACCACACGGAATTAGAGAGCAAATAACTATTGTTCTCAAAGTGAAATATTTGGTAAATTATTTAGTTACAAATGACATGATGTTTAATTTTATTAAATCAATGTGGCGTTGACTTGCATCTGAGTCCGACATGTGTGATGCATTCTGAAAACTTCCAAACAATAAATGTCGGATACCATTTACTAAAAACTGATGCAATTATTTGTGTGACATATGTATGGAAGTCCAAGTCCACCCCATTGTGCTTTATACCAGGTATTTAGGAGAACCTCGATAAAACTTCACAAATAAATGTCATAAGACGGAATTCAAAATAATCTCTGGCAAGTGGTTGAATCAATAAATAAACAGAAGATATATGGCTTTATACTATTTTAACTCTTAACATATAATATATGACAAAATAGATAAAAACACAATCCCTAAAGAAAGCCCAACACGGCAAAACTGAAAATGTTGCAGGCTCGGTTTGATTGAGCCTGTTCATGGACGGTACTGGAAAGTGCAAGTTACCGTCCACGCCCCTAGCATCGGCTTAAGCAGAATTCAACATTTAAACAAGAAATAGTAAAATTTTTAATTTAGAAACATCCGCAGATGTGTTCATACGGCGGTTATCATGGAACCTTCAATGTGACACAGTAGTGCCATTCCATGAAAAGCGGCGTATGGTCCCCAAGTAATAAAAAGCGTGTGCCCTAAACGAGAAAACAATGGGCGGAACTAAAAAAATGGAATTTTGAAAGGGGATCAGAGGTTATGAAGCCTGCGTATCACAGAAAAGACATCAGAAGACAAATTTAAAAAGCAAGCAACATACCCCTTAGGGTGATTCAACATTATTCAAGTAGGAATATTGGAACCACCCAACTAGAAAATTTCGAAAAGTTGAAACAAAAAACCTGTCCGAATATAGAATACAGATTCTAATTACATGACCAAATGTGATAGGAATCAATTTAAAGAAAATGATTTCTTACTTCTAGCTGATGCCAGCGAGTCTTTGGTATCCCTCCAGAGTGATTTCTGGGACTGGCGGATGAGAAATAATCCAACATCTTCGACCTATGATGGCATGTACAAATACAACGATCTGATGGAGGAATACAGTCTTGAAGAATTCCAAACAAAAAGGGTTCGTTGATTGGCGTTTTAAATAAATTAATTAAAACACATACTGTCATACCTGAGTGTTATTCAAAAGAATGAACATGGCGGCATGGCCGAGTTGTTCACGCGTCGGACTAGTACTCTACTGATTACTAGCCGCATTAGTTAAAACCCTGCCAGGGGCAAGCCGTTGTTTCCTTGAGCAAGAAACTTTTCACTCATCGCTCAATAATGGTTGCAAAATTGTGTCTATAAGCTTATAGCTACCTACACAATCGAACTAAAATAAACTCTGTATAAACCAAGTATGGAAAACGCAATATGTTTGGTTAAGGTGTAATCGGGTATATTAGCTACTGTTGATAAAAACAAACATTCGCACTGTATCATATTTTAATTGTTTGACTGTTGTATAAATTGCTAACTTAATTTTCTTTCAGAATAAGACACTAGACTTTCTCGCCCGACTATATGAAATTGAACAAGACGACCTTGACATCCATGAAAAGGTCAACTTTGACATTTTAAAGGACACACTCGAGACTTTCACCGAAGGAAATTTATGGGCAGAGTAAGTGGAATGAGCTTATTTACTACCTACTTACTGTTTGATTAAGATTGTATCAACGCTGTACATAAGTCTAATAGTTAAAGGCACATTATGCCTCAGAAACGAATAAATTTTACTTACCTGAATTTTATAACGTATAAATAATGGTTTTAAGCCGGTGCTAGGGAGCGTGGGGGATGTTGCACGTATTCATTATCCCTCATGTACAGAATCAATCAAACAGAGTCTGCAATTCTCTTATAATTTTGTTGTGATTAATGCTTCCGAGGGATCACTTTGTTTCCAGAACTTTAGAGCATGTTATATACTTGTTACCTGAAGAAATAGCAATAAATATGAAATAATTTGTCATAAAAGTAGGAAAAATGTAAACAAAGTTAAATCTTGACTTCTATGCAAAATACTAAATCCCTATAACTATAATAATTTCCAAAGAACAACAGAAGGCAAGGATGCTTCAGGTAACTGGCCAATGAGTAACTTTCTTGAAACTTAAGAAGTACACCAAAACTAAAAAGCTTTTGAGAAATAAGTATAAAACATTTCGGAGGTATAACGGGCATTTAAAGCGAATTGATCTATAAGTGAATGTCATTGATACCAGAAATAATCAGGTTTTAAGTATTAAGTATCATACGTGATAGTGACAGTGACAACCAATCACGAAATAATTATAATTATATGAATATTAAATACCTGTATCAAGATAGTCTGCACATATTTTATAAGCGTACCCAGATGATACAGTTCAATTGTTTTATCAATGTTTTGAAACACTTATGTAAATGTACACCTTGTAGACCAATCCACTTTAATAGGATTGAACCATTTATGTACTAGCATACTAAGCCTGGTAAGCCATCATAATGGCAGAACATTTCGCATTACACTAAGTCTTGATACTGTAGTTTGGCGGGATTACGCTTTATAAGGTCGTATCGTCTGGAAGACACATGTTTCTAAGTCCTTTTTAAAAAATCTAAATCAAACCGACATTCGGCAACATTTCCTACGTTTCCTAGGCTACAATGAAGGCTTCCTCACATTAACGAATCCGAAGTCCCTTACGAAATTCACAAATACATCGATGAGGGGACGGGCACGGTGTCCGTTTGTTAAGGCCTAATGAATAAGTAGATATCGACTTATTTCTTTGAATGACGGTTCTTTATATTATTACAATGCATACACAGCATTGTCAATTTGAGCAAGATATTTGAATATCATTGTTTTATTTCACCGACAAAATTAGTATGATTTTATTGCTGCACAATTGCTGCACTTCAAAGACCAGCGATCAATCTTTGTAAGTAACCAGGTAATGACAAAAGAAGCTTTAAAGTCTTAAAAATCCCCTCATCATGTATTTCAGAGTTCTAGTATTTAGAAATAACGAAAATATGTTAACATTATCCACCATGATATTCTCTGCTGTATTTCATTTGAAAATGAGCATTTCTATCAGTAATCTGGATGAAGCTGGTAATTCTAACTAAAATACTTATTGTTGTTATATGTTTTATATGTTTATGCTATATATTAATGATGTCTACAGGTATGGTGCCTTAAGTCCTATAAGCTTTATAACTGGTATTCAACTTTTCGGCGGACCTTCTTTCGCCCCGAGTGCAACACGTGGGGACTTTGAAAACTACATCGCGAGACTATATGCTGTACAAAAGCAGGTAATATTATGGCATCGATTATTGCGGGATAATGATCCAGTTGTCAATGAACAGAACAATATGTGAATGCACTGACTTAAGAAATGTTCAAAATTAAACGGTGATTATAATTTCGGAACTCGCACCGACTGTAGATTATTATGTGTCGTAGATATAATCATTGCCGATGTCAGATAAATGCTCAATTGATGGCATTATAATTATATAGTCATTTGTCTTTCATTCTTTTATACTATTCTGTCCAAATATTTGAAAGAAATTAGTACAAAGTTTAATCAATCATAACAGGCCTTGATTGGACCTTAACCTCTATTTGTTTGTACTTTTTCTCCCTAGGTTGATGGAATTAAAAGTCTTGGTCGTCGCGCAATTTCATTGAACAGAACATTGCACAATGTGTCGATGGTAATAATTTTAAGTATATCTGTTTTATGTCTTTGGTCCTTCTATTAATTACATTCTTTCATTGTTAATAAGCTTACTGGATTACGTTTCTAATTTCCTATATTTTGTTTTAGATTTAACGTTTACAATATCATCACACGGTTATGCAATCATCGTCTCGTCTCGTTAAGTTTAAACATATTTTATTTCTTAGAATATATATACATATTACAATTTACAATATACATACAGCATTTCAAATATTCTCAAAAATCAGACCAAGTGTCATATGAAATTATTCTTCTCGTTAAGGTTACAAATAAACAGTCTTTATTTCTTTTAAGAATATTGATTCATCCATGTCTGATATTTGTAATGGATCAGCATATCTTATACATATATCATGACATAGGCTTCATTTTTATATGATATACATGTTTAAATGTTTGTCTAGGCTAGGTAACTCTGTACGAACCTCCAATCGGTTTTGGTCTGATCTAAACGTGCCTATGTCAGTATGTATACAAAATATGTATAGAGAAACATTATTTGTTGCACGGCAGGTAATAATACCATCTTACTTCATTTCAGACTAAAGTTCCAGAGCAAATTGATGAAAAGATTTTCGACCGACCTGAAAATTCATCATACTATAGCCCATTTGGAGATTTTCTAGACAATTCACACGTTACAAATGACTCGGATAGGTAGAACGTTTTTGTTTTTTACAAAGAAACATTGTAATGACACTATTCATTTATTCCATAGGCCGTCGGGCAATGGAACATGGATAAACGTTTTAGTAAAGATCGCCTTTAAATCAACTCTTCCCATTTGTTTAGTTTTGTTTGGGATTCAGTAATAAATTAAACATATTAAGAAAGAAAACGACCGACTCTCGGATACAGCGTTACCAAATAATTGTTTTGTTTCTCTATTGTCTGCTTTGTACCAAACTCCTCACAGTCATTTGATTGGTTTATGCTCTGTGTAGCGACGCGAAGGGAGACAACTGCGTAAGAGTTTGGCATTATACATGTATACTGGCAAATAACTGCCAACATAAAAACACTGGATAACAATGCTATTTTTGTAGTTTTCGAAATGATATACATGATTCATACATAACATACGAGTGTAAGCTGATAAAGCTTCAGATAAATAACTTTGTTGCAGTGTCTTGGGGGGGGGGGGGGATGCCGCCTTTCCTTGTTGATCTTGTCTATCATATTTTTGTCATGTATTTACCGTATATGTTACTATAATGTTTTATAATTTCAGAACATATATAAGGAACAGAGGAAAGGAGGCAGTGTTAGCTTATATGAATGCCTTTAGAGATCTCAAGAACTTCATTGTCAATGTAATTACATTTATGACACAAAATGCTGAAGCCCCTTATTTAGAGGTCCCATTTAAAAGTTTCTGATAAGGTGAAATACTTCGAGCGTCATATTTGAAAAGCATCAACGGTTATTGTACATTTAATGAAAGACCAACGCAGGCTATAGGTCAAGATACTCATAATAGGAAAATTTTAATATCTTTTATTCTTCTCGCACAAAATCTATGTACTCAACCATAACCTAAACTTATTACTCTTCAGAGATGTCAGTCCGGATTACATTTGTTTATTAAACGGATTCTATATTCTTATGTCGACTTTTTACAGTATATTTATCATAGAAAATTATATAGAAATAGATAAGAATATGATGTCTCGGAAGCAATTTTTGGAAATTAATTACCAAATGGCATTTATATGTATTCACCTTTATAGACAAAGTAAATGTTTTCTTACAGGAATACATGCCAAATACCAGAAAGGAATACGGTGTCTATGCATGGGATCCTTCAAACGAATACTACAAAGCTTGTTTAAAATGGCATCTATCTTTTGACATGACACCAGCAGATGTCCATGATGTTGGTTTGAAGGAAGTTGATCGTATAACAAAGGAAATGCATAAGGTAATGAATGAACTTTTGAAAGTTCTTTTGAAATAGATTCCGCAATGGATGCGATATTCTTGAATAGGGACATTACTAGAGAGCAATGGAAATCCCAAGACGGAAGTTCACTGATTTGAATTGATATAGTATGTTTGTGATCATAGAAATTTTATTTCTTTACACCATATTATTAATAACACTTATCAATAAATGCATTGAAATTAGAGACAAGTCAGAAAATTTAAGATCAAATGACGACAACCTCAGTCAGCGAAAGGCAAAAGGCTAATTAATAATGACTAAATCTGAAAAATAAATATTGAATATAAAAAGAAGGTTCTTTATAATCAATTTACGTTTTGATATTTCAGTACGTCTATGATACAAATGATTATATAACAGTTCCGAAACAAATCTAAAAGATTTAAGTTCTTCTCAAGATTGATATAATTACTCTTTTATCAGATTATGAGCAGTCTTGGCTTTGAAGGAACTGTCGCAGCTTTCTTTGCGAGTTTGGAAGATGATTCAAGGTTTTACACAAACGACACGGTATGATTTTATTCTTATAATAGACTTACTCCGAATTTAGGGATATTTTGGTTTTCCTGGCTAATCCGGGGTTCAAACAAACTTTTACAGCTACAACATCGAAAATAGGAATAACGTGTTAACTGAATCCATTGTGACCGGTAGTGCTCCGTGAATCTCTAACGGTAAACGTTTGATTGTACCGGAATATTAGCTTGAAAACCCTAACATTTACCGAGTTCCAGTATGATAACATTGTATTTCCTCCAACAACAATCAATAGGATTATCATATCATCACCGTTAGGTAGTCAATCATTAACATTTCTTGCAGCATATTACACTTACAATTGTCTTCCTTTTGAAATGATCATTTAGTGGTAAAGAACGTAGAATTTATATACAGTAAAAACCCGCTTTACGACCACCCCGTTTTCAAGACCAACCCGCTAATACGAACGATTTTTTAAAGACCCGATTTTTTTATTCTTTATTTTAATGGTCGCTAACCCCGATTTTGAGACCACCCCGTTATTCCGTAATACGACCAGTAAATTCAGTCCCATTTCGTAAATTCTGTACATTTGGAAACCCATAAATACGACCGCAGGCACTTTCTCACCTTGATATTGACAGGCATGTATATTGCTGAAATCTTTTTGACACGTGATGTAAACAACAGTTGTCCTAGTTTTACGACATTTAACGACATCCAATTTACGGCAGAGGTCAAGGTTACTTTGTATCCAACCGGTAAATGATCAATAATATTGTCGATAATTTTAATTTTTCACACCTTTAATGTCATAACTGGAGGATTAAAACAACAAAATATTGAACAGAAAACTTTCAATAAGTTTTTTTAGAGGTGTTACTGCATGCTGCTATCATTATCTCTTTCGTTCCATAATTTTAAACAAACATAAACATGATACGATTAGGTTTTTGAAGTTGTTATCGGCAATGAAAACTGTGAAAATAATTAAAGGTTAATTGTTCGGTGTGCTTTGTAGTAAAATGGTGATTTAATTGAGTAAGTCATGTCATTCTTTTAACAAGAATGTAAAAATATGTTTGTGTTTAAAGACATTCATAATACATTTTGTACCTCTAAAGAGGTTTAAAAATTTTATTATGTTAAAAAGTAAAAGAAAATAAATGAAAATAAAAAAATAATAGTGTATGCTTTATATCTTCTCATTTGAAATAGGTTAGCCCAGAATTAAACATGTGTACAGTACATGGTATCCCTTAATATATTGCCTGGTTTTCTGTTTGACCAAACTCATTAATGAGACCAACCCGCTATTAAGACCAGATTTGTAAAGTCCCTTCATTGGTCTCATTAGCGGGTTTTTACTGTAAATGATTGTGCCGTCCAATCTAGCTGATTTAATAACGCTCCGCTTTTAGATCCGACAGTGACCAAATACGAAGTCATATCTTGTGACCTTTCACACAGCCAATCATTGGCCAGCTTTCATAATTTTTAAAGCGATGTGGTGTCTAATTCTTACCCTGGAAAATACTGAGTAGATAATTTTCGCGATTTCGAGAACAAACATGGCGTTGTCCATATAGCCGACAGGTAAATTGGCAAAATAATCTTGCTCATTTAAAAATTGACTTCATTATTTCAAGATAATTTGTAAGAAAATTACTACAAACCCTTTTTTCTTCTTACAAAAATCAGCAATTTGTTAGACTTCCACGGATAACAGTATTTTGATACTTCTTTTAATGCATATGATTGCATGGCTAAAATAGCTTTTTGTGAAATCCCAATTATAAAGAAGGCGAAACATATACGGTCGTCATCAGATCTAAATAAATGAACTTTTGTTGTGTCGTCCTAAGTTCCCTACGCATATTCATGTTTAAAGTGACATTATGCTCATATTTTCATGGTCAAATTGAGCTGAATTGACTTTTTATTTGAAAAGATTGACTGTCAAAATGGTGTTTGACCAAAAGTTGATATTGGAAAATGTTTAGGGTAAAATTATAAATCTGTCTAAAATTTTAAAAAGACTGCCCCACTCTTTTTATAAACTAAGCGTTACAGGTAAATCCTGATGGATATTAACTGAAATTTTGTTTGGATCTGTGAGTTATTTATTGTTTATGCGAACTTAATTATTGAATTAAAAGGAATTATGGCAAAATGAAAACTTGTTTTGACTTTCACCGGTTCACTCACTATATACCCTTGGATGGGCATAATGTCACTTTAAGAGAATGAATTAAAGTTGTAAATACATTGTTATAAACTGCAATATACTAGTCAGTTTTATGTATTTACAAATTAGAGATAACATCACTGATCAGATATACCAGCCACCTCTTTTTACATACAATAAATGTTATCTGCATCATACATGTATGTTGCTACTTATGTTTTTCTTCAAATATATTGTATGCAAATAAAGGCTTATGAAGAACAAAGTGATTCGTGACTTTTAAAATTTGGAATTTTATTTTACTGCATAGTTACTGCATACGACGAGATATGTTATAACAATATAAGTGAATTAAACTAAGTGCGAAGTGCTTACCAAAAAGTTAAAAAATATGATTGCCAGGCATGTTCTGAAACATTTGTGCGATTTTTATCTCTTATTTTAGGTCAAGATCTTGAAGGCGTACAATGACACTGTGTTCAAAAGAATAAATCCGGTTCTAGAAAACTATTTCAGAGACATTCCAGATATTCCCTTAAAGTAAAATTTATATGATAATTCTTCAGATATGTGATATTTAGTATTTCCACATAAACATATAATGCATTTCACTGCCGAAAAATATAGTTTGGAAACCTTTAAAAGTAGGGTTGTTTTATTTTCATATCGATTTAAATACTGTTGTTTTTCATCATGAGGTAGTTTGTTAATGTTATATTCACTGGTAAATAAGTTCATCGACAAAGGATAACCCACACAGGGGAAGGATAAAAATTTGTAATAGCCTCAAAAATGTTAGAACTACGTGCTGTTAAGCATAACGTTAATATTGTAGCTTTGCATAATCATCTGAACTGAACTGTTGAATGGAATTTGTTAAATTTTAGCATAGAAGCAGCGTCGTATGATGGACTTGGTGGTGGTTATTCATCAGCGTCAGAAACTTCTCCTGGAGTATTTTCTATCAACTTGTTTAGACCTCTGGAAGTGTAAGTATATCACTGATACTGTTAGACTGTATTATCATAAACATTTTATCAATTTTCTATATATTGATAGGTATATGTAAATACTAAATTTCATTTCAATTAAATACATGTAAATGTCTTTTTTATTACAAAGTGACATTAGATTATTGGAATTTGATAATCTTTGAAATCAATCATTCATTCATTTAATCCAAATGTATTTATTATCATAATCATTTGATCACTTTTGTTTATGTAAATTACTAATTTCATAATCTTTGAACATTTAATCCAATTGTCGTTCATTTTCATTATTATAGTTTTATTTAATAATATTTAAGTTTTTGTTTTGCATGTAAGGCCTTTGTTTGAGACAATGGTACTGTCTTTGCACGAGGCAAATCCTGGGCATCACTTACAGGTAGCGTAAACAAAAAATAATAATAAACACAACAAACAACTAGTTTATAGATTGTTGTCTTTGATTCATTTTACTTTTATTTCTGTAATATAACAGATATCTTACTAGGCACTTTCAAAAACTTTATTACTGATATTTATCATTGAACACTTATCCAAAAAAATTAAAAAATGTTTGTTGCAATGTAAATATCACCCTCATAATGTATTTGATAATGTTGATTTTATCACAATCTATTCATTGAAACATTTTTTTTATTACCAGGTGCACTAGTATGATATGTAACTGAATATGTTTAGAGTATGTTTAGAGTTTAGAACATCCACCGGGACGTTTAAGCGCTGTTAGCTAAGTACGAGATTTTTAAGTTTGAAATAAGAAATATCAGCAATACCATATTTATTAAATATCCGATTATGATGTACTAGTATTTAAATTAACAAAATTAACATGTAAATAAATGCCGTTTCAGAACAGTTTTTCCTTGAGAGCAGATCTTCCAGATTTTAGAAAAAATCCTATTTTGTCTTTCGCAGACGTTCCAAACTGGTTCCCGATCTACTCCGCGTATATGGAGGTAAAATCTGAAGAAACTTTGCGTGTTCACGTGTTATTTGTAAATATTTACAGTGTAGTTCTTAACATTGAAAATGTAGTATGACTTGTAAACAACTTTATATCGCGATCGTAATTATCAATAAAACATCTACTGGACCTGTGATACTATGCACTTTGTCAAATAGATGAAAACTAGAATAATTGTTAGGATTGCAATGTGCATATTGAATTTTTAAGATAATAAAGGCGCTTCAATCTGTTATATTTTCCTAGTAAGCCATCTCATGTTAGATAACTCATCTAACACTCTGTCGAATTACATTGTAATATCTTAATACGTAGTTCAAACTAAGACTATGAATAAGGCAAATAACAACATATTACATAATAACATATTTCTGCGAACGATATGATTGTATGAGAGCGAAGAAAATGATTCATTGTCTTGTTTTAGTTTGCCACAGGCATTGGTCCATAATAACATAATGACTATCGTACATTTCATTTCAGGGATGGGGACTTTATTCAGAGTATCTTGGTGAAGAGATGGGAATGTACAAAGACGGATACGAAATGTAAACTTTTTACTCTTGTATTATTTGTACAGTTATGCAATTTGTATGTAACATTAGAAATTGGTTACCTAAAGGAAACAAACTTACGGAACGTCGAAGGCTTTATTCAGGTTCGTGCCTGAAAACCATCGGAAGAGTATCGGAGATGTCGCTCAACAAATAAAGCTGGAAAGTCGCTATATGACATATACAGTGTTGGTGGGACTTAAAAGCCAACATAAAAAGACAAAAGTTATTGATACACATGTATCTTTTGATTTTGTCATCAATAAGATATAAATAGTTAAAAGTTTTACTATACTGAGGTATTAGTCATATTTTGACCAATATAGTAGACTAAAAATATGTAATATATAATAAATGAACATCAAATTTCGGTACAGATCTAGCTCTTTATGTAAAAAGGTTCGATTAGGAAAATCTTTGATGTGGTTCTTTAAAATGTAATTCATTATTTTCTGTAGTTAAATGTAATATAAGTATTCATTGAATCGGCTCATGCGTAAATGTGTCATATAATATTAGATAAAATAAGATAACGTTAAGAGAAAGAACAGCTCGTCTTATATCCGATCCTATAAATGATAAAGAGTTATAAATATATTTCGGATTGATATGTTAGGAGTTAGTATCCTAAATAGCCCATACACATCAGGATGTCATTTTAATAATAATAATAATAATAATAATAATAATAATAATAATAATAATAATAATACATGTACATGTAATTATAAATCTGTTTTAGGATGGGTCGTTATAGTTACGAAATTCTGCGAGCCTCTCGCCTCGTTGTTGACACAGGACTGCATTATATGAGGTTTGTCATTTAAGTTTTTATTTCTTTTACACAATATCTATCTCCCCTGAAATCACAATACTCATTCTTTAAGCACGTTTTGACAATGGTATTCTGTCAGAATTAAATTTTGATTGCTTTGCTTGTGCTATAATATATGGAGCACATATGTCGATATATTCTACATTCGTAACGCATACATCATAGCCTCATCTAAATATACTATGGGAATGTAATGGTCTTTTGATTTGGACCATTTTATTGAATGTTTGTTGTTGTTGTTGTTGTTAGGTGCATGGTTATCCATCGACAGTTTTACACGATATTCATTATCCTCATGATATAAAAAGAGAAGAAAAACACTATGATAAATGATACTTTAATCGTATTGTTGATTGTCTTCAAAACTAATAGTTCTAGTTCTTACATATGTATCTCTCATTTATCTTGGTTTCGTTTGTATTGAAATGTTAGAAAATTTTTAATATTATTGATTTTTATTATAGATGGACTCGAGAAGAAGCTATTCTATATCTTCAAAATCATACCGCATTGGCTGGTGGGAGTGCAGCCAATGAAATTGATCGTTACATAACATGGCCAGGTCAAGCTTGTGCTTACAAACTCGGTGAAATAAAAATAAAAGAGCTTAGACAAAGGGCTGAAAGAGAATTAGGTAAGTCTAACACAATATTTTTTTAGAAATGAAACATTCAAGCATTTTTTTCTCAAATGATTTTACTTCAACATCAAATGGATACAACTGTACGCATTCTTTTTAAATGAATTTAAATGTCGCATTTTTATCATGATTTTAAATTTTGTCTTACCATTCCAGGAGACAAGTTTGACCTTAAAGAATTTCATTACCAAATACTGGCAAATGGAGGGATGCCTATGAGTGTGCTAGAGAGAATCGTTAACAGTTGGATAGACACAACCAAGCAGTCTAAACCTACCAGCGGCAGTCCTTGTCTAGTATTCGGACATACACTAGTTTCCGTCTATTGTTTTATAAGCATACTTTTTTCAATTATTTCAATATAATATTTGAACAGAATTTGCATCGCATAAATAAACAGATACAGAAAAATATATAATGGGCTGTCCTAAAAGCCCGTGACAAATTTTATAGACAGTTCCCTTGTAACGCCAATACATAAAAATGTTTATATATATTCTTACGTCATATCAAGTCAGATTCAAAATATGTACTCCATTATCTTTTAATTTTCATTATTAAAGACATGTGTAATAACCTTCATTTTTGTTATGAAAATGTTTGAATAAGTTACATATATTTCAATTATGTATGGTGGCTGATTTGTGTCATGTCGTAATTTCGCTCCACCTGGGGAGGAGAGACAAAAAAACGAATATGAAAAGGCAAAAATACGATAAGGTAATCACTGTATCGCATTTTTCGTGATTTCATCTGGCGTCCCACGGAGCAAACCGCGAAAGCACGCAATTACGTCTGGTTCATCGAATGTACACTCTCTCGTATTTTCGTGCGTTTTTTTTTTTTTTTCTGTTTTGTTTTTGTTTCTTTTTGCGCCCCGCCGGCCAAAATTACAACATGGCAAAAAGAAGCCACCAAAATTGTTTGTTAACGACGCCCTCGTTGAAATGGTAAACTTATTCAAATATTTGGGTATCACTTTGCTAAAATACATTTTGTTAAACGACAAAACATTAACTGGTTTTCTGAGAGTAGGAATATAAAGTGTTTATCACAACATGCGGAATACTCATTGTTCGTGTACAGGCCGATAAAACAGAAGTTACTTTCTTAGCTTTACATTGTCAAACCATCATGATTCGGATCAGCATTATCCACCGTGGGTATGCAACTTTGATCACCGTGACCACAAAAGTCATCGCAACAGGACAAAAAGCGCGGCTGACGTATTTTTTTTAGTTATTTTTTCGATCGTGGCGATTTAAACTATGCTACATAGCCTACCGACCGCGGCATTTCCGATGCTTTCTAATAATGCATTTGGTGTCGTCTAACGTTTTGTATTTTCTGAGAACATTCAAACAATATTTACAAAGTCGATGACAACGTACACACTCTTGTGTAAAAGTGTTGATAACTTAATTATACTATACACATTTCAGTTCTAAGTAAAATTTCACGTTTTGAAATATATAATAGAATGTTTTAATGAAAAAGGAACGGGTTTCCTACTCTCAGTTTTTTTGTATTGATTTAAAAATGGCCCGACTTACAGAAATATCAACGTACACGTACAGTCTAGAATATGTCAACGCACACACTCCCAATTTAGTTTGATAGTGGTCTGAACATGAGTCTGGTTTTTACAGAGGAAATAGAACAACCCAGTTAGGGAGACTGGGTTTAGTATCTCGAAGCTATCGTTATATTTGTGTTTACGAACGTGCTAACGATTGACGGAAGGTTGGTGAACGAGAGACTAGCGCGAGTATCTCGAAAGTGATATTTAAGCAAGTTAAGTTAGTTATTAAATATGGAATTAAGTAATCATTTGAATACCGTGAACAGTGTGTTAAAGCGGGAAGAAATGGCCATATAACACAACGTAAACAAAGGCAGAAATTTCCTATGAAACTGACGTGATTACTATTGAAAGGGAAAAACTTAAAATAGAAACTGCAAGACTAGTAACTGAGGAAAAACGACTGTATATAGAACAGCAGAGACTGATGTGCAGTAAAGGTTGCAAGTGGAAATAGATATTTTAAACACTTTACTCAGTCAAAGCTAATATTCCGACAGAGGTTCTTCTCAATACCCTCCCTCATTTTTCAGGCTACAGCAATGTGTTGTTTCAGGGTGAAAGTATACCCTCAATATTCAAACTTGGAAATGTTACTTTCATGGACGAAATATTGAAATTGCAAAATAATATTTAAATGAATGTAAACACTCGTCATGGTATCTATTTTGAATACTAGTAGTATGTTTATTTAAACACATATAACGACAATAAATTAAGATTCAAGTTAGTCCATAACTTTGCTTAGTATACAATGTCAACGCTTAATAAATGGATTATGTACTCGCACATGTATATGCAAATGGTCTCACCATAAATAATCTAGAATTCTTTTTTTTTCTAATGTAAGTTAAAAGAAAACGATCGTGATATACATGTACCAGTGACAATGATTACATGTATTACTATCATGATACTGATGATGATATGACGACGACAGCGACGATGGGTTTAGTTATAAAGAAATATTAAGAAAATGTTTCTCGATTGAGTGAAATATGGACTATTTTCACGAAACATGATCAAATTCGATATATTTTCACGAGCTGGAAATCTTACTTATACTCTTTAAAAAGGAAGTTCAAAGCTTTATAAATTCGTTATAAATAATCCTGACAGGACAATTGGCCGTATATAAACGGTTGTTTGCAATATAACCTCGCCTGGCGGCTCGGGTAATATTTACAAACAACCGTTTAAATAAGGTCATTCAACATGTCTTATATTAATCAAGAAGTATCTTTTAAAAAGATACTCGGCCGAAGTAAAACTGGTTACAAAAAGAAATACTTGCATAACAATGACATAACAGTTATTTCTTGTAACTAAAGGAAATACCCATTTTGTAAGCATTGAAATGAAATTATAGCATATTTAAATTGATGATTTTTCAAAGTAGGACAATTCTATTTTAGGTGTCCGTTTAACTTGTTTTATGCTAGACTTTATGAATTTTGAAATCATTGACAAATCAACCAAAACGTTAAGAACTATCCTTATTCCTGTACATTTTATTTTAGAACTATCCTTTACATTTTATTTTATAGTGGCAAAACTATCTCTTACATTTTATTTTAGAGCTATCCTTAAAATTTATTTTAGAATGGTTACAACTATCCTTTACGTTTTACTTTATGATGGTTAGAACTATCCTTTACATTTCAATTAAGAATGACCAATGAGATTTACCGATTTCAGCATGAAGCGAGCTCGAAGAGCCTGCTAGCAAAGCGAGCTCTACGGTAACGCGAGTAACTGCTAGATAGTGATGGTTTTGAAAACTTTCGTCCGAAGTACTGAATTGACACATCGCAATTTTTCGAATAACAAGAGAACGATAAAAACCGAGGTATTCTGATTAAAAACGGAAGCGTAGACTGGTGTCCTGCGCACTCATATAGCCACCATAATAGGACAGGGGACCAGAATAAACGGAAGCAATGTATAAAATACTGAATCACAATTTTAAAACGGAAAATGTGAAATTGTATCTAAATAGTATCGTTTATTTTGAACGATACTATTAAAATACTATTTCATGGTAAAAGTAAATCGAGCTCGCTTTGAGGCTATGCCTTTTTCATATAAATTCTAAAATGATCAATGAAATTCTTTTCATATTCAGTCCTTCCCGGTTTATTTTACAGGAAGTCACACAGACAGACGGATTTCGTCCGAAAAAAACTGCCAGTTTTTTTTAATGGCACTATGATTAATTTTGTGACCATCTATAGTGTATAGAACTTTAAACAGGACATATCTACTGTGTATCAATTTAAAACAAAAGTTGATTAGAGTGACCTCCCCTGAAAACATTGCAAATGGCGTATGGGTTTAAAAGGGACGATACTGTTGAGCTGAAAAAAGAGTCAGTTAGAATGACCCCCCCCCCTGAAAGCTTTGCAAATGGCGTAAGGGTTCAAAGGGAGGTTACTTTTGGGCTACAAAAAAGAGTCGCTTAGAGTGACCTCCCCTTAAAACATTGCAAATGGCGTAAGGGTTCAAAGGGAGGTAACTGTTGCGCTAAAAAAAGAGTCCGTTAGACTGACCTCCCCTGAGAACATTGCAAATGTCGTTAAGGTTCTAAAGGAAGGTAAGTGTTGCACTAAAAAATGTTGATTACAGTGATCTCCCCTGAAAACATTGCAAATGACGTTACTGTTCTAAAGGGAGGTAACTGTTGCACTAAAGAAATGTTAATTAGAGTGACCTCCCCTGAAAACATTACAAAGGGCGTAAGGATTCAAAGGGAGGTAATTGTTGCGCTAACAAAATGTTGATTTGAGTAACCTCCCCTGATAACATTTCAAATGACGTTAAGGTTCTAAAGGGAGGTAACTGTTGCATTAAAGAAATGTTGATTAGAGTGACATCCCCTAAAAACATTGCAAATGGCGTAAGGATTCAAAGGGAGGTAATTGTTGCGCTAACAAAATGTTGATTAGAGTAACCTCCCCTGATAACATTGCAAATGGCGTAAGAGTTTAAAGGGAGGTAACTGTAGGGCTGAATAAAGAGTCAGTAAGAATGACTTCCCCTGAAAACATTGCAAATGACGTAAGGGTTCAAAGGCAGGTAACTGATGCGCCTATAAAAAGGTTAATTAGAGTGACCTCCCTGATAACATTGCAAATGGCGTAAGGGTTTGAAAAGGAGGTAACTATTGCGCTCCAAAAGAGGAGTCGATTAATGTAACCTTCCCTGGAACCATTGCAAATGGCGTAAACGATAATTTTTTAGTACTCCTCATTCTGATTTTAAAATCTTGAATAAGAGATTTTCGACCATGCGACCACATACATTCATCGAGGACATGTTTGTAGGAAAGTGACCGTGCGACCACATACACGTATCACAAGATTCCCCTTCTCTTACGAGAAAGGGACAAAGAGTTGTCCGCCCTTTTATTAAATGGCAGACTTTGTAAATGCCTTTGCCTTATGTTATTGATAAGGAGGCTAATTTTCACAGATATGTCTTGAATTGGTTTATATACGACATTAGTAACGCAAACCAAGCGGGTTATCAGTTTTTACACACCTCCTCTATTGTTTGTGACAGGTCTATATTTTTTGGATAGACCTGTTTAAACAAAAGAAAGTCCGTTATGAGGTCTATCTTTTGCACGTGCACAGGTCTGTTCTAGTCAAACAGACTCGGTCATGAAAAACACGTGAAAATATAGACCTGCCTATGCGTAGACAAAGAAAACATGAAATGCAATCAAAAATTGAAAATGTAAATAAATGATTGTCAAAATATTCCTGTCTTACAAAATCTGGATACATTCTTTTAAACAAGATAATGTTTATTGCATGCACTTAGAAATTATTCCAACATCCCTTTATTAAATTTTTGAATAAAATAAATGTATAGCATATCAAAGTTAGGACACATTTAACAATTTTCCAATCGCGTCATTTTTTAAAGTAATAGTAATCTAAGCGCTTCTTCTGTCATTAAGTTCACATTATAACAAAAATGGATGCTTTAAGTTTTCTTACATTTCTATGAAACTAAAACAGTTATCATCGCATACTAATCACGATTCTAAATCACATCCATAAAAAAATCATAGTACATATAAATTGTACCAAACATTCATATCGAAAAAATATAACAAAAATATGCCCGTTTCATTTGTGATTCAAATAACGTCCATTTTTGATATACGCTCTGGGAAACCGCAGCTACCCACAGTTCATAACAAAGTCCCTGGTAACAGTCCCATCCTCGGGATCAATCAGATTGTTAAATCCCCGTCAACCTTTTAGTTAGGCTTTATCCTGCCTTTCTATTAAACCGCGAAAAATCAAAACTGATTTCTCCTGAAAACCTTCGAATCCAGGGCTTATGTTCAAAGAACGTTAAAGATATAATCCAAACCTTGCTTATAGTGACATGCAGATACAAGTACTCAAAGTGGATTGGTCTACAATGGACACATCTCCCATTAGTTATTTAAATATCGACAAAACCGATTAGGATATTATTAAAAGAATCTAGAAAAAGAAATGTTAATATAAAGTATAAGTGATTTAGTATAAACATTTATATGATGAGCGATCATTTTTATTCTAGAACACTTTATAATCTGTTATATAAAATATAATTTCGGATCATGTATCTTACACTTGTCATGCAACAATATACATATGTAAGTCTTTCGTGGTCTGCTGGGTATCCGGACATTTGCCCCTCAGACAGTTGCCCCCTCGGAGTTTTCTCCCTTTTTGCAGTGGCGGACATTTGCCCCCTCATATCTTTGGAAGGGTTGGACATTTGCCATCCCCCCATGTTTTAAAAATGTTAAAAAATATAATTTTTGAATTGTTTGTTATAAAAAATAAAATTCATCGCCTATTGTCGAAATTCGAATGCTTCAATAAACAAAAACTCTCGCGCAAATTTGTGAAAACAAATTAGCATCCATATTAAAAAAAATAAAGTACATAAAATATATATACGAGATGACCTCTGACAAGTTACAAGTCGCCACAGCAAAAAAGGGACAAACGTCCGAGAGGGAAACTGTTCGGGGGGTGTGGCAAATGTCCTAGATGCATTCTGTTACATAAATTCAATTACAGACCTATTCACTTTATTTTTATTATTGACAAATTGCACATTTAGCCTTTTTATTATTATTTTAAAGGAAAAAACAAAGTTAAATGCAAAATATATACTATATTTAAGCAGAACGTTGATAAAAGCTTACCTGTTTATGCGCTGTGTTAAAAAATAATCTTTGTGCATTACATCAAATGTTTCGGATCAGCCATTGCTCAAGCCAATAGTTTGACGGTGTGTAAGTTGGATATCGGCCTTGTACATCGATCTTTCTGTTTAGGAAAGACCTGGTCACGAATTTCATGAAACACCTCGAGCGCTACGCGCTCTCGGTGTCACATGAAATTCGTGGCCAGGTCTTTCCTAAACAGAAAGACCTCGTACTCGGTCGATATCCTATACACATATTTTTAAGTCCGCTATGAAATTTTAAAAAGATCATATATAACTTCTTGGAAAATTTTGTGTTTAAAGTTTTTTCTACTTCTCATTTTATGTATATAGCAGAATTATTATAATTTTGCAAAACATGAACGTTTCAAAAACGTTTTATATGCGTTAGATATTGGAGATATATTTCACTGTTTTCAAATATTAACCTGGGGGCATTTTTGCCGAAGTACTGTCCAATGACAATAACTTTAGACTATGTTATCATAAAAATTAAAAATAGGTAAAGCAGACTGAAGTCTAATAAATGAAACACAATGTAAAACGTCATATTTTCATGTGCCTTGATAGCGCAATAGACAGAGCGTCTTTGTCAGTGTTGTATGCTAGTATCATAGTTAGGTACCATAACATTTGAGTGTTTTATGTATCTTTTTCTTATTTGACAACATTTGTTTCAAATAGTTACAAATGCATGAGATAAAATAATTTTGTACACAGGTTGATATGCAGTTGTGTTAAGTTTGGGGAAAACGTCAAGCATCAGGAAAAAGCATTATCAGAAATGTAAGAAATATAATGAAATGAAGTGTTATATATTGATCCATATATTCACAATAATTTATATTTCGTAATCGTAGTGTTTTTAAAATTGATTGATTCTTAAAATGTTAAATACAATTTTAAAAAATCATTTGAAATGTAGTTAGTTTCTTAAGAGTGGACCAAATATGAGTATTCATAATCAGAATTGATTGTTAAGCAGTATGATGTAGATGATGTAGATGTAAAAATGAAACATAAAATAGAAATAGAAATGTATGAGAACTAAATACATGCATATTCAAATGATCATACAAAAGACAGACAAAGTGAAAAAGGGAGAAAAACAACACCAACAATAATAACAATATCATAGTAACATGACAGAACGAAGGGTTCAAACATATAAGTGCAAATCATAGGATAATTATTTAGTGACGCGGCAGTCAAGTCCACTATTACCGTGTAAAATTTGTATCATATTGTATTTATCATCTTTTTACGATATGAATTAAAATATCAACAAATTTGCCAACTGTCCGCGTAACGCAGAAGGTAAGACTGTCAGTTAAATTTCTAGTTGAATATCAATGCAAGATAGGTTCGGTTCGCAAAATTATTTCTGTATAAAGAATTTGTTTTTTTTTTACTTGTAAGGATTACGAGTGGTGTGTTATCTTTTTTATTTACTTCTCATTTCACTTTTTTTCTTTGCTTTCAATGTAGGCAACCTTATACTGCATACAAGTACACAAATTGTTTAAACTATAGTTCAGTTGGCACGAAATACTCGTGCACTGCACAAATACTATGACTACTTTCAAAATCTTGTATTATTATATTCGCTTCTTACCTATTCAGACAAAGATTGTAAACTTTTGTGCACACAATAATGCAACGTCACTCTCACATTATCATAGCGGCACAGTACCCTTTATTGAAATTGTCCAAGTACCGGTAAGACAAAATTATCATCACAGGACAATTAATATGGAGAATACACATTTAATTTCTATATTCAACTTATTCTACTTGAAAACGAAAAGGTAATGTGATGGGATGCAAGAAAAAAAAAGATGAAACTTGAGCAGCACGCAAATATGACACTGGTAAGACAAGATACATGTATTCATACTGGCCATAGCTTTCGCAGAAGCGGTGGGTCCATTGCAGCGGCGATGGAGAATTCGTCGCAGAAGCGGTGGATAAAATATGGCTGTTTGCTGTTGTCGGTAAGTATATGACTGAATTCTGTTTTATGTTTTAATGGTAACACTTAGTGAGACTGGATCCCACATATGTGCTCTTTCAACTTATTAAACGCACGGTGCAATTCATTGCCGTTTATGCAAACACTTCTGTACAGTTTGACGGGGGGACGCCACTTTTGCCTAATTTTGGTTAAAGCACGTACAATTGTGTGCAAAACGACCCCGTTATACAACAGCTTCATAACGTATGTATGATACTTTGACAAACTAACTACATTTTGGAAATTTGGAAAATCATTATTGCTTGTTTATAAACATAAGTGACAAAAAATGATTTCATCGCAGACGGCGGTGGATTTGATTGCAACGCAGTGCGGTGGGCCCGATATAATTTATGTATCTTTTAAGGGTTTAACTTGACGTAACACACTTTTCACTTGAGTACAAACCTTTCTTACTTTGGCATCTTAGAAACATGTTTATTTAATGTTGTACATGTATGTAAAAATCAGAAAATACAGTTATAAATAAACCAAAATCTTTATAACTAAATAAACGTCTCGATTATCCAATGAAAAATTATGTTATAAACATGCAGTATTATAAAGTTTATATACACGACTGCTATTTATTTAATAAGAAATTGCATTTTTATATTATTTTTCCAAACAATCGATTCTATACGGCCATATTGTATAGCCTGTCAAAATCTTTATAACTAATATGATACTGTCGAAACGCCATGAACATGTGTTAACTTTATGTTTGTATAACTCATACGCCGTAATGCAAAAATATATGCACGGACCTGCCATTCCGCTTTTAATTAGTCAGTGTGAAAGTATCATACATACGATGAGA